ACTCTGAAACTCAGGCTGCTAACAGTCATGAAACAAGAACTGAAGCAGGTTTTTAACCTTCCTCCTGTGTTCAATTTTACTTCACAACCACCATGTTAAGGGTCCGTTTTGACCGTGTCTTAAATCAGCTGTAAATTAAAAACATTTCTCTATCTTCCAGTTTGGTTCTCATCTCTAGGTTTTCTTGTTCGGCTTCATTCTCCATGAAAATATTGATCATAATAGTTTTTGTTTCGGTCCTCTGGGCCTTTCTTTGTCAGGATACTCATACACTGAATCACTAGAATCAGTTCACTCTAAAGATTCGTTTAAAAGATTCGTTCACCAAATCACTGAATTATTCAGCGCTTGGTGGGAGGAGCCTGTGACTCCGACTAAGCTGTGCTGCTGACAGCTCAATGAACGAATCACTTAAGGAAGTGATTCGGTTCAGTATGTTCCATTAAAAGATTCAGTTCTTTTGAACGAATCATTCGTGAACAACACAACACTACAGGATACCCCTCATACAGACATCTATACTGAACTGATCTCACATGTCTGGACATGCCTGACGTTGTTTTTGCAGGAAAAACATGAAAAATGAGAATTTCTTAAATCTCACTTGATTAAAAGAGGATCTGACTGTCAGCGCATTTATGATTTCAGTTTTCACTCTAATTATTAGATATTAATCTAACCAGGTCAACAGCGACACCAACACGACAAGTGCAGTAGTTTTAATAAGAGCATTTTATAATTTAGTCAATTTAATGTTTTTATTTTGTTGAAATGGAGGTTCCTGACAAAGTCCAAAAGTCTTGATGTAAAAAGTGAATTTAAGTGGCTTTTTTAAGCTTTTAAAGTTAAAAACGGGTCGGTGCGGACCCCAACACAGGAGGAGGGTTAATGAAGGCCCAGAGCAGGAAGGACTCCGGATCAGAGGAGATCCAGGATCTCTGACGGTGTGTGAGCGTAGGTCAGGGTTTACCTGAAGGAGGCCGAGGCGATGGATGATGGTTTTGGACTTTTCTGTGAGAGTTTCATTCTGAGTCTGTTTGAAACAGGATTCACATCCTCGTCTCTCCTCCTCCTCCTCCTCCTCTTCGTCTCTGCGAGCTGTTTGTAGTTTCTCCCTCTCTGATGCAGCGGTATGAAACTTTCAGCAGAGGCGGAGCTGTTTGTTATGGAGCGCACATTTCAGGACAGACAGAGGACCAGGATCCCGGGCCGAGGAGATCAGAGGAAATCCTCTCAGATCTCAGAGCCTGAACACGTGGGCTCGGCGCTCCGCTCAGCTTCTCTGGATTTACAGTTTCCTCCGGAGACGTCTGTGAGCGCGCTGCTGCAGCAGTTTGTAACTACAGAGTCTGCAGAGACCCAGGAGGGAGTCCTAAATTAAAGCTACAGTCAGGGTCTTTTATTTTGAAGGGTCAGATGTTAGGAAAGAAGAAACAGGACTCTGAGTGAATCAGGGGATAAACGGAGTCGGTGTGAAAAAGGTCAAACTTTTTAAAAAGTTTTGACTCTTTCAAACTTTTTTATTCTCATAATTTCAAAGACTTTTAAATTCTGACCGAAACGTTGAAAAGTTATAAAGTTAAGTTCTCTTTGTTCTGAAACTCTAATTTTAAGAGTTTACTTGTTTACAAGAGTAAGTTTTTCATTCATGACCTCTGAAATCTGAAGTTTATTCTCCTGAATTTTCTCGTGATTTTACGACGACTTGTCTCTTGTAAAAGAATCCTACAAAAGTTTCTTTTTGTAAGATTACGACTGTTTACTCTGAATTACCATCTGTACATAACTGTATTTTGAAACATGTTGACTTCATTATAAACAGGAGCGTCTCTTTCTGCAGAGAACAGAGCGTCAGGATTAGAGTGCCCAGTACAGCACTGAGCAGCTACACTCCGAACCAGCGCTGAGGCACAGAGCTGCGAATCTGTGAACGAGACCCTGAGACAGAGATGATGGGCGGGGTTCAGCTGCGTTTATCTTTAGTGAATCAGACCGTTACTGTTTTCACTGGTAAAGTTTCCCTATTTGACTGTTTCTATGAAGAGCTGACCATAAACCATTGTCTGACTACACCGGTGAGATTTAAGCAACCCGCCAAACGTCCGAAAACCACGCCCCTCAGTGACGATCCCCAGAGGTGATGGGCTTAGTAGAAATCAAACTCGACAGATATTTTGGCTCCTTCAGTTACGCAAACAGCAGCTTCTCATCGGGTTGCTGAAGTGTGTTCTCTGTTTTTTTTTGTAAAAGACAAAAAGTTTTACTTCCATCCTTTAAATCTGAACAAAAAGCTTTTTTTGTTTTGTTTGTTTCTGAAACGTTTTCCTAAAAAATGTTTCACTTTGGAAAGAAAACCGAGAGGAGCCAACATTTCCCGTCAGTCGATCCATTGTTGCCGGACGTATGGCCTCATAAAGGACGTAAATGTGCAATAAATAAGAGTTCTGCTGAGTCCAGAACTAAAAAGGACCAGAATGCATCTGGTCAGTGGAGGTTTGAATTGTTGATCGATACCTGAAAAGAGTCCAGAGTTTAACCGGACTCTTTGGAGTTCTGCATGTTCAGAAATCTTAAACTCTGAGACATCCTCTCAGATGCATAGATGCAGCATCTATGATTTCTAGTTCTTCATTTAAAGGACAACTGGACCTACTTGAGACATTTCTGAGGACGCAGCATCTAGGATTTCTAGGTCCTTGTTGAAAGGACAACTGGACTTCATTGAGACGTTTCGCCAAACGAAGCTGCTGTCTGTTATGCAGGACGTTGGAGACATGACGATCTTTAGGCGTCGTTTCCTTAAGCGAAACGCTCAAGTAAGTCCAGTTGTCCTTTCTAAACAAATGTCAGATTCTGATCTATCAGACCTCTGGACGGTTTACAGTCCACCTTAAATGGACTCGGTGGTTCTGGATCCTGTTTGCATGTTCAGAAATCCTAACCTCCCAGATCTGGACCAGCAGGACTCCACAGATCCTCATTTGTTAGTCTTGGTCCACCTGCCGTCTGAAGAGTCCTCTGAAGACGGGGATGAAGGTTCCTCGGTCTCAGGGATAACAGGCGTCATTAACAGGGTTTGACGTTTGCTGGAGTGTGTGTGTGTGTGTGTGTGTGTGTGTGTGTGTGTGTGTGTGTGTGTGCAGAGCAGCTCTAATTGAAACAGTGAGGACGGTGTTGAACAACGGCGAGCGAGCGGATCTTCAGCTGTCATCCTGCCAGTTTGAGTTATCTCTGCCGGTGATGTCTGTGATTCTCCGGACGGCAGACTGAGAATGTAAAGCAGACGGTTCTTCAAATCCTCTGAATCAGCATTTCTCTGCAGAGACTCCAGCTCTCCGCCGTCTTTAATCCTCATTTTAGGAGCTCTAATAAAACCATCAAAAAGCAGACGGACCAAATACGTTAAAACGGAATCTTTAACTCCTCAGACTTGAATCATCACAGGAGCTTCGCGTAGATCTGCCAAGAATGAGCGACTCTTCATCTTTGGAATATTCTAAAGACAAAAGTGTCTCACAGAAAATCCTTTTTTTCAGACACTTAAAGTGAAATTATGTTGAAAAACTCTCCAGCAGCATGAATTCATCAGAAGACCTAAAGTTTCACAAAGAGACTGAAAAAAAACAAAAACAACAAAATTAAGACGTTTTTAGAGGCTCTCTTTAAAAACATAAACTCATGTAAATCTGCTGATTGTGTTTCCTCAGCTCTCTGTAGACCTTAGTGAACCCAGCAGACCAGGTTCTGGACTCTGAAGGGCCAGGAAATAGAGGGTTTTAGCTGCCAAACAGTTCAGGATCTGCTTTGTCCTGTTTTTGGGGTCATGGCATCTATGATTTCTAGTTCTTCACTGAAGGGCAACTGAACTTGATTGAGATGTTTCTAAGGATGCAGCATCTATTATTTCAGGTTCTTTGTTGAAAGGACAACTCAAATTACTCTAGATGTTTTTGAGGATTCAGCATCTAGGATTTCTAATTCTTTGTTGAAAGGACAACTGTACTTAATCTAGATGTTTTTGAAGATGCAGCATCTCGGATCTCCAGTTTATTGTTATAAGGGCAATTGGACTATATAGACTTTTCTGTGGACACAGCATCTATGATTTCTAGTTCTTTGTTGAAATGTCAACTCAGCTTAATTGAAACGTTTATAGGGATGCAGCATCTATCATTTCTAGTTCTATGTTGAAAGGACAACTTGACTCACTTGAGACATTACTAAAGAAAACATCTAGGATTTCTAGCTCTTTGTTAAAAGGGCAACTGGGCTTACTTGAGACAATTGTGAGGACACAGCATCTATGATTTTTAGTCCTTGTTAGAAAGACAACTGGAATTAATCTAGATGTTTTAGAAGATGCAGCATCTATGATTTCTAGTTCTATGTTGCGTCTCACAGCGTCTCTCATCCTTATTTCTGGAACTCTCTCCCCAGGTGTCTGTGGGGCTTCTCCACGGTCGGGCCTCTCACATCATCTGGCCTCCGAATCGTTGGCAGCAGATCAAACCGTGTCTCCCCCCGAACCGAGGACCTCTGGACACCGAGGAAGAGGAGGGATGAAGAACGACCACCGTGTAAACCCTGAAGGTCGATCCACTGAACCGTGGAGTCTAAAGTAATGAGAGTCTGTATGAACTCACAGAAACCTCATTTTTCTAAAGAGTTAAATTCAGCAGAAGAACCGTCGCTCCGTCAGTCTGTTGGTCCTTTACTGTCAAACAAACAACTTCTGTATTTTCGTCTTCTGTTCATCATTGTCCAGAAATGACCAATAATCAAAGTGGACCTTCATACATTTATAAAGACTCTGAGTCTGTTTTTCTGTGAAAACTTCCTGAATTGTTCAGTTTTAAGTGATTTTTTTTTAGTTTGAAACAGTTTAAATAAAACAAGAAACTTTCAGACTTTTAAAAACTTTCTTTTTTCTTTATCAGCCAATTGAAGGTCTGGGCATCCAAGGGTTAAAGGGATAATCAGGCGTAAAATGAATTTACACACCGTAACACAGAGTTAGACCCCCCCTCCAGAGATGAATGTTGTCGACCGCTTGCTTCTCTAGTTATACCAACTTTAGTAACGACCGCAGGATAGAAATACAGAGAGCCACGCCCCCAACCAAAACGCCACTCTATAGCCACAAATAATGCTCAGAACAGCACCTAACTTCATCAACAGGACATATAGGGTCCCAACAGCTCACCTACTCTCTTCCAGCAGACGCTTGTTTGTAGTGAGACCTCAGGTCAGTCCATTACAGACTACAGCGGGGTGCTGCAGCTCAAGGAAGAACATTTATGATCATTTCTTTATGGAAATACAATCAGACCGAGACGCTAAGACAGAAGAACTACCGCGTCTGTAAAATGATTAATATGGTGATTATTACTTCAAGGAAATGATAAAGAAATGATCATAAATGTTCTTCCTTGAGCTGCGGCACCCCGCTGTAGTCTGTAATGGACTGGCCTGAGGTCTCACTACAAACAAGCGTCTGCTTCTATTGTGTTGCTACAGTGTTCTTCTTCTTCTTCTTCTTCTTCTTCTTGTAATATGTGTGTACAGTGAGTAAAAGGGTCAAAAATCATCAGTGTCAGTGGTGCGTGGCGCCGCTTCGAAACAGTTTTTTTATTTTATTTTACATCGATTTTTATTTCATGCGTCTTTGAATTTGATTTCATCATTTTTTATTTAATGAAATTTTGTAACTCCTCTCATTATCAACAACAAAAACAAGCATGAAAACAGCCGACTCAAACTTAAGGTTACAGTGTGCTTATAATAACATACAGGTCAGAAAACTATATTAGTATTTGTTCTGTGTTAATAATAGTAAGACCACGGATCAAGTCCTGGGGGTCTTTGCTGCTGCTCTACCTGCCTGACCACAAAAAGGCGTGTTCGAGCTCGATACATAACAATGTACAAAAATGTTATAAAAATAGATTAAATAAAGTCAGAAATGTAATAATTTGTCAATAATGTAACAAAAGAGATACTTAAAAAATGTAACAAAACCCAAAATATATCAAGTTGTTATATTTTGGGCTCAGTAATTTGTTACATTATTAACCAGTTTTTACATTTTGGGGCTCTAAACAGGCTTTACCTTAAAACCACCAAATATCACTTTTGCTCTAAAGTCGTCGTGACTGAACCGCCCTCCTCCTCCTCTATTTCACAAACTTTGAACTCCTCTCATTTATCTCTAAGTGTGACAGGATAAAACAGCGTCCGCCGTTTCCCCGGATCTCCGGGTTTTCCCCGAGCTTTTGTTTGTTTTCCTGGTGGCGCCGAGTGCTGCCGTTCGTTCCCTCAGATCACATGAATGTTCTGTTTTTACTGAGTGAAATAATGAGCTTTTCCACTCCCACATTATTCAGGTGATGTGAAGTCTTAATCAGAGCGAGAACAGCTGATTCCTGCCCGCCTCTCAGACAGCTGAACAGCTCCGTCTTGAAGAGGAGCGTGGCCGATTAGCATAAATCAAATTGAGGGGGCACTTGTGGTAAATTCATCCAAATGAAGCTCTCTGATGTGGCGGCTGATTCTGCGATGCTAACAGCTGTGTCACGGCATAATGGGACTCTGGAGGATGGAGTGGGACTAAATGCAGGTGTACTCAACCCTCAGCAGAGCGCTCACATCTGCGTAATTAATTCATCCAAGTGACGTGAATGCCTGAGCCCGCCGAGTCGGTCTTTTGAGGCTCATGTTAGATCTTCTAATTTCAGAATTTTACAGAAAAGTCCCACTAAAGGAGGCAGAATCTACATTTACTGTTTTAAACCGTCAGAAGGTGGCGCTACCTTCAACAAAAAAGCAAAAAACTGGATTTATCCTGCTGAAGTGGTCGACAAAGTTCGAAGCTAAAATTACCAAAAATATTTTGTAAAGCCTACTTAAGTTCTTCTTCTTTTACATTTTGTAAGAGCATCACTTTGAGGTCGTTTCATGACCGTAAAGGCTGTGTAAAAAGTAGCACCATCAAATAGTCAAACTTTTTACTGGCGAAAAGCTGCTTTTCTTTTAAATCTTTGTTGAAGATTCTGTTTAAACGGCCAAAATAAAGACTAAGTGTAATAGGTTAGGGCATCTATGCTTTTTAGTTCTTCGTTGAAAGGACAACTGGATTTACTTGAGATGTTTCTGAGGATGCAGCATTTATGATTTCTAGGTCTTTGTTGAAAGGACAGCTGGACAACTGGACGTTTCGCCAAAAGAAGCTGCTGTCTGTAATGCAGGACGTTGGAGACACTGTGATCTTTAGGCGTCGTTTCCTTAAGCGAAACGTCTCAAGTAAGTCCACTCGTCCTTTCTAATCGAATGTCAGATTCTGATCCATCAGACCTCAGGACAGTTTTCAGTCCACCTTAAATGGACTCAAGTCCAGAGAAGTCTCTGGTGGTTCTGGATCCTGTTTTCATGGTTCAGTTAAACCTCATTAGTGGATGTGAATTTAAATAAAGTTCTTCTTTTCTAAACATTTTGTAAAGGCATCACTTTGGGGTCGTTTCATGACCGTAAAGAAAAAGTAGCAGCATCAAATAGTCAAACTTTTTATTGATGAAAAGCTGCGTCTCTTACAAATCTGTGTCGAAGGTTCTGGTTCGACGGCCAAAATAAAGGCAGAGTGAGTCTAACCCCCGATCTCCACCTCCATCCTGATCGTCTCCTAAAAGGTCATATCCTCCGATCGTAGCTGATCGTAACCATTCAAGTTAACGTGTCAATTTACACCGACTTCTTTACGTTCCTCTGCGGATTTCACACCATGCAAACGGGCGGAGACGAACAAGTGAAAGGTTTTTAGACGTCATTTCACCCCGATGACACCATGGATGAGGAGATGCTGATTCTAGAAGTCTAGAAGTAGATTTCCAGATGTTGAAAATCCCAGGTAAGTCTGTTTCAGTGAGACTGATTTGATGTAGTAACTGTTGTTGGACAGCGCTGTTATGCTAGCTGATCCTGGATCTCTTGGTCCGGTTTTTAAGGACCTCATTCTGCGCTTTCTTACGTACGAACATATAGCTGTACATTTTTAACGGCGTAACCCCACCCACCATGACCACCTCGTACTTTTTTATCACACTCGACCTGAAAACTTGCGTTTGTGCTCGTGTTTCCTCATCTTATAGTTCTTTACATCTGTTATTTACCTTATTTACAGAGAATTACAACAAAGACTCATCAGCCCGTCTGTAAGCCTCCGTTCTGTTGCCGTGCCAACAAACACCAGCGGCTGCTGCTGCTAGGATACCGGCGTCACTGTGGTGAGATCTGGCCTCGCTGAGATGAACAGTTTAACCACACCAGTACGTCCTCCGTCGTTTAACAAACTCAAATTATCTAAAAGTCCATAACTGAAGAACCTCAAAGCATGATGGGAAAAAAGTTCAGGATGCTGCTTCCTTTAAAGATGTTCACAGGTGGACTTGGAGGTCGATCCCTGACTCCCTCAGGTCTAGAAACGTCCACTTAGATGCTTTTCCAGAGGATTAGGAAAAACTGTGCCCTCTAGATCAGCGGTTCACAACTGGTGGGTCCTGACCCATAGGTGGGTCATGGACACGTTCTGGATGGGTCGCATACAGCTGGTCAAAAAAGTGAATAGTTGATGTGCATCTGATGTTTGACATGTCTTTTATTTTGAAAAATAGCTTATTTTGAAAGGCAGGTGTTATGTCGTGGTCCTCCTCGAATTACAGGTTTTATTTGGTCTTTATATTTCTGAATCTGCTCTGAATGCAAAAAAGTCAATTTTTTTATTTTCCTGGTCTCTATTTTGTGTAATTTGATATTTGATAGTTCATGTTCTCTGAAATAAACTTTACTCAATAAAAACAAGTATATTTATCTCGAAGATTTGAGTCTTTAAATGTTTTTTTAGAAAATATTTTCTTGGTCACGACTTCAGGACGATGGGAAAATGTGGGTCCCAGACTGAGACCAGGTGAGAACCACTGATCTAGACCCGTTTGGTGACGAGAACATGGAAAGAGCGCCCCCTGGATGCATTCCTCACCGTCTCTGTAAATGTTTCCCAGTAAACTCCCGCAGTAACTCCTCCGTGTTGTCGTGGTCTCTCTGTGCGTCTGCCCCGTTATGGCGCCGCTCTGTAATTCAAACATGAATCTTGCAGGAGAATTAAACGCAGAGTTAATGGGAACATATTTGAACCTCGTATCTATTGGAGGTCCATCCTCAAGGGCGATCCATCTCCCTTTGATTTTACTGCTGAAATCTCCGTTTTACTGCGGATCCATCTCCCTCAGAGCGACATTAAACTGACAGCCTTCACGGCGCCGCATTAGCCTGCAGATACCGCCGAAGCCTCGCAGATGATCCGTCATTGAGATTCATCGGGGGAATGAATCAAACCAATCACATGGATGTAAAACCTATCCCCATATCAATGTCATGTGGTCATGCATTTTACAACAGTTTGCCGGCACGCCGCCCCGCACCAGTTTTCCTCGATTCCTAATGTAATCTGGGCGCCGTCTTTAAAGCCTTCATGGCTCATTTGACTGTTTGATTGCGCCTCTCTCGCGGCGTTCTTGACCAGTTTGAAATGCAATTATGCTAATCGAAGCGGCGTGCAGGGTCAGCGCTGCGCTTTGGGCCTTCACTTACCCTGTGAGTGTCTGCGCCCCGAAGCCCTGTGAGCGACGGCGCCTCATCCCGCGCTGTTATAGATGTTAAACAGCGCTTGGCTGATAGGTGGAGGAGAGATGTAGAAATTAACCCTCGCCCCCCGGAGCCCTGCGGAGAAACAGAAACCGCTTAATGCTCGTCTGACTCTGAAGTCTGAAGAAACACAGTCCTGAAAAAGAAGTCCAGAGAGAGACGCTCAGAAAACATGAACGATGACACTTCAATCAAAAACACGGTCGTCTGTCCGACCTTCAGTCTGCAGTCTCCAAAAATGTAAAAGTGGAAAAACACCAGAAAAAAAAGAGGGATGGAAAAAGACCAAACAACCGCGGGGGCAGCAGCTTCAGGAGGGAAGCCCAGACGGCCCTCAACCCAGACACTTCCTTCAGCTCCTCCTCCGGTGGGATTCCCAGGCGCTCCCAGTCCAGGCAAGAGAGATAATCCCTCCACCTGGTCCTGGGCCGGCCACGAGGTCTCCTCCTGGTGGGACACGTCTGGAACACCTCTAACAGGAGGCGTCCAGAAGGCGTCCTAACAAGATGCCACCTCAGCTGACTCCTCTGGACGTGGAGGAGCAGCGGTTCTCCTCTGAGCGCCTCCCGAGTGTCCGAGCTCCTTACCCTATCTCTAAGGCTGAGCCCGGACACCCTGAGGAGGAAACCCATTTCAGCCGCTTGTATCTGCGATCTTGTTCTTTCGGTCATTACCCAAAGTTCATGACCATAGGTGAGGATCGGCACGTAGATCGACCGGTAAATCCAGAGTCTCTCCTTACGGCTCAGCTCTTTCTTCACCACGACTGATCGGTTAAACGTCCGCATCACTGCTGACGCCGCTCCGATCCGACTGTCGATCTCCAGCTCCATCCTGCCCTCACTCGTGAACAAGATCCCGAGATACTTGAACTCCTCCACTTGAGGCAGGACCGCCCCTCCGACCTGGAGAAGGCAAACATGAGGACCATGACCTCGGACTTGGAGGTTCTGATTCACATCCCAGCCGCTTCACAGTTGGCCGTGAACCACCCCAACAAGAGCTGAAGGTCACTGCTCGACGAAGCTAGAAGAACCACATCATCTGCAAAAAGCAGCGACGGGATCCTCTGCCTGCAGAACTGGACACCCTCCACCCCCCGGCTGCGCCTAGAAATTCTGTCCATAAAGGTTCTGAACAGAACCGGAGACAAAGGGCAGTCCTGGAGGAGTCCAACTCTCACTGGAAACGAGTCCGACTTACAACCGGCTTCACGGACCGAGCTTGTTCTCCTTTGGTGAAGGGATTGGTCGGCCAAATACAAGTATCGTGGTTTATCGGAGGACTTGGAGAAGCGTCTGCTCCTCCTCAGGGAGCGCGTTGTTAAAGAGCGTGCGACACATCGTGGAAAGGCCCGTACCAGGACCAGAGTACTAACTTTGGCACCGCCCCCAAAAGTTTTTTAATGTCTGTAAAAAGTTGACGTTGACGTTGGTTGGCGTGGCTCATTAGGTCGGAGTCGGGGCGAGTTTAAGAACCAGGATTGGGTTCACTCTCTGGACTTTGCTGTTTTCTTCGTCTGGATCTCCTCCGTTTATTATGTTGCCGTGTCATTACCCTCCTAATGATCACAACAATTGCTTACCGCTTAAGAAAACCTTTAAAACAAAAGCAGTTTAACAAACCATCAGCCACTTTTCAGAGAGGATTTCCTCATCAGAGCTCATTATAAGAGCGGCTCAGCAGGATTAAGAGGAGACGGAAATTACCCGGGCCTCGACGGTGAGATTAAAACTATAAATTATCCCCAAGTTTTCCTGTGGCTTCACAAAGTTCGGAGTGGGTTTGTTCTGAACTTTCCAAGTTTTTAATTGTATTTTCTCTTCAGGATGTTCAGAAGTTTGTTAAACAGTTTAGTTTTCGTCTTCAGGAGACGGTTTTCTGTTTCTGTTTCTACTTCAGTCAAAGATCGGCTGGTTTTCCCCGAGAGCAGCAGAGTGGGTCAGTCTAAGAGACAAACTGTGGCAGCTCGACCAATCAGACGCTGCCTTTTCAACGGTGTTTATTCACGTCCAACAGCTATTTGAATACCTGAATGATTTGTGTTTACTTACTTAAATAACTCATTATTTGTGCGTCACATCGCATCGACAGCACGCCCATAAAAGGTCGACGATGCTGCGAGAATTTGTTGTAATTTCAGAATTTACCAGATAATCCGACTTCCTCATTCTTGTTCCTTTTACGATTTATCGTAAAGCTCGGGGTAGCCGCACACCGCCATAATGAGTTTGTCCTTTGAACCTGGAGACACCCGTCTTTGGGTATCTCGAAGCTGATTGGCTGTCACGCTGCACCAAAGTAAGCGGGGCTTTAACCGTGTCGTGAATTCGCTTCATTAGCATTATCGTCGTCACCTGTCAGGATCCTCATTTTAACTTTGACTTTACACGTAATTCATTCCTACAAATATTTTTATTAACATAAAACAAAATGATTTGATAATTAGTTCGTTAGTTTCAGTGGAGAAAAACGGACTAAAATAGATCATGAAAAAAGTAACTCAACGTATAAAAAAGATCGGATTTAACAAAAAATCTTTTTTGTGCATCAGAACCTGCAGTGTGAACGTAGCCTTAAAGTCGTAAATGAGAGGAGTTAAAGGTCAGGAAGACTGGGGTCAGAGGTCACTGTAAAGTGGGCGAACTGATCAAGTCTTCCACAGCGGAGTTAAAAAACGACGTCAGCACTTTAACGTGACGTAGCGTTGAGTATCATACAGAGGAAACGGCGGCTTTGTCTCTCTGGTTTCTGAGCCTCTGCGTGTTTCTGCGATCGGCTTCATCCTGTGAACTCCTCCGATTCTCTCCGGCACATTCTGCTTCGTCAATGAAAACGAAATATTGGCTGAGCGAGATAACAGCTGATGAGCTTTTTGAGAATAATTTAAAAGTTATGTAGAAAAATAAAATATTTAAAAAGTTCCCTGATAAAGTTTTTTTTCCCTTTTCTGTCTTTTCATTCCCGGCTGTGACAGAAATTAAAGTTCATTATCTCTGGATGTCACCGTCTGCTTAGATAAAGCAAATGAAAGAGGAAGAAATAGTTCTTTATTGGACTTTAAAGCCCGGAGTAATAACATTAAAGTGGCGGTATTACCAGCCATGTTGAGTTAAGGTTCACAGATTTATATCAGCGCACGCTCGCCGGGAATAAATCGTTTCTAATTACATAAAGTCTCCGCACACATCCCTCATAAGTTGTAAGCCTTAATATTATATCGCAGGGAGATAATGAAACACATTCCTCAGCTTTATAATGAAATATATACTGGAGGCTCCTCATAAACGAGCTCTGAGGAAATGTTACACCTGACGTTCACAGGAAACTCTCAGAAACTCTCTCTCTCTCCTTAGATTGAATTAAAAACGTGAATATTTGCTGTAAACAGATTTGAGAGAATAACTTCCTTCATCAGCTGATCACAAAATCCTAAACTGGTGGATCCTCTCTGATTCATCTCTGTTTTTCTGAGGCCTGGAAACCCCCAGGGGTTCCGTCAGCCCCTCAGAGATCACAGATCCATGAAGAGAGATTTCTCCGCGGGCCGAGCGAGCAAGTGAGAGAGTGAGAGAGTGAGGAAGCGAGGGAGCGAGGGAGCGAGGGAGCGTCTGCTTAGAGATGCAGGTCAGCGACTCCTGAACCGGCGCGTCCCCTGGGAGGCATCCTTCGTCTTCATTATGGATTCTGATATCCACCATCATCTGACGAGTGTGTGTGTGTGTGTGTGTGTGTGTGTGTGTGTGTGTGTGTGTGTGTGTGTGTGTGTGTGTGTGTTTAGCCCCGGGCCTCTCGGCTGAGTCCTTCAGAGGATGAAGAGGAATGAAGAAGAGGGCTAAAGCAGGAGGCCGAGGAGGAAGCTCAGATAAAAGTGCGGTTTGATGAGACGCAGCACTTTGTAAGATTTTGTTAGAAGCTGAAAAGAATATTTAAGACCCACGACCCAGAGAACGGACCGGATCGGACCGGACCGGACCGGCGCTGAGACCAGCAGGTCTGAGTAAATCCTTCTTATTGATTTTATTATCGTTTCTCCTGCTGTCAGGTTTCATCTGTTTGGATTCATTTTAATGAGTTTGTGTTTATTTGTTTTTTGATTGACAGATTCTACACGACAAATGGACATCTGTGGGCGGAGCTCATCATTATACTGACCAATCATATACTGGCAGGTGTGAGGCCTACTTACTGTGAAACTGAGACCCACCAGAGACAGGTGAGAAGTTCTCTCATGAAATAATGTTTGTTTGTTTTTCTGTAGATGTGATGAAGAATACTCCTCCTCTTCTGTATTTACAATGAAACTGAGACCTACTGGAAATACATGAGAAACAAACCACAGTGAAGCCTTTATGTGTAGAGATAAACAATGACTCAGCAGAAACAGGAAAGGCTTTTTATTACTGAGCAGTCAGCCAAGAAGAAGCTTCTGTGTTATTTACTATTTACTGTGAAACTGAGACTCACCACAAACACAGTTTCCAATGGAACTTTAAATATTGTATCTTAGATTGAAGCAAATTTTGGCTCCTTTTTTTCAGGTGCTGGAAAGGAAGTCGGGCACAGACACAAAATAAAACATCCGGCTTCTTTTCAAAATAAAACACTCCGTGTTTCAGGAGGATCGTATTTCACACCATGCAAACGGGCGGAGACGAACAAGTGAAAGGTTTTTAGACGTCATTTCACCCCGATGACACCATGGATGAGGAGATGCTGATTCTAGAAGTCTAGAAGTAGATTTCCTCCTCTGGAAGGACACAATCTACTGCTTATATGTCTATGTGTCTGTCTTTAGAGAGACGACTCGTTATCGTGAGATTGAACGTGAATTCTTGTGATTTCTGCTGTCTGTAATCCGCCTCACAAACGGATCTGGTAGGAATTGGCGTACAGTGAAAATCGCCGCTGTTCTGGATGTGGTGGTGAGCCAGAGTGAAACCTCTGTGTAATAAACATTTACAGTGAAACTGAGACTCACTAGACACAGACAAACAGGGACAGGGTTTGAAAATGTGGAGTCTTGTATTTTTAGGTTCCTCAGAGCTCGGCTCTGATTATCAGTTTGAGATTTTAGTCTGACTTTAACTTTCACAGTGAAACTCAGACTCTCTCTATCGGGGTTGTAATGAACCAGGAGAGATCATGTTTGTTTCACAGAGTTTGTTTGTCATGTTCATCATGTGCATTCAGCTTTGCAAATATGAAGTATTTTGACTTGAATTAAAACTGTATTAATTAATTTATTGATATTTTTTAATATCGTTTCCTCACAGCTCCTCCTCCTCCTTATTTATGAGCATCATCTCGTTCCCTGTGCAGAGATAATATTCAGGACATTACAGACATGAAGTATTATCTTAATCCCCTCCTGCCTGACAGCTCGCTCCTTTATGACTTTGACCTCCAAATCGAACCTGCAGCAGTTTAAAGCCGAACCCACTTATTGACAACCTGAACCTCTCAGCAGTATCAACACGCCGAGTCCTCCGCTAAACGGAGCCGGCGTGACTCTCCTGAACCAATTAAAGAACCGGACTGAGCCGCTCAGGTGTGGGCCGGCTGATAAGAAGCTTTACTCAGATTCTGTGTTTTACAACAAGCCGCGCTCCGTCCCCCCCCATGAGGGACCCGCAGCACTGGTGGCAACAACAGGCAATTTGTGGAAGGTCTTCTAGGGTAATTAACAAATGAACAGAGTGCCGGCGGCTGACATGTCTCATATCATGTTTGCGTTTCCCTCAGGGCGGCGAGCTGCAGGTGGGAATGAAGACGGAGAGGAAGAGTCTGCATCCCTTCATTCATGCTGTTATTCCTACGACAAACTACCTCTCTGAAAGTGGATTTAACCCACGCCACGCTGTGACGGATTCACCTGAGGCTTAAAAAAAAGGAGAGTTAAATCTGAAAAAACAAACACGGATGATTATTTCTTCATTTCTTCTGTTAGTGAAGACAAAAACGTCACTCTGCTTTTCTAATGCTGAGGTCAGACTATGAGAGACCAATCAGATCCGATTATCAACAGTTTCAGATCCGATCATTAACATTAGCAAAAAGTAGTCTACATAAAGTTCACTTTATTACGTACGCTTTAGTGTAAGTATATCAAGTATACTACCGACCATGTTCTTTTAGTGTACGACAAAGTTTACAAATTTAATACTTCTTCAGACTTAATTGGAACATTTTTAATTTATAAAAGTTTACTCTAAAGGGATATTCCGGCATAAAATTAATTTAGGGTCAAACCCACCGCAACACCGAGTTAGACCCCCCCTCCAGAGATGAATGTTGTCGACCGCTTGCTTCTCTAGTTATACCAACTTTAGTAACGACCGCAGGATAGTAATACAGAGAGCCACGCCCCCAACCAAAACGCCACTCTATAGCCACAAATAATGCTCAGAACAGCACCTAACTTCATCAACAGGACATATAGGGTCACAGACATAGTACTAGACACCAAACATCTTTTTAACTTTGACTCATTTCTTTAGCAAAGAGACTAAACACAACTCACCTACTCTCTTCCAGCAGACGCTTGTTTGTAGAGAGACCTCAGGCCAGTCCATTACGGACTACAGCGGGGTGCCGCAGCTCAAGGAAGAACATTTATGATCATTTCTTCATGGAAATACAATCAGACCGAGACGCTGAGACAGAAGAACTACAGCGTCTGTAAAATGATCAATATGGTGATTATTACTTCAAGGAAATGATGAAGAAATGATCATAAATGTTCTTCCTAAATGTCGACAACATTCATCTCTGGAGGGGGGGTCTAACTCAGTGTTACGGTGGGTTTGACTCTAAATTAATTTTATGCCGGAATATCCCTTTAAAGTAAACTTTTATAAACAAAAAATGTTCCAGTTTGGTCTGAAGAAGTATTAAATTCGTATACGTTGTCGTACACTAAAAGAACATGGTCGGTAGTATACTTGATAAACTCAAGCGTACTTAAAAAAATTAACTCTAAGTCGACTACTTTTTGCTAAGGGCAGCCATGAGAGACAGCAAACTTTAGAAGAGTCAGTCTGTCTGTCTGTTTGTTTGTTTGTTTGTTTGTTTAAAGAGTTATTATTGACTCATTTCAGCAGAGCAGACATCTCCACGAAAACCTCAGTTAGCATTAGCATTAGCAGCAGAGGGAGCCCCTTTTATCAAAACACGTCTCCTGGTTTTAGGAGGTAGAACCTGAGGCAGGATTCATGGAAGAGCCAAAGGGGGTCTGCCTCAACCCGGACCTGAAAACCCGGGTTTAGTTTGACGTGGAGGATCTGAACCTTAATAAGTGTGTGTAACACAGAACATCCTCCGTGTGTGTGTGTGTGTGTGTGTATCAGAGAGTCTTTATTTGATTCACCTCCAACACTCACACCTCTTCTTCTTCTTCTCGTTCACTTTGAACCTCTCTCTCTCTCTCTCTCTCTCTCTCTCTCTCTCTCTCTCTCTCTCTCTCTCTCTCTCTCTCTCTCTCTCTCTCTCTCTCTCTCTCTCTCTCTCTCTCTCTCTCAGGCTGAATCCTGAAAAGCTGCTGCTGCTGCTGCATGACTCACTGATCCCAGACTCAGAGGAGGCAGAACAAAGCCGGATCCACCGAGTCCGGGGCAGAGGGAAGGCGTGAACCCTGTGGATCTCCTCTAATCCCTGAGAGCCCGAGGTTCTCCACCTTCACCCCTGAAGTCCGCAGCCAGCTGAGCGATAAACCCGCTCGGATCCGGACTCTCGGGTCGGGACAGATCTTCTGAAAACAAAAATCAGGTGAGCCTGGGAAAGTTTACCTGAGTCCAGTCCCACAATCTGAGCCGGTCAGGAGGCGCTGATCCAGGTTTAGTTTTTCAGTGGGTCAGGGTTTGTCCTCTCAGGGCCTCCGTAGTTTGTGTGTTTCCCTTTTTTAACATTAAACTGTTGTGTTGTAAACAAACTCTCTCTCTGAGCTCCATGTGACAGCTTCACATGAGCCCCATGAGGATTCCTCCCCTGGAGCGTCTGTAATAATAATAATCATCATCATCATCATCATCATCATCATCAGGATCATCACAGTAATTAGAAATTATACTGTGGAGTCGCCTGCAGGGATTTTAATCTGAGAGATTCATCAGGGAGCCGAGACTCTCGTCTCTGAATTCACGTCAATATTCTCCCATCAGGCGCTTTATTCTGAAGGATCCAGGATGAGCCGAGGCTGCCCCCTGCTGGCCAGAGGACAGACTGTCACTGTCGTTTCACCTGCTGAGTTTCTGAAGAGATAAAGTTAATTTAAAGACAGCTGAACCTTTCCCATCATGCATCTGTGATATCAGCTTCAAAAACAGACGAGAGAGGAGGAGGAGGAGGATGTGTTTATTGTCTGGAGCGGCGACAGTCAGCGTCATTTTCCACTTACAAAAACTCCTTTTTATTCAGTCTCTTTAGAAAAACGTCTTTTTTTTTTATTTGTACAATCTGTAAAAACAAACGTAACGAGAGAGCGCTGAAACTCCGTCTGAAGGTGCCGACGTGCAACAAAAGAAAAACAGGAATTCGGAGAAAGACGAACTCATGCAGCGATAATAATCCGACAAAAACAGGATCATGAAAGAGTTAAAGAAGTTAAAAACTGAAGATGAACTTCGACAAATACTGGATTCATTTAAAGATAAAAAGACGTGATTTTGTCAAACCTAAAAGAAAACAGACATTTTTCCGATGAAGGCGCCGTAAAGGATCAGAGACAAACATCGATAAAGAATCAAATCCTGAATTTTTCCTTTTTAGACCTTTAAAATGTTTCCGGGTCAGAACCGAGTCCCTGAAGGACAAAAACCCTCAAATAAATAAAACACAAACGTCTAAAGCTACACGATTTTGAGTTCAGGAAATTCAGATTTAAACAAAGAAAATCAAGATTCACGTTGATCTGAGTTTGTTTCTGTGATCCTGAAAAACTCCTCCAGGGTCCAAAGTCTGAACCTCTGGAGTCCAGACCCACAGAAACGGGCGCTACATGAAGCTACGACAGGAGACAGGAGCGCCTCCAACACACGCCTGAAACTCTGACATCATCCTGACCAGGTGAGAACGCAAACATCTGAACCAGGGCGGGACGACGTCAGAGTCTCAGCTCACGATTTTCACGACCATCAAATCTGATAAAACGGCGTTACTGTGGTAAAAACTTCAGTGCAGAGAAGGACCCGACCGATTTATCGGCGAGTCGATTAAATCGGCCAATTTTAGCCCGTTTGAGACTAATCGGTAATCGGCCAAAACTCGCCGATATTTTCAGAAATAAGATTCAGTTTCACTTTGAAAATGTTCCTCCATTTGAAAAGTTCCCCGACTTATCCTGTAGATGGCGCAGCGACCTCATGACCATCTTCATCCACTGAAAACGCTTTTCTGGTCTGAGTTTGATCAGTCGGTCTTCCTGTCGGCGTGAAGAGCAGTGACCTACAGTAGATCTAAAGTTTATTTATATTTTTTATAACTTCATAAAATTTTTAAAAATCGGTAATCTGATTTTTTCCCCCCTAATAATCGCCATCGGCCCAAAAAAATCCACCCTAGCGCAGAGAAACGTGTCACTTCATTAACCGACACACGGTTAGATCGATTGGTTGCTAGGTAACCGAGTAGTAAACAAAACCAGGCGGTCAAAGGTCAGAAGCTGTAAAAGTGGCGTTTGTACGTAAACACGTCGACAAGGAGACGACTCGGCAGAAACATGCTGAAAAAGGGGGCGTGTCTCCACCGAGTCGAGTCCTGACCATCCTGAAACGAACCAGAATTATGGGTAAATAGTGTCAGCCGTGCTGTTCGGGGTCGCCTTGTTCACGCCCCCGCCGTGGTCGTTTCCCTCAGTGTGCGAAAGTAAAGCTGTAACAAAAATCGATGGCGTTTTGGCGGTAAAGGACAAAAAATTTCAGGACGCGTGTGTGAACGGCGGTCCAGATCTGCAGCAGGACGACTCCACACACACACACGTTTGGTTCTGTTGGCGCCGACACGGTCAGGACCGGCGATGGACAGCTGCTGCTTTTCAGTGATCAGCTGTTTCTCACACAGGAAATCAGCGGGTTAAAACACTCATTCAGCTCGCCGTCTGGGCTCAGTGGGCGGAGTCAGGCTGCCTCTGTAGACGCCGCTCTGCCGCAGCTGCGAGCGTCTCTCGTCGTTGTGTAACAGGGTCAAAGGTCAAGGCGCTGCTGTTGGAGTTGTCCGGGTTTCCTGCGTTGAACCCTGAGCTCCTGGTCAGAAAGTCCCTGCAGAAATTACAAGAAGAGAAGAAGAAAACGGCGATTAAACGAAGAACACGAATTATAAAACACAAGGACGTCATCTTCGCTCTTTCTGAAGCTCCGCCCAGATTCTAACAGCAGAACCAGGAGGAGCTGTGAAACCCACAAACTGCCGCCATGATTGAACGGCGCTCTGAAGACGCCGTGATGCAGAGTGCAGGTGATTTGATGAGAAACGGGCGAAAAGCTCTCTGGTGTGTCTCTTAAAAACGCCGCTGTGGTTTCACTGATGGCGCCCGCGCTCGGAGGATCATCAGTGTCGGAGATAATGAGCGTCTGCAGCTGTGAACTCAGCAGCACAGAAACACTCACAACGAGCCGCGAACTGCAGGAACGAGTTTTAAAGAGAGAGAGAGAGAGAGAGAGAGAGAGAGAGGGAGAGAGGGAGAGAGAGAGAGGAGAGAGAGGGAGAGACACAGAGAGAGAGAGAGAGAGAGAGCGAGAGAGAGAGACAGAGAGAGAGAGGAGAGAGAGGGAGGGAGAGAGAGACAGAGAGAGAGAGAGAGAGAGAGGGAGGGAGAGAGACGTCAGACGGATGTGAGGGTCCTTTTAACGGAGACGGTCCTGCAGACGAAGAATCACCTCTGAGTTTGTTCAGACAGAAACATCACAGAGCAGCTCCTCAGGAACCAAAACCATCAGGCTGAAGTTCATTTTCAGAGTTCGGAAAAAAGCGCTGCAGTCATCACTTTGTCGACTTTAAACAGGAAGAGTTTAGAAAAAAAGGCCTCGTTACTCTTAAAGGTGGTGTAGACAGGATCTGAGGAAGGTCCAGTATTTAGGAGAAATCTTGAATGTAAATTGTGTCGGCAGTCGTGGCCAAAGGAGGATTCAGACAATTTTCCGAACTTTCTGGTTGGTTTCTACTGTCCGATATTGTAGCACGCTAACTTTGTTTGGGCTCCTGAATGACACGGGGGAGCAGCATTTTCTTGCTGACTGTTTTCTTGTTGACTGTTTTCTTGTTGACTGTTTTGGTGTTGACTGTTTATGGTTGACTGTTTTCTTGTTGACTGATTATAGTTGACGTTTTCTTGCTGACTGTTTTCTTGTTGACTGTTTTTTGTTGACTGTTTTTTGTTGACTGTTTGGGTGTTGACTGTTTATGGTTGACTGTTTTTTGCTGACTGTTTTCTTGTTGACTGTTTTTTGTTGACTGTTTTCTTGTTGACTGATTATGGTTGACTGTTTTTTGTTGACTGTTTTGGTGTTGACCGTTTTCCTGTTGACCGGTTTGGTGTTGACTGTTTTCTTGCCGACTGTTTTCTTGTTGACTGTTTTCTTGTTGACTGATTATAGTTGACGTTTTCTTGCTGACTGTTTTCTTGTTGACTGTTTTGGTGTTGACTGTTTTCTTGTTGACTGGTTATAGTTGACGTTTTCTTGCTGACTGTTTTCTTGTTGACTGTTTTTTGTTGACTGTTTTGGTGTTGACTGTTTTTTTGTTGACTGTTTGGGTGTTGACTGTTTATGGTTGACTGTTTTTTGCTGACTGTTTTCTTGTTGACTGTTTTTTGTTGACTGTTTTCTTGTTGACTGATTATGGTTGACTGTTTTTTGTTGACTGTTTTGGTGTTGACCGTTTTCCTGTTGACCGGTTTGGTGTTGACTGTTTTCTTGCCGACTGTTTTCTTGTTGACTGTTTTCTTGTTGACTGATTATAGTTGACGTTTTCTTGCTGACTGTTTTCTTGTTGACTGTTTTGGTGTTGACTGTTTTCTTGTTGACTGGTTATAGTTGACGTTTTCTTGCTGACTGTTTTCTTGCTGACTGTTTTCTTGTTGACTGTTTTTTGTTGACTGTTTTGGTGTTGACTGTTTTTTTGCTGACTGTTTTCTTGTTGACTGTTTTGGTGTTGACTGTTTTCTTGTTGACTGATTATAGTTGACGTTTTCTTGCTGACTGTTTTCTTGTTGACTGTTTTCTTGTTGACTGTTTTTTGTTGACTGTTTTGGTGTTGACTGTTTTCTTGCTGACTGTTTTCTTGCTGACTGTTTTTTTGTTGACTGTTTTTTTGTTGACCGTTTTCCTGTTGACCGGTTTGGTGTTGAGTGTTTTCTTGTTGACTGTTTTGGTTTTGACTGTTTTCTTGCTGACTGTTTATGTTTGAGTGTTTTCTTGCTTGTGTCGGCAGTCGTGGCCAAAGGAGGATTCAGACAATTTTCCGAACTTTCTGGTTGGTTTCTACTGTCCGATATTGTAGCACGCTAACTTTGTTTGGGCTCCTGAACGACACGGGGGAGCAGCGTCTGCCTCACAACCAATCAGGTTAGAGGAGGTGGAGAACGGCTTTGTTTACAGTCAGAAAGAGCGGACCGCTCAAAAATGTTCAAATGTTGACGACACAGACAGAAGAGAACACAGAGATATCGATATATTACCAAATAATCAATAACTAATAACTATTGACTGATATTAGAAGATTTTTGTAAATACAGAAAAAAAGAAGCTTCTTTAACAGGTTCCTGCTCCGACTCCACCTTTAATGACAGAAACAGAGATCGTGATTTTACTCGATCTTTAACTATTTTATTCTTTTCGATTAAAAACAAAGACGCTGTAAAAACATGAATCTTTGTCCGATAAATAGAATTTTTTTTGCCTCGTTTCCTTAATTTGAGCTGAATGGACCTGAAGAGTCCAGAGAAGGTTCTGTAGAACTGTAAGAATTCTAAACCATCAGACCCGGAGACACAAACGTTCATGCTGAGTCACCTTCGCGCTCGCTGCAGAAGCTCCTCCTTCCTCTGCAGCAGCAGCTTCTGTCGTTGCTCCGCCGTCGGACAGAACTGAACCTCCGTCTCCTCCGTCTCCTCCTCCTCTTCTCCTCCCTCCTCTGCCTCCTTGTCCTTCTCCTCCTCCTCTTCTTCCTCTTCCTCCTCCTCCTCTTCCTCCGACTCGTCATCCTCTTCCTGCTCTGACTCACTGCTGGCTCCGCCCTCTTCCCCGGGAGGAGGGGTTACCTGGATGAGCGGGTGATCGAACACCTGGTGAGAGAGGAAGCAGCTTCAGACCCTCACAGGACAGAAAACTGAAGGTTCGAGTCCTGAATCCAGATCCTGAAGAGGAGAAACAGGATTCTGAGGACTGACCGTTGGGGGGCCGGCGGTCTGGATCCGTCCCTCCAGGATGTTGTCCGTGGTGACCTCCATGGAGCGGGTCATCTCCAGGTCTTCCAGGATCAGCTGAAGGGGAACCTGAGGGAACATCTCGTGGATCTGCTGAGCCTGGAACACAAACAGGAGTTACAACATGAAACCGGGTTCAGGTGGAAGACCTGGTCCTGGACTCACCATGGGGTTGATCTGGGACGGGTTTGGAGGAGCCACGCCCAAAAAGTTGGTGGTGGCCATGACCTCCACTGAGAAACTGGGTAACCAGCTGGCAATACGAGAACCTGGAAGAGGGCGGGGACACGGGTCAGAGGTTCAAAGACACTTTAGACTGCAGACCGGACCGCAGGACTTCAGGGACCCTGTAGACCCCAAAACTGGTTTACCGTCTCACCGTCAAAGTGGAAGAAGTGGTTGAGCTGGTTGAGGTGCTGCCGGGCGTCGACCCCGGGGCCGGCGGCCATGTTGTCAGCAGCAGCAGCAGCCTCCCTGTTCTCCCTCTCTCCTCGTCCTCCTTCGCCTCCTTCGCCGATGTTCAGGGACATCCGACATGTTGGACAGGAAGTGTCCTGTTCCAGCCAGGAGCGCAGACACGAGCTGAGGACCAAAACATGGGACTGTGACTCGGACCGTGACCCCATCTAACCCTTCAGAACTCTAACAGAACCACCCAGAACCACCAGGGCGCGGTCCCCAAACTGGACTGATCCATAATTCATGGATCGTTTGCTCTGACCTGTGGAAGAGGTGACCGCACGGCAGCTTCCTGGCCGAACTCATCACGTCCCAGCAGATCGCACAGTCGTCGTTGTTGGCGGCCAGTTCGTCCGCAGACGCCACCGAGAACCTGGAAACAGCGGGAAGAACACGACACACATTCATCCTGTTCTCTGAGATCTGTGTGCTCCACCAGGAGGCCAGCAGGGGGCGACTCCACGGGGTGGAAACATCCGTCAATTTACCAAAGACTCTCTGAACATCGTGAGAGGTTTTGGTCTCATCGAAACAAAATCAGTTTTTAGTGACATCAGAGATTTCCTCTCTCTCTAACCCCCGATCTCCACCTTCAACCTGATCGTCTCCTAAAAGGTCGAAATTCACGAAAATCGCCGCCAGTCTGGATGCGGTGAAAATTGTGGGTAACACTGACCTGGTCTCCATGTTGTGCAGGACTCGCAGGTAGTTCTGGTGTCGGCGGACTCTCTTCTGGACCTCCTGGACGAGGAAACGAAGCTGCATGAAGATCACCAGACTGGCCATGGAGAGCCAGATGTTGCTGAAGAGCTGCGGAGGAACAGAGAAGATCTTTGACTCCAAAATTAAAACTTCAGATAAACTTTTTTTTTTTAAACTCTAGAAAATCGTCAGATTGGACTCGACGTCTCGTTTACTGACCAACATGTGGATGTGATGCAGCAGGTCCAGGCCCAGTAACAGCAGCTCCATCAGCAGGTCTGTGTAGTAGACGTAGGAGGATTTGTTGTCCCAGCTGCTCTCCTCGCTCATGTCCCACAGGTGGATGGAGTACCTGCAGGAAACAGGAAACACCATCAGAGACTGTCACAATAAAAGCCTCTGAAGAGCTCAAAACAGGAAATCTGTCCGAGAACCCACCGAGAGATGACGTGTGTGGTCCTGACGGTCACCAGCATGCACTGAAACACAGACACAGAAGATCAGAGAAGTCCAAACGGGTTTTGTAAAGTAGGAACCATCTGGGAGGAGTGAGAGGTTTCTTGGTTTCTCACCTCAGCTGCCATGAAGGCGGCGGTGTGTCGACCTTGACTCCGAGCCAGACGGCTGCAGATGGTCGCCAAACCCCCGCAGCACAACAGCAGCGCCACCAACAGGAGCAGCACCCGGACGTGGCTGGACATGGGCGTGGTCGGAGAGAAGGAGAGCTGTAGGAGCACAAGAGGAAGAACTTCAGACCTCCACCCTGTGGTTTCGTAGTTCTTGTGTTTGACTGAATCAACGTTACATATTCAAAGCGGTCCTTGCAGAGCTGAACCAGGAGGTGGAGGAAGACCAGGACCGCAAACCAGAGCCACCACATCACCACCTCGTCCACGGTCTGGACGTTCAGGACGCCGAACACGAAGATGAACTTGTAGAAGATGAAGTTCCAGAACTTGTCCTTTAGATGCTGCAGAGGAGAAGTTTTCAATCTACAGACTCTTTTGAAGATGTTTGTCAGTTTAACAGAAACGTCTAAAGATCGAGGATTTACTTTGTTTTTCTCCTTTTTTAGTCTAAAGATCATTTTAGGGGCTTTTTTTAAACTTCAGTGGATAAGACCACATGAAAACAAACACTGACCTGTTTCTCGCTGACACGGAGCGGCCCGAAAACGACACACTGGATGAGTTTGGCGACCAGCAGCAAGACGCAGCAGGCCGTGTTCACCATCACCTTCAAACGGAGAGACAGAGGAGTTCAGAGTGAGCTGGACATGATGGAGAATAAAACAAATAAAAATCAGGTGGAAGAAGAAAAACAGAGTTCAGAACGAGACTGAATTAAAGGGTTAGTAGAGGGTTTTTAAAGGAATCAGCTCTTATTTTCCCAACACGCTGTAAATGTCCGTGAAACCAGGAGACCAGGATCTGCAGCTGCTCAGCAGTTCAGGGTCTCCTTGGTCCTGTTTTTGGGGTCATGATGCTCCAAATGTTTTCAATGCGCCTTTTTAGCCTTTGTTTTACTTATAATCTTTTTATTGATTTTAATGTTTTCATTTTCCTTTATTTTATATATATATATTTAATTCCACTTTATCATTTATATTACCATCATTTTATTTTATTATGATTTTATTATTATTATTAATATCCTCTTTTATACTTACTAGCCTGTTTTCTTCCCTCCTTTTCTATTTCTTTTTTTGCTTTTATTTTGGTCCTCATGGTCCCATTTATTTTGTAGGGTTCTTGTATTGCCTGGGTTTCTTACGAAAAGTGAAACAGGCCTACAATTCAAAGGCCTGTTTTTAACTGAGCTTTTGTTTTTATGTGTTTTTGTTTTCAATGTGCTGATGCTCTGTGCTTACAACTGTTGTCAAAGCACTTTGTAAACTTCTGTTTTTAAAGGTGCTATATAAATAAAATTATTATTATTATTATTATTAAAAGTAAGGACCGCATCAGTCCAGGACTCTTCTCCTAAAGAGCCATGCTGTTTGGGATCATATGAAGGTCTTCCCTGTAAAAGCCAGGTGGACCTCTTTAGAGAGTCCAGGATTTCCAAGGTTAAGACTTCATTTCATAAGACCACAGGAGTTTTCCTCTTTCCCTCCGCCTCTCTGAATGTCTTTTTATACCCTGTCATGTGACTGACCTGATGGAAATTCACCTCATTTGGAGACGTTCCTCCAGATGTTTTTTCATTACAACTTTCTACCTGTTTGGTTGTTCCTCTACGAGAACTTTTGGGGCGGCGGTAGCTCAGGAGGTAGAGCATTGGCAGCCATGTTTTTGTCAGTCTGCCCCAAGACAGCTGTGACAACTACGGTAGTTTACCACCACCAAGTAGGTCTGGGTGATAAAACGATAACGATATATATTAAAAATTAATTTCCCTCAATTTTATATCCTGATAATGATCGATATCGACTGATATGGAGGAAATATATCGTAATAAACTTTTTCACATGTCGCCCGGACCTACTACCAAGGTGTGACTGAATGAATGATGGATCCAATGTAAAGCGCTTTGAGGGTCTCTGATAAAGAGCTATAATGTTCTGATGCACTGATATTATTTGGACCTGTTTGGTTCCTCTCTATCAGAACTTTGGACCTGTTTCCTTCGTGTTTTTATCTCTTTTATTCTAACCTGTATTTATGTTTTTCACTCACCCACACAAACACACTGTCACTCAGCAGGAACAGCACCAGGTCCACCGCCTCGTCCCCGAGCCCCGAACCCACCAGCCGACCTCCATCCCTGATGATCCGGCTGATCCTGGGGCTGTGGACCGGGTCCCCGAGGGTCTCCTCCGGGCTGGACTGCGGGCGCGAGTCGGAGGAGCAGACGGTGAGGACGGTTCCGACCAGCAGAGCGGTACTGAGGGCCGTGTAGGCCCGCAAACTGGGCCAGGGGAACCGGTCCAGAACGACGAAAGGCATGCTGGTTTAAAGGGTCAAAAAACACCAACGGTTCTGTTTACTGTGGTTCCTGTCATCTTCAGATGTTACTCCTGTTTATTATATAAACACAAAGAGATAATTTTGATCATTTATCCTCTTTTTTTAGAGTTTTTATGTCAACATTCAGAGCTAACGTTAGCTCGGCTGTTAGCATAGAGTCGATCTACAGTGGCTCATTAGGGTCAAAGTAAATACGAGCTGATCAGATATCAATTTTACTCATTTATCTTTAAACCACGTGTTATTAGATAAAATTTTAATAAACTGATAAGACTTAAAAGTGTCGTTTTGAAGGAGAAGTCATAGCTTTGCTCTGTTTACGTTCCTCTTCTTCGCTTGATAAATTGACGTTTGGTTTCGAAATTCAAGGAGTTCAGCGACACCCAGAGGACAGCAGAGGGAGCACACGGAGAAATCCTCTATGGTTTCGATCAATCAAACTTTATTTTTAAAGCACTCTTTATACATATAATGTTGTACAAAGTGCTGTCCATTCAAGCAGGATATTAAAAAACAAAGAAATCAAAGAAATATAAATACAAATACGTAACCCGCCCATCCTTTCTGCGGATGTTTCTTATGACAAATAAAGGTTCTGGTAGGAACTTTTCTTAAACAGACTCTAAAACTCATCGCAGGTACACTCAGGTTCTCATAGGTTTTCAATTTTAATTGTTTATGTAAATTTAAATTTCACTTTGACTGGTTTAGTTATTAACTTTCATATTCTTCACTTTATATCCAGTTCGATATTATTTGTTTCCCCTCAGTCGGCGGAACTGTTTTTGTGATGCACCACGGTCTCAATGTTTTCTTCCGGTCGGTGTTTCAAACATGTGAGAGATGGCGTCACGCGCTCAGGAGGCTTCACGCGCTCAGGAGGTCCCCCTGCTCGGTCTGTGTGACGGACACCTGGACCCCAACAGGTACCGGACCTCATACCTGACCAACAAAGTGGGGGGTCAGCCGGACTGGTTACCGGGGCTCTCCCGGAGGTCTCCATGCTGTGGGGTCTGTGGAGCCCCGTCAGTCCACGTGGTACAGGTGTACTGTCCCCTCCAGTCCTCCCCCTACCACAGAAACCTCCACCTGTTCGCGTGCCCAAGTGTGGAGTGCAGCGGCAGGTCCGCGAGCTGGACGGTGATCCGCTCTCAGGGTTTAGAACCAGCGGGGACACCCAGCCCGTCTCAGCCGGCTCAGGAGGCTCGTCCGGCGGCCACAGACTGGTGTGAGTCCGCTGACGACTGGGGGATGGAGGAGGAGGATGGATGGGGAGGAGGAGGAGGTGTGAGGAAGGAGGAACAGAGTGAGGCAGCTCCTCAGGATCAGGGTAATCGATTGTTATTATTATTGTTGTTGTTGTTGTTGTTGAAATTACAGGAATTATTAATTTATTATTATAATTAAAAGTTTTTTTTTAACTTAAAAACTCCCCAGAGCAGAGACGCTCAAAAACTCTGGCAGAAAATTTGTCAGACAGGTCTGGCTGAAATTGTCATATTTTTTCTTTGCCCCTTTGAAAAAGAAACCGATATAAAGTTAGATTAGACATTCACATTCATTTGACATTCAAAAAATACATATAAAGCTATTATTCTCCCTGACCATGTGACTTACTAATACTTTTTGATATTTTACTATACTTTACAATGACATTTTTATCATACTATACTATGACATTTTATCAAATCTGATGTTTTTTTTAAAGTATACTATGATATTTTTTAGCATATGATATTTTATCATACTATACTATGATATATATCATAATTAACTGACTTTTTCTAACATACTATGCTATAATTTTTTTTATCATACTAATCTATGATATTTTTATCAAACTATCCGGCCAGATTTTTTTTTCAAACTATGATACAATATTTTTTAACACAATACTTAAATTTTTTTATTACTCTACATTTTTTTATAGTACAATACCATGATATTTTTAACAAACTTTACTGTGATATTTAATAATACTCAATGAGGATTTTTTTTTATCTAACTATAGTATGATCCCTTTTTTCAGACTTAAATGTCATTTTTTAAATAAAGTATAGTAAGAAATTTTTTCATACTATATTTTAATGTTTTTATCATAGTATACTATGATGTTTTGATCATACGATGGTCTTATGATACTATGCTATGATTTTTTTTAAACCATACTATACTTGATATTTTATAATACTTTTTAACACACTATAATATGACATTTTTATTATACTATACTATGTCATTTTTCTCCATGCTATGATATGATCTTTTTATCATGCTATACTACAACGTTATATTTAAAATATACTTGTCATATTCGTCAAACAATACTATGATGTTTTTTTTATACTTCGATATGATCTTTTGATCATACATGATCATACTATACTATGACATTTTTATCATACTATACTATGAGAAATTTGTCATACTATACTATGATGTTTTTTATATTTTGATTTGAATTTTCGATCATACTTTTCTAGTACTGTTCTAAAAAAAATGTACTATAATTAAATATGATTTTTTTTAAACATAATATACTATGACATTTTTTTATCATAATGTACTCTTTATTATTATATGATGAAAAATTTAATCAGGCTTTTATATGATATCTTTATTACTATTGACAAAAAAAATTAAAACATAATATATAATGACATTTTTAATCAATATATAATATCCTTTATCATACTATAATAATTTGTTTCCATACTTTATTAGGACATTTTTATCATACTATATTGTGATGTTTTGTTATCAAACTTTAATATCACATTTTAATCAAACTATACTGACATTTTTCTTATCATACTATACTTTGACATTTTATCATACTTCACTATCAAAATTTGACCATACTTAGCTATGATTTTACAAACATAAAATATTATGACATTTTTATCATACTATACTGTGACAATTTTTTTCATTCAAAATTATGTTTTTTTTCATGTTAAAATATGAAATTTTTAACATACTGTACTATGACATTTATATCATTCTATACCATGACTTTTATACTGACATATGAAATTCTTTCCACTAGACTTTGACATGTTTTCATTAAAATTTTAATTCAATTTTTTTTCATTCTGAAATATGAAATTTTTTTACATACTATACTATGACATGTTAATGATACAATATAATTACACTTTCTTCATACCCAATTATGCAAATTTTCTCCACACTAAAATTTGAAAATTTTCACATACTATACTATGACGTTATTTTCATTCTAAATTATGATTTTTTTTTTTTTTTCATTTAAAATTATGAGATTTTTTAACATACTTTAGTATGACATTTTTTTCATACCATACAATGACTTTTATACTGATATATGAAAATTTTCTCCACACTAAAATTTGAAATTTTTCTCATACCAAACTTTGACATGTTTTTATTAAATATTTTTCATTCTGAAATATGAAATTTTTTACATACTATACTATGACATGTTATGATACAATACTATCACACTTTTTCTCTCCAAAAGTTAAAATTTTTAACATACAATGCTATGACAATTTTTTCATTCTAAATTATGTTTTTTTTATCATTTTAATATATGAGATTTTTAACATACCATACTATGATATTTTATTGATACTATACTATAACTTATTTTTATAACGAAATATGAAAATTTTCTCCACACTAAAATTTGAAATTTTTTACATTCCATACTGACATTTCTTATTTTAAATTATGATTTTTTCATTATAAAATATGACATTTTTAACATACTTAACTTAACATACAATGACATTTTTATCATATTATACTATGACTTTTTTCATACTAAAATATGAAAAAAAAATTCACACTATAATTTGAAATTTTTCACATACTATACTTTGACATTTTTTCCATTTTAAATTATGATTTTTTCATTCTAAAAAATTTAATTTTGTATATACTATACTATGATAAGTAAATGATACAATATAATAACATTTATTCCATACTGATTTTTTTTTTTTCACACTATAAGTAAAAAATAAAGTAAAAAATTTTAATCATACTGTATTTCATCATACTTTACCATGACATTTATGTCATACTATACCAGACAAATTTGTCAAACTACTATGGTGTTTTTCTTCATACTTTGATGTAATTTTTTGATCATACTGAAGAAATGACAAAGTATAAAGAAAATACCCAGGAATGAGGAGGGAGACAGGAACTTTCAATGGTAACTGAAAATTTATTTAATACATGGAACAAAAAACAAAATCAAAATCTTAGATTAAATAAAGTCGACACAAGTATTAAAGATAACCTTAAAAAAAACAAAGTTTTCGCACAACAATCTCCTTGGGCTCTTCACTTAGTCTGCTCCAGAGAGAGATCAGCTGCCTGCTCTCCTCCTTTTTAACGCCGGCTCCTGATGGCAGCCACAGGTGCATTCAATACACCACTCCAGCCTGCAGCAGAGGGAGAGAGAGAGGGGGAGAGAGATAAAAGGAGAGAAGAGGAGAGGACAGCACCAGAAACCAACACAACCCGTAACAACTTATTTGATATTTTTTTTCATACTATACTTTGACATTTTAATCATACTATACTATGGAATTTTTATAAAACTATACAGTGATATTTATCATATTATACTATGATAAATTTTGTACAATACTACAATAATTTTATCAAACTTAACTATGATTTTTTAAATATATTATAATGTGACTTTTTTCATACTTTAATATGATATTTTAATCATGCTATAAATAATAGTAAATAAATGTAAGTTATACAATACTATGACATTTTTTCATACTGAATTATTTTTTTTTCACACCAAAAGTTAAAATTTTTAACATACTATACTATGACATTTTTTTAACGCTAAAATAGCAATTTGTTTTTTATTCTAGAAAATGACATTTTTAACATACTAAAATATGAGGTTTTTCATCATACTGTACTATGACCTTTTATCATACTTTATTATGACATTTTTATCATACCATACCATGACATTTCTTTCATTTTTAATGTGAATTTTTCTTACACTAAAAGTAGAAATTTGTATCTTACTATAATATGACATTTTTTCCATACTTAAACATGATTTTTTTTTTCATTCCAAAATTTTTTCCATCCTATACAATGAAATTTTTTTCATACTAAAATAATAAATTCATCTTGAATATGAATTTTTTCACACCAAAAGATAATTTTTTTTCCTACTGTACTGACATTTTTTCATCCTAAAATAGGATTTTTTTTCATTCCAAAATATTGAATTTTAACATACTATACTATGACATTTTTTCATACTAAATTATACATTTTTTTATCACACAAAAAGTAAAAATTTTGAACATACTATACAATGACATTTTTTTTCATTCTACATTATAGTTTTTTTTTCATGTTAAAATATGAAATTTTAAACATACTATACTATGACATTTTTTTAAACTGAAATATGAAGCTTTTCTCCACACAAAAATTTGAACATTTTCACATACTATACTATGACATTTTTTCCATTTTAAATTATGTCATTTTTTCATTCTAAGATATCAAATCTTTTGAATAATATACATGAATTTTTTTATGCTAAAATAGGAATTTTTAACATTAACATTAGACATTTTTAACCATCTTAAATAAGAAATTATACTATGACATTTTTATACTTTACTCTGACATTTTTTTTTATACTATACTCAGACAAATTTTATTATACTTTAATCTATTTTTTTTCATACTATACTCTGACAAATTTTATTATACTTTACTCTGATATTTTTATTATACTATTCACAGAAATTCTTCAGATTTTTTAAACGTGTATTTTTTCCATTCTCTGTAGCCGCTGAGACCGCCGTCAGCGCTCAGCTCCAGGACCTCAGTTTGGTCGAACCTCGTGACGACCTTCCTGACCTCCGCCCGTTCTTCATCAGTGTGGTGGAAGAGTCTGATCTGGGCGAAGAGGAAGTCGACCTTCAACACGCCAAGCAGCTGCTGAAGGAGTATGAGAGGAGGGAGGGGAAGACAGTGGGAGACCTGGAAGAAGAGGGTGAGGGCGGGAGAGGAGGAGGAGGCGGCGAGGAGAAGTACGAGAAGATGACCGCTCGTCACGGGGACGCCGTCTTCTCCAGGTTCATGAAGAGGATCTCTCTGTGTCCTCAGCAGATCCTGAGGTACTGCCGAGGAGGGGCGCCACTCTTCATCTCCGAGCCTCCGGCTAACATGGCTCAGGCGGTGACGGCGTGCGGCAGCTGCGGAGGAGCGAGGACGTTTGAGCTGCAGCTGATGCCGGCTCTGGTCAGTCTGCTGCAGAGGAGGGACGGCGGGCCAGAGACAGAACTGGAGTTCGGGACGGTTCTGGTTTATACCTGCACAAAGAGCTGCTGGACGGATGGATCCAGATCAGCCGTGGAGGAGTTCTGTTTGGTCCAGGCCGACCCGGACCAGAAACTCTTTAAATGACCCCGCAGGTCAAAGGACTCTGGTGAACTATGACCCCTCAGGTGTGCACCTGGGTTCAGAGGAGGAACAGGATCCAGATCGTTCTCTTCAGGCAGGATGAGGCTGAGACGAGATCATGAGAGGAAGTAACACCTGAGCAACGAGGAAACAAACGAGCGTCTGAGAAATGAGGCTGAACAGGAAACAGATCCTCCGCTTTTTAAGGTGGACTGTCAAGGACAAACGAATGTAATCAGAGTGAAGTCTGAACCTGATGAGAATAAACGGTCGGAAGAACAAAGGTGTCGTATTTGATCAGTTTACTCACTTTATCTCTTTATTATGAGAATTTAGTCTTTGAGGATAAAATTATTAAAATAGAGTCATGAGAATTTACTTCTCAGGAAGTCGTGATGAAAATAAAGTTATGATGAGAAGAAACATAATGAGAGAAAAGTCTGAGAACAAATTTAAAAGAGAATTAAGACGTTTTGAATTAAGTCTGAGAACAAGTTTGAAATGAGAATAAAGTCGTTATTCTCAGAAAACTGATTCAGTCCATCTTTATTTTCAGTTTTTGACTTTTTCTTGTGAAGTTTCGACTTTTTTGTGACTGAATTCTTATTAAAAAAAAACAAATTTAAATTAAAACATTATTTCTATGATGACTTTAATTATAACCTGATTCAGTTTTTATCATACTGCAGTTTTATTTTTGTAAAATCATGATCATCGTCTGCTGTTTCCATCCCTCTGGTTAAAGAACATGAAGTCTTTGATTTTACCGAGTATGAAGAGAGACGTCTGTGTTTAGAGGCTGTCATGTTATTCTGCTGTTGACAATAAAAAACATTTTTAAAAAGTTCATAAACTGAATAAAAAAGTTTTTACAAGATCTTATAAAAGTTAAAGATAGAATGTCTTTATTTCCACGTTACCTCGGGGGTTTCAAAGATTTTAAAAGAAGTCAAACTAGAAATAAACTTAAATCCTTTTTAGTGCTGCTCCGATGTTAGACCTCTAACAGACGCATCAGAGCTCTGAGGACGGTTTGTAACTGAACGCATCGCTGCAGGAATGGAGGAGGATTGTTTGAAAAGGGAGTGAGGGCTCTGAAACCAGAATAGATGTCTGAAACACTCGTCTGAAATCACTCGTCTGAAACACAGAGGATGTTTAAGTTTAGTTTTACTTCAACTTTTGACACACGTCTAAAACTCCGTCACACACAAACAGTCGAGGCCGAACAGCAGAAATCAGAGTCAGAGGGAAATGTAAACTGTACAGAAAAACGGATCAGCTGGAGGAGTTGGTTATCTTCTGGACCTGATCCCGAGTATCAAAAATACATTTTCTTCATTAACAGGCCGATCAATAATCAAAGATGATTTTTGATTAGTGCGTCTGAAGCCTGATGTGAACAGCTCTGGCTGCTGTGACCGTCACTTTAAAGCCCTTTGGATGTGTTTGACAGCTGAATCGTCTTTGGTTTCATCTTTGAAAATGTTCCTGAGACAGAAGAGGAAACAGTCACGAGAACACCTGATTGGACGAGACCCGTCCGAGGCTGCTGATTGGTTCTCAGGCACTTCAGGTTCAGTCTCTGCACTTAGTGCAGACCGTCGGTTTGTTTCTGTCCCGACAGCAAACAGCAGAAGAAGAGTTAAAGTCGGAGGAGCTGTGGGGCTACGGAGGACCTCCACAGAACGGTAAGGCCGCGTCACCGGGCTTGTGCTCCCAGTCGTACTGGTGGTACTGGTGGTACTGGTCAGGGTGAGTGCTGCTCAGACCGCCGATGTCTCTGTCGATGATCTCGTTCACTGTGACCAGGAGAGAAGCAGAAAACAGACGTTTTTATGAACCTGTGCGGTGATTCTCAGAGATCTTTATAACATTTTAACGTCAAACTGTTTATCACAGCTTTCCTCTGGTTCTGGTGAAGGAAGTTCAGGAACAGGAAAATATTTCACATAATGAACAGCCCTGAAATGTTACTCTACACCGCAGTTCCTCGTACAGCCACAGGAGGGAGCAGCTGAGCGATCACTGCAGCTGAAATATGTTCATTAAAACCTTCATTTAGTAAACGAGATGTTAGAGAGACAGACGACAAACTCTGAAACTAAAGTTTGTTACATTATATCTGATATCATTAGATTATATTGTATTATATTAGGTTATAATGTTATATTATTTTATATTTTATAATTACATTTTATATTAATTATGTTATACTATACTATATTACATATTATTTTGTATTATTTTTATTATATAATACTATATTATACTCATTATTTTTTATATTAGATTAGACTAGATTATTTTATACTTATTATTTAGTAAAGATTATATTATACTATATGATATTTTTTTATATTTATTCATAATAAAATATATTATATTATGTTATATTATATTTTATTATATTGCATTACATGTATATATTATGTTGTATTAGATTATTTTGAGTTTATTATTTATTTAATATTATATTATACTGTATATAATATTATTGTAATTTTTTAGATTAATTATATTATATTATATTATACTTTATTATTGTACATTATATTATATTATATTATATTATATTGTATTATATTAAATTATATAATATTATATTATATTATATTATATTGTATTATATTAAATTATATAATATTATATTATATTATATTATATTAAATTATATAATATTATATTATATTATAATGAGCAGCAGTGTGAGTGAAGCTGCCCTCAGTGGATAACAGTAAACACCTCCATCAGTCTAAACTTAGCTCTGCTGAGAAACCTGAAGCTCATGAAGCAACAACAGTTCACACACACACACACACACACACACACACACACACACACACACACACACACACACACACACACACACACACACACACACACACACACACACACACTGAACCCTGAACCTGACTCCATCTGCACCTTCAGATCCAAACACAAACACTCTCCTTCTCCTTCCCGTCCTCCACCAACACCTGGACCTCTAAAACCTCTAAGACCTCTAAGACCTCTCAAACCCTGGTCCTGACCTTTTTTGGTACGATGGGGTCAAAGAGTTGAAATGACAAAAGCAGGTGTGAGAATCGAGCTTCCTTTCACAGACGGTGAACACTTGAGAGTTTGAGTCTCATCTGAATAAAGAACTTTATAACCATCCCTGTAGCTGTTTTCATCCTTCAGAAGCTTTTACATCCTTTCAAAATAAAAGTCTGATCTTAGAGTCGAGGAAAATAAGAAACACGTCATCCTAACAGGAAAGAGCTTTTCAGACCGATCACTGATGATCAGAAATAATCAATAAACTACAGCTGATTTAATCTGAGCGACTGTGTGTGAAGACGCAGACGATAGTGTGTGTGTGTGTGTGTGTGTGTGTGGATGGGAGGGTCACAGGCCTGACGACAGCTGCTGCTCGCCAGCTGAGGCGCTGCAACAAATTTAACCTCCGTCTGCATCATTCAGAGCAACAAACACACACACACAAGCACACACACACACACACACACACACACACACACACAGGCACACACATACACAACTATTAATAACCATCAGATCAGAGAGGAGACACAGAGAGAGAGAGAGAGAGCGAGAGGACCCCAATGTATAAATAACCAACATCACAGGACAAATGTATGTACACACACACCCACACACACACACACACACACTCTCACACACACACACACACACACACACACTCACACACACACACCTGAGGAGGTCAGCTGCACGACTAAATCAGATCGTGAGAATGTGAAACTCCAGATCTGAACCCACAGACCGGATCACAGAGGAGGGGCGACGTTTCAGCGACGAAAATAACAACCGTAAAAAAAAAACTTGATTTCAGAGAGTTGTTTTTTTACTCAGCATCTATTTTAGAGTCCTGAAGGTCAAGGGTCAGAGATTTTTAAAACCGTTAAAAAAAATTTCACTGCAGGGAAACAATAAAAATAATTACACCAAAAATATTTTGTGAAACGCAAAAATTCTTAGCTTAAGTTTTTCACAACAACCAAAAAAAGTAACCAAAAAGGCAAAAGAATTTATAAAATGCAAAAATATTTTAGAAAGCAAAAAGTAGTAAAGGCTATTAATGTAAAATAATTTTTTTTAAAAGAATTCATTTGAATAAATCCTAATGTTAAATTTTTATGTAACACAAAAATAATTCTAGGGAAAAAGAAAAATATTTGTGGTTCAGAAAGGATATTTAGATTTTTGCAAAATTATTACAATTTATGGTAAAATGTTTTCATGAAAGACAAAAATATTTTGTGGTTTGTAAAAATGCAGCTCTATACAGTTATTAGGGTTGAAATGCAAAAAAAATTTATGAAGCAAAAATATTTGTATAATATGTAATCATGTTGTGCTCAAACTTAATCTTTCCAAAAAATGTTTTTTCTATGAAATGCAAAAAATTCAACAAAAGGGGGAAAAAATATTTGTTGAACTTTTTAAATATTTTTTAATCTTACAGACCTAGAAGACAGAAAAATTCAGGAAAATAAGAATTTTATGAAATGCAAAAATATTTTTAGAAACAGAAATATTTTAAATTATATTTCTAAGTGTCATAAAATAATTTTCTCTAAGAAAATTGTTTTATAAATTTTTCTTTTTTGTGTTTGATGAAATGTTTTTATTTTGACCTTCAGGGCCACCGTATACTTTCACTGTTGATCCAATAAAGTGAATTTTTACTCTGAACATGAACCTGAAAACAGTTTTAATACTTTTATTATGGTGGACCCTGTTCTGTCTGCTTTTGCTCTCCATACAGACTGTTTGCCAATGAAAGCTGAAACCTGATTGGTCGATACCTCTCAGACTGTGAACAGAGCTTAATAAACTCCTCAGGTCTCTTACCGTCGTCCAGTGTGATCTCCTGGAGGCCCAACGATCCCAGGTTCGGCTGGTCTTCTGGTTCCCGCTTGATCCCCTGAGCCCCTCCTGATACAGGAAGCAGTAAGTCCTTTTGGGGGTCCACAGGGGTCACAAAGGCTCTTCTGGACACTAGAGAGGGAGGGGCCTCCCTGGGAGGAGGGACGCTGAAGGTCTGCAGGGGTAGCGAAGAGGCGTGAGGAGGGACAGAGGAGGTCTGAGGGGGGACGGTGAAGGTCTGAGGAAAGACTGAGACGGTCTTCTGAGGGAGGGAAGAGGTCTGAGGGGGGGCGCTGAAGGTCTGAGGAGGAATAAAGGTCTGAGGGGGGGCGGAGGAGGAGGAGGAGGAGGCGTGGAGAGGGATGGAGGAGGAGGAGGTGTGGGGAAACATTAAGGATGGAGGTGGGGGATTCTGGGAAGGAGGACCACAGTGCACCGGGAGGTCACAGGGGTCGTAGTAAACCAGGTCTGGGACTCGGTCACAAGAAGGGGGGCAGAAACCAGGTGGATTGTGGGAGATGCAGTCTGTTTCCCATCTCTCCTGTTTGATCTGACATCTGACGGCGGGCAGGAAGGTGAAGCTCTGAGCCAGACTTCTTCTTCTCTTCCCGTTAGAGACATAAAACTGGACCAGGACCGGATCCTTCGTCTTCTTGTTGTACGGCGGGACCTCGACCACGAGGCTGGACTGAGGGACGGAGACAGAGACGAGAGGAGGACTTCAGAAAAGTGAAGACAACATGAATGAAGATCCAGTTTGTCGCCATCGTGTGTCACCAGCTCTCTGTGAACGGCAGTGAATCTAGGAGACCCCCTTCTAGAGTCTGGAGACCGATCTGTTCTCTTCCTGTCTGCGGTTTTTCAGAATAAAGGTCTAATTTAGATTTTGAGTGGGCCGAGACATGATCCCTGTGGAACTCCATAACAAACTAGAGATACCAACACACCATCAGGGATACGAGATTCAGACAGAGAGCAGCTCTTTAAAACTGAGGACACAGCATCTATGATTTCTAGGTCTTTGTGAAAATGACAACTGGACTTACTCGAGACGTTTCTGAGGACGCAGCATCTATGATTTCTAGTTCTACTCTGAGGGAGACAGCTGGACTTACTTGAGACGTTTTTGTGACGCAGCATCTATGATTTCTAGTTCTTCGTTGAGAGGACAGCTGGACTTACTTAGGACATTTCTGAGGACACAGCATCTATGAATTCTAGGTCTTCTTGAAAGGACAACTGGACTTACTTGAGACATTTTTAAGGACACAAAATCTATGATTTCTAGTTCTATGTGGAAATGACAACTAGACTTGAGACATTTCTGAGGATGCAGCATCTATGATTTCTGGTCCTTTGTTGAAAGGACATCTGGACTTAATTAAGACGCGTCTGAGGATGTGGAATCTATTATTTCTAGTTCTTTGTTAAAAGGACAGCTGGACTTATTCAAGACCTTTCTGAGGATGCAGCATCTACTATTTCAAATTCTTCGTTGAAAGGACAACTGGACTTACTTAAGACATTTGTAAGGATGCAGCATCTATAATTTCTAGCTCTCTGTTGAAAGGACAACTGGACTGACTTGCGAAACGTCTCAAGTCAGTCCAGTTGTCCTTTTCCATGCGTTGATTTCCCCTCCAGAGTCTTTTCTGTTTTTTACACCCTGAATGTCTGGACGATCCTGTCCTGGTTTGGTCCAGTCCTGGTTGTGGTCCAGTCCTGGTTTTGGTCCTCGTGCGGTGAACCTCCTCCTCCTCCATGTTTCCGTCTGCGAGTTTCTAAATTTGTTCTCTTTTCACACTTTTTATTGAATTATTATTTTTACGCTCTGTTCGCCTCGAGGCGGCGATAAAAACTCGTCACTTGGAAAAGCGTGAAGACGAGAACAAACGGACTTTTATCAAACTCACGAAGACGATGAAATCCCAGATTTCAGACGTCTCTCTGTGTTTGATTTTGATGTTGAACAGCATCTGTGATTGATTAGTCTGATTCCATGATCGTCCGACCCTCAAAGAGCCTCTTTGTCGTCTTCATCACTGACTCGTTTTTTCCATGACTGAATATTTCTACGTTTCTTTGTTTGTGTTTTTCGATACTCACTCCTCGGCTTTTTTCAGGCACCACTCTGGCGTCGGTTTCCCACAGCGATCTTCCATCTGGAACAAAAAAATAAACAGATTCAAACTGACGTCCAAAAAAAAAAAAACACCTGATTTTCATTTGTAAGATAAACAAACAGCGTCTGATCCGACCTGGACCCTTCTCCATGAAGATGACCCGGGACTGCGTGGAGATGTTGGACCCGGTGATGAGCAGCTCCTCGCCGCCGTCCGCGGAGCAGCTGTTCGGACTGAAGCTCTCCACCTGAGGCAGCTCCTGACCCGAGCGCTGGGCTGAAACACAGAAGGTCATGATTGAACATCTGAGAGGAAACCAGCGTCAGAGATTAAGATCGGAGTTTGTCAACATTCACATCCTCCTGATTTCCTCTTCTGAACGATAAAAACTCTGAATATGGAACAAACTAAAGGCCTAAATAAACAAAACGACCTCGAAGTCACACTTCCTGTCTCTGAGCGGACCGTTACGAAAGTTAACGCTGTGAGGACGGACGCCAAAGAAAAGAGGAAAGAGCAGAAAACGGAGGCGGATAAAAGCGACACTGACAGACTCGCCGTCGACCTCCGAAGAGGAAGAAACAGAAGAGAGAGAGAGAGAGAGAGAGAGAGAGTGGGGAGGACATGCAGCAGATAGTCGGGGACTTAAACCCGTGACCACTGCGGGGACCGTGGTCCTCATACAGGGGGCGCACTAACCCACTCGGCCATCTGCGAACATCAGAAAAAACAAGTTTTAATTTAATTCAAAGTTTTTTTATTTTTACCAGTTTAATAAAAAAAAATCTTCTGAAGTTTCCAGACGAGAACTTTCTGTCTGACTTTGAAACTCAAACTTCTTCTGAACCGTCTAACGTCTAAAGTAGATGTTGCTCCTAAAGGTTCTTACACTCCGGGGCCGACGCCAATATAGAACGTGAAATTCCCAGAGGGGTCAGGAGACGGCGGTCTGACAGTCTGACAGTCTGCCTCGGCCCGTCCCAAACGGAGGAGTCAGCCCTGATTCTGGATCCTGTTTAAAACATGTTCCTGACGCCGCCGTGGACACGAGTCAGCGTCTCTCTACTTAAAAAGTGACTCACAGCACTCCACGGGAACGGACGCCGTCTGCAGCCACAGCACCCGTCCGTCCGGCTGTGGAATCGCCGCCCTGAACACGACTCGCACCCTCGTGTTTTTGCGCCCGATGTCTGTCTCCCCTTTCTTCAGCTCGATGTCGGCGTTTCGGAGTTTTAAGATGCCGGCACAGTCGATGCTGTGGAGACAAAACAACCACAGACACTCAACCTGCTTCGTCGCCACGGAAACAACTTCTCTAAAACAGGTTTGAATCGCCGTCTCTGTTTTTACCTGGCGGACATGTTGTTCTCCGGCAGCAGAGGGACCTCCAGGACTTTGGTGGTTCCCATGATCTTCTCCTGGCAGCTGGTCGTGACCATCTTCCCCGTCACTCGGTGGACCTGGTAGAAGGAGTGAGGACGCAGGAAGCGGTCGTCCGCCGTGCCGATGAAGAGCAGGAGGCTGACCGGCTGCTCGCTGTATCCCGTCAGCTGAGGACAGAAAACCGAGCGTGAGTTTAGACTCTGACCTGAGGAGACATCTAGGTACTCTGACTCTGTGTGGAGAGTAAAGTTCATGAACGAGGATAAAAAGAGACGCTCAGTTTCAAACTTGAGAGCTTTGACATCATCACAGAAACTAAAACGTTCCTGATGTTTCGGACAGGAAGTCCCTGCAGCAGGACTTCAGGTTCCTGCTCTGGTATCAGGTCGGATCCTGTCAGAGGTTTTGAGGATCACACACTGACAGAGAAAATCCTCGCCCCGCCGCGGCGTTGGCGAGCGTGACTTTCAGTTTCCTGTGTGACCCAGCAGCTCAGTGACTTTTCACACACGGTGCAGCAGGAAGCTTCAGCTGCAGCGGCGGCCTGAGAATGTGGCGCCCAGAATAGAGCGGCTGGTGTCCGTTACATACGAGGAGGCCTTGATGGAGCTTTACTGGTCTGGGTCTGGTCTGATCCCCCCGGCTGTTCTTACACCCCCCCCCCTCTGAGCTCGTCTGTCCGAGTCGAACTTCATCAGATTTCATCTGTTTACACTTTTCTGCAACTGAGGCCCGAACTACACGAAGGCGGATATTTATTTATCAGGATATTTTTGTCCTCCCGTCTAAATAAATGTATCTGTCCACACGTGTTAGTTCAAAAAAATATCTGCGTCCACACGTAGCCTTCAAACTCAATCCTATCCGGTGCCGCTTAAAAAAACTGACTGGTGGATGTAATTGTATAAAATAAGGTTCACTGTCAAGGCTGAAATTAGCCCCAAAAGGGCAAAACAAACGTAAAGAATACCCTGTATGTCCGCCATCGTTGTTGTTGTTGTTTTTGTTTTTAATGCGCATGCGCGGGCTGCGGTTTGACGTCATCAATCCGTAAAAGTCCGACCACAGGAATCCACTGCAGATACGGGATACGGATATTTTTTTATTTCTCCGCTTGTTTTTCCGGATTCAGATTTATCCGGTTTGAGTGCTCCAAACTCCCGGTTTGGTGTGGTAGAGAGGCCTAATCGGACATAAATATGTGCGGTTTGAAATATATCCGCCTTGGTGTAGTTCAGGCCTGAGCTTCAGGATCAGAAACACTGTCAGGATTTATCGTGAATATAATCGTCGTCTTTCTCCGTCTTTGAGGAAACATCGATTTCATGAAAACCTAAAATCTGAAACGGTCTGAAGACTCGGTTTATTTCTGCTCTCAGTCTTCGGTGGATCCACGAGGAGCTGATCAGAGACGCTAATATTAGAGCTGAAACGATTTCTCGAGTTCATCGATTACAAATAATGATCGAGGAATTTTCTCTGCCCCCAGTTCTCCTTTATAAACTCAAATCGTCCTGTTTCCTGTTTCCTGTTTCGCACGGATTCTTTTGAAGGTGACTCAACACGCTTACGTCACCACGGTAGACGGAGGAGTCAGCGCCGTTTAGGTTTTACGGAGCGTAAAAATAAATGATGAGACGGGCTTTTCTGCAGACTTCTCTTCACGCTAGCTTGTAGCCTAACATCGCTGGTGTCGTAGCAGAAACAGGAAACATCGGAGTTATCCAGCTCTCGGACACTAATGTCTTCAGAGACATGATTAAAGTTAATATCATAATTAACTTTTTTATGAGCGTTACAATCTGCTAACGCACACGCTTGTTCAGCGATCGTCCGGTCTGGCCTTCATTGCGGGGCTAAAGGAAATCTAACTTTATGTGAGTCTGCTGTTTGGGTCTAATTACTCGAGTAATCGTTGGAATATTTGGTAGAATACTTGATTACTAAAATATTCAATTGGCCGTACGCCAATTCCTACCGGATCCGTTTGCAAGACGAATTTCGTGGCGGATTACAGACAGCAGGAATCATGAGAACTCACAAGAACCTGCAGATTCACGTTCAATCACACGATAACGAGTTGTCCCTCTAAAGACAGACACATAGACATATAAGCAGTAGATTGTGTCCTTCCAGAGGAGGAAATCTACTTCTAGACTTCTAGAATCAGCATCTCCTCATCCATGGTGTCATCGGGGTGAAATGACGTCTAAAAACCTTTCACTTGTTCGTCTCCGCCCGTTTGCATGGTGTGAAATACGATCCTCCTTTATTTTGAAAAGAAGCCGGATGTTTTATTTTGAAGTCTGTGCCCGACTTCCTTTCCAGCACGTGTTAATCTGTGCTGAATTTATCCGCCATGCTCCGGCGTCCAGAACAAATAGAACTCTTGTGATCAGCTGAGGAGTCCGGCGATCCTCAGAGGAACGGAAAGAAGTCGGTGTAAATTGACACGTTAACTTGAATGGTTACGATCAGCTACGATCGGAGGATACGACCTTTTAGGAGACGATCAGGATGAAGGTGGAGGTCGGGGGAAAGTCTGAAGCTTCTAAGGTCTCTGAGACCTCCTTGTGGACAGACCTGATCCTTCTCCGGACTCTGGGACTTTGAGTTTCCAACAAGATGCTGAACCGACTTTAATCTGGAAACAGGACTCTGGACCTCTGAGTCACAGTCCGGGTCTAACAGACCCCAGTTCTCTCATCTAAACCCTCAGCGTGATCTTTGCTGACTCTGCTGACTCTGAAGTCACCGCGCTCACCTGCAGAAGAGGAAGTTATTATTCAAATCTTTCTCACTCAGCTGTGTGTCAGAAAACACGCGGCGGTGCGTGAAGCGCCTGTGATTTGCATTTCCGGGCGTGTTGGTCTCTGCAGAGTTATGAGGCAGTGAACTTTTGGAGTTTGAACGTCGGAGTTTGTTCTCCGACACAGAAACTAACCGTGGCGTTCAGGAGGACTTACCCTGACCACAGGATGTCCCGTATTCGCCGCCTTGATGGAGCCTCTGCTGCCCTCCGTCTCATAGTGCGCCCTGTGGTACGACCTGGGCTGGACCTCCATCTTCAGCTCACACTGGTCGTACTGGCTGGGCAGAGGCCAGTCCAGGGGGGGGGGCGAGGAGGTCCTGGAGGCAGAAACAACAACAGACGTTTAGTGAACGCATGACACCGCCGTCAGTTAAAGGGATATAATATCCCTTTAAAGATGGTCAAACTCTGGAGCCACACCCACGCTCGAGCACATTGACCAATCAAAAGAAAGGACCTCTGAGATATCCGAGACAAAGACCCCTGACCAGAGCTCTGAAGACCAGGTCCACCCACCTGAACAGCGGGGGGTTTCCGGGTTTTGGTTTGTTCCAGCTGAAGTGGGACGGCACCTGAAGGAAGAGCTCAGCCAGGCCGTCCTGGTCCCGCCCCTCCTCCCCAGGAGACTCCAGACCCGAGTCGCCCTGCCCAGGGAGGAGGCCCAGCTGGCTGCCTGAGGTCCTCCTGGTCTTTGAGGGGACATCCAGCTCCTGGTAGCCGGACAACAAAAGGGATCCGAGGACGCCGGCGCCGGGGCTTCCGACCCAGGTGTCATCGGTGATGCTGCCCCGTGGGGAGGCGCCCGGCGTGGGGCTGGGGGAGTGATGAGGGGAGGGAGATCGGGCGTGCGGGTCCGCACTGGAGTGGCGCCTCTTCCCGCAGGGGGAGGTCGGTCTGGATGAGGGTCTGAGGGAGAAAAGGAACCAGGATTAGGATCAAACTCTGATAAAACTGAACTGACGAGGTTCTGAGGAAGGGAACCACGGACCTGGAGGTGGGGCGGCGGTTCAGCCAGCTCTCCTCCGTGATGCTGGTGCGAGGCGAGTGACACGGGGACTGACGGGGCGACTGATGGGGGGACAGCACCGGACTGAAGGCCTGGGGATGCTGGTACTTCTGCTGCCACAGTTCCACGCCGAAGGCCCCGCCCCCACAGCCCGGGGATCCCATCGGCGAATTGACGGGTGACCCTAAAGCCAGGCGGGCGGCGTCCCGCAGCTCCCCTTCCACGTCATCGTAGACGTGAGAGAAGGACTCACAGGAGGAGAGGTCGGACATCCAGCTCCGGGAGGACAGGCTGCTGCAGGGACTCGGGCAGAGCGCCTGGTCTCTGTAGCACGGGTCCAGGGGCAGGTAGAGCTGACCTCTGGACCAGGACGCCTCAGGGTAACCCCCCTCTGCCCCGGCTACCGCCAAACCATCATGGCTATTTCCCGCCTCCACATGGTTGTTTGGCGCTATGGAGGTGATCTGGATACTCGGGGGTTCAAAAGCTCTGAGGTTCCCCTGAGGCCCGTACTGGAGCCCCTGGGGCCCCTGGTAGCCCACATGTTGGTAGTTGTCCAAGGAGGGTAGACCCGGAGGCAGACCCTGCAGGTCCTGGATGATGGGCTGCTGAGTCGTGGAGGTGTTGGATGTCCTCACATTGAGGTCTGGACCTGTGAGTAGATCATCAGCATGTAGATCAGCTCTGTTTTCATTTACATCATCACAAACACTCGCCTTTACAGCGGCGGTCACCTGACCGTTGGTAGTCATCATCAGACAGGAAGTGCTGCTGACGCCGAATCAGTCACACCTTTACTCCTGAACAGACCCAAGGTCGGCAGATATGCTCAAAATAACATGAGGATCTAGATTCAGGTTTTTGTTTCTGGACTCTGTTTCCCATCATGCCTCAGTCACTATAAATGATTCATGCTGGATTATCACTATTACACTGTATATATGTACTGTACAATTACATTATTATTATTATTATTATTGTTATTATTATTATTATTATTATTATTATTATTATTATTATTGTTATTATTATTATTGTTATGTACTGGCTGTATTATTATATTATTTTATATATAAATATGTACTGTACTGAGTGTATTGTTATAATATAACAATAATAATAATAATATATTATTAAATTATTATATCTCCATGAACTGTACTAGCAGTATTATTATTTTATTACATATATATACATATAAACACATATATATGATATATATATACATATATATGATATATATATACACATATATATAATATATATATATATATACAAATGTGTATTATATATATATGTGTGTATGTGTGTGTGTGTGTGTGTGTGTGTGTGTGTGTGTACTGTGGAGTGATGTGGGTCTGCAGTTAACACTTCATAAAACGAATTTATGGTGGTGACAGATTATCTCTAACAGTTGACAAAGTTCATTCACACAGCTGCACACACACACACACACACACACACACACACACACACACACTCCCACCACAAACCCACTATTAATACCTCTGTTTCTCACTCATGCACTCTGAACACGCTACATGCAAAAACAGGCGTCAGCAGAGCGGGGACTCTGATCTGCTCCAGCAGCTCCTCTGGAGGCTTCTCTACAGACATTAACCCTCAGTGTGCCGCTGAGACCTGCTGCCGTTTGTTCTCCCGCCCTCTGAGGAGGAGGAGGTGCCCGCCACCAGCTGGGTGTCACAGAGCGGTTAGAAAACCAGGAAGTAAAACCTGCAGACAGACAGGCTGGGCGACATGCTGTCTGAAATACAAGCACTCTCTATCTGTCTCTTCATCGGCCTCCTCCACTCTATCCACCCCAACATCTCTCTGTTTATCCTTTCATAATTATCCTTTCATTTTCTCCAGCTGCTCGTTTTCACCTCCATCAGAAATGTTCACTTTGATAACCTTCAGATTTCCTCAGTTTATCTGCAGCTGCTGCTCTTTGTCTTTTCACCTCTTTATTGAGTAGTAGCAGTATGAAGATCAACTCTGGATGAGTCCTGAAGAGCCGAGACATGAAGTTACTGCAGAGTTTTTAATACTGCTACACAGATCAGAGGAACCTCCAGCTGCTCTACATGTTTCTGTGTTTCAGTCAGGACCACCCAAGGCAAACACACAGATCTGTTTCTATCTAAGAAGAGGAGAGGAGACACTTCTTTATGTGCGGGGTCAAGGCAGGGGGAGCAGCAGCAAAGACATCAGTGAGAGGAGGAGCCCCTCGGTGACCCCCTGCCCCTCTCCATCTTCAACCATCTTTGATTTCCTCCCATTAAAACCGCTGACCTGCATGTGTGATGTGTTATTTTCAAAGACGGACTCATCAATCCAATTATCAGAAACTACACGAGCCTCTGAGGCGCAATTCGCTGTAAGTGAATCGGCGTAGAGCTAAAAGGATTAATCAATTAACTGATTCTTCACCCTGCAGAAAATACGGCAGCAACCATCTCCACTTTTAGAAACCTGCAGAGATTCCTTCTTTAACTTTATAACTACTACTGCCTTTAAATGAGTGTTTTAGTCAGACTTGACCTCAGCTACAAACTCATAAAAACATTTAAAATAGTTTGTTTTATCTCCTTTGTTGTTGTGTCTTCGAAGGTTGTATTTGATGCAGATTTTAAATATTATAATCTGAGTTTTTATGGTAAAAACTACACAAACTGATCTATCTCGATATTTGTAAAACTTAAAATGAAGTTAAAGGTGTTGTTACCTGAGCGGGACAGGTGTGCCGATGTAAACAGGCGGAAGTCTTTTTAAAGGTGTAACACAGCAACATAAAAACTCATTTAAAGTACTAAAACACGAAAAAGGAAAAATACAACATTGATCTAAATTCAGTTTTTTGAGAAGTTCATCAGTTTTATGGGCTTATTTAAAAATACCAGCTAACTGCAGCACGAATGACGGCCAGACTGTCCCACTTTAGTTCAGCTACTTGTTTGATAACCTGCTGATTAATCGATTAAAACTACAGACTGCGGATCAATAAGTGTAGTTAAAGCAGTTCAGACTCTCTGCGGGCTTCACTGATTTAATGATGAGGTGGATTAACTCACTTATTCACCCTCAGGTGTTCATTTTATACATCGGCAAATATATTCAACAGACAGCTGGAAGTGTCATTAACGACAGTGAGTTAAACACGGCTTCCGGTCAGAATTTTCAAAGTAAAATCACATGTTACTAATATAAGGTTCATGTTTTTGTTGCTGTAACTTTTAACTTTGTCCCTTCTTTTCTGATGAAATTTAAAATACTGGCTTATTGGTGTTTTTATAGTTTAGTTGTGCTTATTATACAGTTCGCAAGGACTTAAGGACTTAAGACCTTTGTTTTTAGAAAAACTTTCCAGGCTGATTTTATTTTCCGACTGTTTTTCTATTTACTGGTTGTTTTTACTTTTATTGTTGTTGATTTTATTTGTTGTTTTTGCGACTGCCTTGTATTCACTTTGAGATCTGTTTTCACAGATGTGAAGTGCAATATAGATAAAACGTATTATTATTATTATTTCTTGATTGAGATTACTCGTCTCCTGTCATATGGAAATCAAGGTTAATTACCAATAGTATGGAGTTGAAAAATCATCTGAAATCGTATTATATTATGTGCCTAATAAGACATGAATTATTTAAAATCATAACTGAAGGGAGTGTCTTGATTATTTTGATATATTTTAGTTTCTGGTTGTAGTGACTAATTTTGACATTATTTCTGTTTTCAACATTAATTGAAATATCTGAAAAATAATCTGTAAAACAAAAAAAATTATTAAATAACAAATGGAGATGACTGAGGACAGAAAACCAAACTTCCTTACTGCCTAAAAAAAATACTGTACATTATTTTGAAGGTTAGAGTGGTAACTTCCGGTGATACCGTGTAGTTCCCGCCAACTTTCCTCAAGTTGGCAAATTGCAAACTAACGTCGCCAAAATGACACGTACCTGCTGTCTGCCGAGGGTCTTCCTCAAAGATGAGTCTGAAGTCCAGCTCCTCCGCGCAGTTTAACGCGGACATTAGACCGGAGAACCGTTCGGTGTCCTCAGAGGAGGACCGCCGTTAAACCCGACCTGTCTGTGTGTGTCTGTAAACCTGACCTGTCTCACTCACTCCCATCCGACTGAAAGCAGAACTCCTGTTCAAACCGGAGAAACACGTCGACCGATCCTCCGAGTAAAAGTTTCAAACCGACTCGGACTCGGTGGGTAAAATCGGCTCCGTGCTCCGAAGTTAAACCCGTAAAAGTCCCATTATTGTCGGGAGTTGCAGTAGTTGTTGTTGTCGGGGTTTCTGTTCGGTTGCTCCGAGTTTTAACTCTCCTCCAGGTTGATCCTCCTGCTGCGTTCAGGGACTCCACGGAAACCAGAGTGACTGCAGACCGCCAAGTCAGGAAATGAGAAAAAAAAAACAGTCTCAGATCTCAACGCTGTTTGTCGTAGATCAGTGGTTCTCAACTGGTCTCACTCTCGGACCCACATTGTCGTGACCAACTTTTATAAAATTCAAACCAAGAAAATTTATTTTTCAAGACAAAAAAAAAACCTTTAAAAACTGAAATCTCTAACTTTAATACACCCACTGAATTGTATAAAATGCATTTCAGAGCACATGAACTGAGGACGACAACTACTGAAGTTTCGTGTACAGAAAATATCAAATTACACAAAATGGAGACCAGCAAAATGAAAAATTTAACTTATTTGCATTCAGAGCATATTCAGAAGAACCTGAGCAGGACAAAAGTGAATAAATATCAAATTGCACAAAATAAAGACAAAAAAATCGTATTTTTCCTGCATTCAGGCCGCGTTCCTTTCAGAATAAAAGACATGTCAAACGCCAGAAGCGCATTAAATATTTACTTTTTGGACCGGCTGTTCGCGACCCATCCGGAAGGTGTCCGCGACCCACTTTTGGGTCAGGACCCACCAGTTGAGAACCACTGTTTGTAGAAGACTGTATACATTTCATATTACAGCAAAGAATCAGTTCTTGATGAGATTTTAAATGCAGAAAAGTTTATACAACAAAAACTTTAAAATGTTAAATTCTTTTACGACAGCGAATCTGTGGTTTTAAACTCTGGAACAGACTGGACGTCACTTTAAAAATGTCCAATAACATAAAAATATTTAAAACAAACTATAGAGAAGTATTAAAAAATTCCTATTAGTAAACTAACAAAAAATATGGTTTTATACTAAATATACTTCATTGCATAGAAGTAATATTAATTTGTAATATTATAACACTGATTATTATTATTATTATATGCAAATAATTTTAAAAAGTAACCTATGTAGTGTTGAGAAGATATCTTTGTGTATAATATGAAGGTATTTATACAGATCTTTGTCATTTAAAAACCTTTAATTTGAGAGGAAGGGTCAGGGCGAGATCAGCTATATTTGTTGTAAATATTTGTTTGTGTAAATTCATCTTTGACATGTACAGTTGTTTGGTGTACAGACAGATTATTTTGTTTGGTGTTTTTGTTTCTAGTTGTTTTTTTTTGTTGTTGTTAAGTATGAGATAAAGAAGAAAGAAAGAATCTATATATATATAATTTACCAAAAATATGTCAGTGTTTACGTCCAACTTTGTTTTTGTTATTGTCACTATTTGTGAGAAGTAAAAGTAAGTTTAGACACGATTGTGGTTCTTCAAAAAGAGTCAGAGCTGTTAATGCGGCCGACTAGATGGTTCCTGATCTTCAGGGCTTTAATAACAGACACGACTCTGGAGCGGAAATCACCGCATGGGAAGGACAACTGGACTTACTTGAGACGTTTCACCTTAGGCGAAACGTCTCAAGTAAGTCCAGTTGTCCTTTCAACGTAGACGTGGAAACCCTAGATGTACAGAGAGCTGAGGACACATGATGATGAGAAACCAGCGTCTATTTCTGTAACTTCTTTCAGTGAAAAATGGACTTTAAACCGTTTACAGATCATCGTTTTGTTTTTAACAGTTTTGTGACTCTTCTCTGAAATATAATCTAAATGAAAAAAACTTTGGACTGATTTCAAACTTTCCCGTCAGACTTTGAAAGAAAAACAAATATATCATTGTTGAGTTTAAGTCTAATTCACCTGCAATAACTCTGAATTTAACGGGAGTAGGGGAGACTGGAGTAAGTTTACACTCATTCTGTTGGTTTTCAGGGATGAACAACATCCTGAAATATCTGCAGATACACGAGTTAGAGACTAAACTAGGACTGACTTGATGTAGAGATCCCAAATATGAAACATGGATCATCCTACCCCACTCTCCCCTACTGTTAAACGACAGCGTTACAGCCGTGTGTTCCTGTGTGGTTATTGAGGGGGTCGGTTTACTCCCAGTTTCCGTGAACGCACCGTTACCAAGCTCGGTTGGTGACGTCAGCGGCTGGGTGTGAACGGATCTCCGGTTCAAATCAGGACTTTTAATCAGAGGCCGCGTGTGAACACGGTCAGCTCGGTGTCAGTGTTTCTGAGAGGCTGCGGTTCAACCAATAAATACAAACATGGAGGATTTGACGGAAACTCCTCTTTTCAGGAACATTTTTCTGTTAATGACAGGAAGTACAGATAAAACCGCTGATAAAATCTGAACCAAATACACAGAACAACGGAAACATGAGGCGTTTTTCACTTCTCTGTATTCAGACGTCATAAAAATGACAGTAAACTCAATAATCCAGCATTCACACATGCACAAAAACTTTCCAGGATCAGCTCTCGTGCATGCAGACGGAAAATTTTCCTGTAAATTCAGGACAGAAACTTCAAATTCCAAGAGAGAAATTTCCACATGAGGTAAAAATGAGCCGATGTAAAAACGCAGCAGGAAAAATTCAGGAAAATTCAAAGAAAGACGAAGCGATGACGTTTTTACCAAAAAGACCGAGGATGGGTAATGACACCCGAGGTCAGAGGAGGTCATCGTGTCGCTTTCTGGGGAAGGCTGTGATGTTGAGGGACGTGTGAAAATCTAAAACAAAAAAAGGGGAGGAAGAGCTCCTACAAAGATCCCAAATTTTCTCTGAAAATGTCTGAACCTCATCCCCGATATTTTTAGGTGCTTTGTCCCCAAATTTCCAGAAATGTGAACCTGTCTTAATCTGCAAAAATAAGGCCAATGATGTGTCTTCAGTCCGTCTCAAAATTATACAAAAAAAATCCTGAAAATATTCAGGTTCAGCTCTCGCGCTTGCAAACTGAAGTTTCCGTCCTGAATTTACAGGAAAATTTTCCAATTCAAAGAGAGAAATTTCCACAAGAAGTCGAAATGAGCTGATGTGAAAACGCAGCAGGAAAAACTCAGGAAAATTCAAAAGAAAGAAGAAGTGATGATGTTTTAACCAAAAAGACCGAGGATGCGTAATGACACCCGAGGTCAGAGGAGGTCATCGTTTCGCTTTCTGGGGAAGGCTGCGATGTTGAGGGACGTGTGAAAATCTAAAACAAAAAAAGGGGAGGAAGAGCTCCTACAAAGATCCCAAATTTTCCCTGAAAATGTCTGAACCTCATCCCCGATATTTTTAGGTGCTTTGTCCCCAGATTTCCAGAAATGTGAATCTGTCTTAATCTGCAAAAATAAGGCCAATGATGTGTCTCTTCAGTCCGTCTCAAAATCATACAAAAAAATTCCTGAAACTTTCTGGGATCAGCTCTCGCGCATGCAAACTGAAGTTTCCGTCCTGAATTTACAAGAGAACTTTCCAAACCCAAGAGAGAAATTTCCACAAGAAGTCGAAATGAGCCGATGTGAAAACGCAGCAGGAAAAATTCAGGAAAATTCAAAGAAAGAAGAAGCGATGATGTTTTTATCATCAGACGGATGATAACCCAAAAGACCACGGAGGGCTAACGACACCTGAAAATGTCTGAACCTCATCCCCAATATTTTTAGGTGCTTTGTCCCAAAATTTCCAGAATTCCAAACCTGTCTTAATCTGCAAAAATAAGGCCAATGACGCGTCTCTTCAGTCCGTCTCAAAATCATAGAAAAAGTTCCTGAAGGCACAGAGGTCAAGACAAAAACTCTGACCTGAATGTGTCGAGTCAGCGGGGTGAAAAGTTTTTGTTCGTGGAAGACGAGATGTTCGCACAGAAGACCCCAGTCTGAGGAGGAGGAGGTAAATTCAGGTTTTACTGAGGGGTCAAAGTTGAAGAACGTAAAGACGGCGAGTCGAGCAGCTTCGGTTTGAGTTTCAGAAACTCTTTTTTGACGATCAGAAATGTCCAAACAGAAAAAGTGGATCTGTTCTGTTTCTCCACGTGAACGTTCAGTCTCAGGAGAGTCTCATCAAACTTAAAAACACGTTTCTCTGCGTCCTGACACTCGCTTCACCAACTCTAAGTTTGTTCTGGAGGAGCGTCTGCTTCATGATCGTCCCCGTTAGCTCTCCGTTTTATATCCACCACGTGTCGTTTCTTACTCCCTTCTGTTTCTTCTTCTTCGGTGGTGCCGTTGAGCTTCCTCTCTCTCTTCCTCTTACAGACGAGGCCGGAGTCTTCCTCGCCGATACGACCTTCAGGTATTCCCAGGACTCTGAGGCAGACGATGGCGGCAGCTTGTTCGGCAAACTTCTTCGACTTCTCCCTGGAAAACAAAAACGACATTCAAGCCTCGAGCGCCGACTTTAACGATATACTGTCAACTACCCAAAATATCCTGACATCCTTCAGGTGAGCTGCAGGTGTGACGCAGCAGGTAAAAGTCAGGAAAATTCAGGACGGATGAGAGAGAACAGGCGAATCAAACGAGGAGGATTTGACTCTTTTCTATCAGACACTTAATTAAACTCTAAACTCCACTTTCAAACTCCTGTAAGTTTCCAGAAATTTTCAGGTGAGTGAAGGTGAACAAGTGTGTGTGTGTGTGTGTGTGTGTGTGTACTGACCACAGTGAGGATCTGTACTTCTTGTCTGCTACGGTGACGGTGGCCTGAAACGCTCGATCCTGAGAGCGCTGCACCTGAAAACAACTCAGACTTTAATGGGGATGAGAATCGAGAACCGGTTCTTGTTGAGAGCCGGTTCCAAATGGTTCAATCCATTGACATCATTAACATTTTAGCTTAACGATTCCTTTCTTCCAGGTGCCTTGAAAAACGGCCTCGTGAAAATAAGAAAAAAAGTTCAGGAAATATTTTTGACTCGTCGGAAAAAGTCAAACATTTTGTGTTATTGATTAGATTAACGCCTTGTCACTCATTACCCTCAATCTCCACCTTCATCCTGATCGTCTCCTAAAAGGTCGTATCCTCCGATCGTAGCTGATCGTAAACATTCAAGTTAACGTGTCAATTTACACCGACTTCTTTCCGTTCCTCTGCGGATCGCCGGACTCCTCAGCTGATCACAAGAGTTCTATTTTTTCTGGACGCCGGAGCATGGCGGATAAATTCAGCACAGATGAACCCGTGCTGGAAAGGAAGTCGGGCACAGACACAAAATAAAACATCCGGCTTCTTTTCAAAATAAGAGACGGAGACGAACAAGTGAAAGGTTTTTAGACGTCATTTCACCCCGATGACACCATGGATGAGGAGATGCTGATTCTAGAAGTCTAGAAGTAGATTTCCTCCTCTGGAAGGACACAATCTACTGCTTATATGTCTATGTGTCTGTCTTTAGAGAGACAACTCGTTATCGTGAGATTGAACGTGAATCTGCAGGTTCTTCTGAGTTCTTGTGATTCCTGCTGTCTGTAATCCGTCACGAAATTCGCCTCACAAACGGATCTGGTCAGAATTGGCGGACGGTGGAAATCGCCGCTATTCCGGATGTGGTGAAAATTTGTGGTTAATATTAACTGATTGACGGATTAACGTCTTTGACTCGGCGTCTCTTACGATCTCATAGAGCGGCTGTTCCAGCTTCTCTCTGCGGCTCCACTCCAGCAGGAACATCTTGGGGGTGATCTGAGGCGGGTACTCCCTCCTGAAACCACAGACCAGGTCCAGATCAGTCATCTGGGGAAAATCTCAGACAACGTCAGATTCTGTTTTTTCAGCCTGATGACCGACCGCTCAAACTTCACCGCCATGGTCGTGACGTCTCCCTCCATCACGGGTCGGTCTGGCAGGCTGCTGCTCTGCAGGGCGTCCCTCCTGGTCTGCAGCTGGTCCTGGATCTGCTGGTAGAACTCCTGCAGGCCGTACGCCTCGCTGAAACGCAGACAAAGACGCCATGAGAAACCGTCCTCAGGAGTGTGACGCTGTAGCTGCAGGGAAGTCCAGTACCTGATCTCGGCGTTGGTCTGAGCCGCCTGCACCTTCTTCCCCAGAGGAGACTCCACCTTATCCCTCAGCATCTGACACAGACAGTACTTGGTGTTGAAGGCGTTGTTGTCGTACCGGATCGCCTGAGGAGAAACCAGACGACCATGAATGATCAGAAACGACCAAAAACCTTCAACAGACGAGGAGAAGAAACCGAAAACTCAGGGAGGGTTCAGAGACGCACGTATTTCAGATACTCCTCCATCACTTTCTCCACAGGATGAGGTCCCTGCTTGGCGAACACGGAGGCGTTCCACATGGCGGCGCGGGCCAACATGACGGACGAGGCGCCCGTGGCCTTCCTGAACTCCTCAATGTCGGCGTTTGTTTTCACCGGGTCAGAGGAGCCGCCGCTACGAGAGAGGAAGACGAGGAACGAACAGAGTTATGTAGAAATCAGAGGAAACACAGAAGGATCAGATTTACTGAAAACACAGGTCAGTGTTCGGTTTTATTTTGGGGTCTCACTTCGCGATGACGGGGATGGAAACGGTCTGAGCGACGGCCTGGATGTAGTCACAGTGGACGGGGTGTCTGGGACGCTCGTCTTTAAACCTGAGCGCCAAAAACAAACGAGGAAACTTTCAGGAGAGCGTGGAAACACAGACACGATCCTTTAAATCACAAAACTGGAACATCGGATCGAGAAAAGGTGAGATTACAGATCTGAGCTGCTGTTTACCTGCCGTGAACGGCGATCGCAGACACGCCCGTCCTCTCGATCCTCTGAACCAGACTGATGGTCTCCTCCACCTACAGAGACAGAAGTTAGTCCCAGCTGATGTTTGAAGACGGCTCGTAAATCTGACCCATAAATCCTCCTGAAGGGTCTAAATAAACCCTGGATTATTCCCGTTATTCTCCTGTAATTATGAACGATTAAAGATTTTAAAGGACCTCCAACTGAAACCAGATTGAAATATTCGATTTACGGCCTCATGTGTCAGACGTCCTTAGAGACGGATAATCTCACCGAGGGCAGGATTCGGATTTTGCAGGTGACCGGGATGTCGAGTCCTGAGACCAGCTTCTTCAGGATCTACAGGGAGAGAAAAGAGACGAACCAAAGTTCTCGTTAGGAGACTGAAAACTGCAGAGGAGCTTTAATCTGTGATCTCAAGAGAAACATCGTCAACAAATCAGACAAAAGACAAACAGACAGGAGCGGACTTTTTTTTACACTTTAGATTTATTTTATCCTTCACTAAGAAACAAAGAAACTGAAACACTCACCGCCTCAATCCTGTCCGGGTTCGACAGAAGAGCAGCTCCCATCCCGCCCTGTAAGAGGTCAGCAGGAGAGGTCAGACAGAGGTCAAAGGTCAGAGCAGCAGGTGGTCAGTGAGGGAAAACTCACCTTGGTGGAGTATTCTTTAGGACAGCCCATGTTCACGTCGACCGCAGCGACGTCCTTCTGCCTGATAGACAAAAACACGGTTCTCAGCAGGAACAGGGAGGAAGAAGAGGAGCTTTAACTATCGGCTGTTTTCTCAAAGGATTAATGAACTTATTTATTCTATTTATATTTTATTTTTTTGTTAAAATAATTTAATTTTTCTAAAGACCGACTGTTTATTGAGTAAAGGAGAAGGGGTAGGTTTAAAAAAAAGCATAATGCTTCATAATTCTCCTCCTTTTCAGACGTGTTGGGTTCACATTATTTTTATTATTAGTTTTTCATTTTTTTATTTTATTTTAACTTTTTTGCTTTGATTATTATTATTGTTGTTTTGAATATTCTTACTGCACGCACATGTTCGAAAAAAATTAATAAAATGAAAATGAAACGAGGTTCAGCAAAGGATCATGGGATACCTGATGGCTCATTAATGACTGTATTTAATCTGGAATATTAACAGAAGAAGGTTTGATTCAGGATACAGATTCATAAATAAATATAAATAATAATAAATAATAATAAAAAACCCTTTATGTTCCTGTTTGTTCACATGATGCCGATGATAAATCTTTGAAAAAATAATATTTTAGATTTTTTATTTTCAGAGTGACACAGTCTGTGACATAAACTTTATTTATTTATTGTTTTTAAATTTCATTGAAAAAATGTCCAAATTTATCCAAGAAAAGGAGAAAAAATCATTTTGTGTTCAAACAGTTTTCTTCTTTCAGTGGATCAGTCATTTGTCTTCAGTCGTCTTCATAAACTTAAAAACTTTCTTCATTAAATACTCTGATTAGAGTCACAGACTAAAACAGGTAAATGGCGCCACCTGCTGGCAAAAGGTCAGAACTACAGATTTGAAGTCTGATCTGTAAATTGTGTGAATGTTAAAGGACATTAACCTCTTTAATATGATCAAGAATTGTAGTTCTGATTGATTTGAAGATGGTCCTAACGAGGGTGAGTGTGGTTATATTGATTATATAAAGTAATATGAGCCTGTTAGAACAGATACAGAGTGTCATCAAGATAAAATGATAATAAATAAAAATTAAGAAAAAATCAATAAGGTGAGCGATCGATAGAGAAACAACCCTGAAAATAACGACATGTAAAAAAAAAATAAGAATATTTTCATTTAAGGGACATTATCTAATGTTACGGCTGCAGACGCGTTTTTTGTCTAACCCATTTTATGAGCAAATTGATCAATTTCATAAAGATGAAGACGATGATGAAGTTCTCATTAAAACTGTGATCTGAAAACTCCAGAGGCAGCAGCTGATCAATTCAACCCTGAATTTAGATCCTAAACCCTAAGACTAAAACAAACGTGACTGTTTCATGACGTGGACCTCAGCAGACGTAAAGCTGTTGTTGTTGTTAGATTTATAATTTATACTTAGCAGTTAAAAAACTAGTTATAAATGCGTCCGCTGTTGTTTAATCTGCTGTGGATCAAACTGCTCAGATTTCAGGTTTTAGTTTTGTGGTCCTGTTACTCACACCAGCTGGGCCACAGTCAGAGCTCGGTCTGGATCAGCAGTCCCCTGAAACCCAAAAAGAGACTTTAGAGTTTATCTACAACAGACATCTGTAAAAAAAAAAATACATCATCATCTTTAAAAGGGTCTAAAAGGTTTTCTGTCGCACCATCTGGAAGACGACTCGGCCCCTCTCCCTCTCACAGGTCCTGAACATCACTCGATCATCTGGGGCGACGAAATCCACCGTCTGCAGCACCTCTGAGAGGAAAAACAGGTGAGAGAGTGTGAATCTAGAGCAGGAAACACAGATCTACACAGGACATGAGCCTGCAGGTGTGTGTTAGTTAAGCAGAGGGACAGAGTGAATGAGGAGAGAGGCTGCAGGCTCTAAAGTCAGAGACACTCGTCTGTTATTTCATATTATTTTATCACCTGTAGAATTGACTTCTGCAGCGCTCTCTTCTCAGCTGCTCACATGCTGACGAAGACCAGGAAGAGAGCCCAGATCACACCGAATTTAAAATCTCTGCGTTGGTTACCTGTGACTTTTAGAGTCGATTTTAAGGTTCTTTCTTTTAAAGGTGGAGAACGGCTTTGTTTACAGTCAGAAAGAGCGGACCGCTCAAAAATGTTCAAATGTTGACGACACAGACATAAGAGAACACAGAGATATCGATATATTACCAAATGTCATCAATAACTAATAACTATTGACTGGTATTTAAAGAGTTTTTATCTATACACCACAAAAACCACCTTTAACTCCTGTCCATCACTGTACACTGAGATTTCTTACTGGTTGTTGTCGTCTAACGCATCATTGCCAACTTTACGCCAAGTCTGTCTGTCCTTCTCTGAGAACTCACAGGTCAACTCACTAATTTCTGAGGTTCTTCTTGGCTCAGCTTCTTCTTATTTATGTGATCTGAAAGCCACGACATCCTGCGCTCAAACAAAACCGTCCGTTTGATTGTTCCATGAATCTGAACTGAACTGGACAGGAAAGTGTTTTTCAGTTTCAGAGTGGAATTCTCTCCAGACTGACCTGAAATTGTCGGAATAATCTCGCTGGAATCATTTCATTGAATCTTAGATGACCGACTTTGGGAGACCCTGGAGCAGTGTTTGTGTTTTTAATTCTGTTTCTGGAGGTCATTTTATTCTTCTTTATTATTATAATTATTATTGATTATTGTGATGTGTGCTGTCGACCTCTTGGCCAGGTCATGAGTTCTTACCTGGTTAAATAATTAAAGTTAAACAGTAAAGACTCACCGTTGACCACCCTCTGACACTGCGCCATCTTTATGTCAATCAGCTCCTGAAACACACAGCACAGATACATATATAAACACTTTTATTATTCAGGATTTAAAGTCCTGCTGAAGTCTCCATCCACCCTCACCTCACAGTAAACCACATCAGCTCCGTAGTCCAGAGCCAGCAGCCTCATGGGCAGAGTCCCGACCCGGACCATCGGAGCCAGGGCGGTAATGTTCCTGAAGCTCAGCCGGTTTGAGGCCATGATGGCGGATTAGTCCTCCTGTTTACCACCCAGAGGAGACAACAGTCACAGAGGTGTCTACATTCAGAGCTGGGTCAGTGATATCCAGCTGTCCTGGGTCCGTTTCTCAGCGATAAACTTGAAGAGAACATCCCACCAAACTCCTGTCGAAAATCTGCCGATTTAATGCGGTCTGAGTTTAAGCCAAAGAGCAGACTTTACAGCTTTAATGAAACACAGGGAAATTAAACTTAACATTAAATCTGTTTATAATTCAGAGTTGGTTCAACGTGGACCAAACTGTCCCTTTTTTATCTACTTCAGTTACTTTTAAATATCCCGTAACTCCAACAGGTCTAAATGACAATCTAGTGTGGAAGAAACTACAATTTAAGAGGCTGTGCGAAAATTTAATCGTGTAAAAATAATCAAAAGTTAGCCGAAGTATCCACGGAAGCATAAAGATTTGAAAAAATATCTAAATTTGGTTAAATCAGGTTTGTCTGCTTACTAAAAAGTCAAAAACTTCTAAACTGCAACTTATTTTAATGTAGTTCAGGCTGAAAGCTAACATGCTAGCTGCTCCATTAAAAACGCTCGCTCAGATATATAAAATTACGACAACAACTTATATTTCTGATATTAACTGTTTAAATTACTGACACAAAATTAAAATACGTTTAAAAGCGTTGAATTTGACAAACTCACCGGCATGTATGGAGGCTAACTGCAGGTGTAACGTGCGGCGGTCACGTGGGAGAAGACTGAGGCGTGCTGTTTACACTTCCTGTTTGGCCGTCTACGTCATCGCTGCGTCAGGGACCTTTAAAAATAACGGCTCCGATAACGACTTTTAGTTTTAGTTTTTTAAAGATAAAATTGGTTCTTAAACGACAATATTTTCTCAAAAATGTCTTAAAAGTTTAAATGTGGCATTTTTAAAAACTTTTTAAAAGATTTGTCTGGATTTCAGAGCAGTTATTACTTCAAAATATGACCAATATTTTACTTAGCGTCCCAACTTTTTGGACTTGCTCAGCATTAAAGGGATATTCCGGCGTGAAAATAAGCTGAGGGTCAAACACACCGTAACACCGAGTTAGACCCCCCCTCCAGAGATGAATGTTGCCGACATTTAGGAAGAACATTTATGATCAGTTATTATCACGATATTAATCATTCATCTACCCTCTTCCAGCAGCCGCTTGTTTGTACAGGGACCTCCGGGCGAGTCCATCGACTGCAGCGGAGTTTCGCAGCTCAAGAAAAAACATTTATGATCATTACTTTATCATTTCCTTGAAGTAATAATCACCATATTCATCATTTTACAGACGCGGTAGTTCTTCTGCCTTAGTGTCTTGGTCTGATTGTATTTCCATGAAGAAATGATCATAAATGTTCTTCCTTGAGCTGTGGCACCCCGCTGTAGTCTGTAATAGACTGGCCTGAGGTCTCTCTACAAACAAGCGTCTGCTGGAAGAGAGTAGGTGAGTTGTGTTTAGTCTCTTTGTTAAAGAAATGAGTCAAAGTTAAAAAGATGTTTGGTGTCTAGTACTATGTCTGTGACCCTATATGTACTAACCTCAGTAGAACATGGTGTAGTTCCGTTCAGAAACAGAACCTCATTGGAAAATTTGCTGATTTAACTTTACTGTGCTCTTGTTTAAATATACTAACTCTGCAGCACATATATTCATACCTGTTAACAAAATCATCTTTTTATTGATAATTCGGCTCAATAAAAACACCTTTACCTTTTCATTTTACTACAGTAGAAGTTTATTGGCCCAGCTTATAGACTACAGAGGTGGAGAAACGCCCCGCTTCAGAGTGGCGTTTTGGTTGAGGTTTGTTTATGGCTCCCCAGACTGCTATTTATTGCTATCCTGCGGTCGTTACTAAAGTTGGTACAACTAGAGAAGCAAGCGGTCGACAACATTCATCTCTGGAGGGGGGGTCTAACTCGGTGTTACGGTGGGTTTGACCCTAAATTAATTTTACGCCGGAATATCCCTTTAAGGTTCTAAACTAACAGATTTTCTTCATTATTAAAAGTATCCCACCTTACCAACAGACCCTGTAGAAATAAAAATACATCAGTTTTAGTTCAGTTCATTCTTGATTTATTGTGCTATGGTAGTTATTTACTCATATTTACAAAAGTGCTCTAAAATACATCCAAGTTAACATTTTTATAATTATCCTATTGCAAACACCGGATTCTTTACAAATAATTTACAGTGTATGTGAAGAGACGTTGAAACAGGAGAAAAACACTTGAAACTCAAAATCCTGTGCTGTGTTATCTTCCTGAATTTTGTCTTTTACCTGTTTCTTATCAACAGATCAACACCCAAAACCCTCCCCCTGTGGCAAATGAAGGTAGAAAGTCCATTTAGACTACTGTACGTTAATTAAAAAATTCAGTTAGAAAAATTTAGGTTTAAACTAAGAAAACGTCCTGGACAAACATTAACAGAATGGGCATGATTCGTTTACAGAAACTGTGAAGACTAAAATATGAGGTATGGGTTGTTTTCAGGAAAAATAAATATTAAATGATTTGCTGCAAAGATGTCAGAGAAATTAAATGTCTGTATCTGTAAATGACCATAAACAGAAGCTTGAAAGCTCACAGTTGAGTGGTATTCCTTCAGTGTTCGGGCAGGTATCATGTCTGAAACTTCAAAACTGAAGCTAAATACTTAAAAAAAAACACCTAACAGAGAAAAAATGTTAAACAAACATCATTACAAGCTCTGTATACGAGTACATGAAGCTGTGTACCATTGATCACATGGTTACCCTGATGTGACAAATACTCGATTCTGGTTGGTCAACACTCCATAGCAACGGTGTGTTATTTCTTGAGAGTAAAGTGTTGTCAGGTACATTTCACCTCTGTGGCAGTCAGTTCCTGTTAGTGTTGTTAAAATCGTATCTACAGCAGTTATACTGAGTTTATCTGGGGAACATAAAACGTCAAGTTTGTGGTTAACGGCCGATGAAAGAAGGAGAGAAAAGAGATTCATCGTCGATGTGAGGACGTGATACACTTTTCGTTAAAGTTCCTGTTTTAACCGTCTGTGGTTTATCCTTGAATAAAAATGATAACAGCGAGAAAACAAACGAAAAGGCTGACGTTATTCACACACAGTTCAATGTAACGTCTTATAGCTGCGCTGTATTATCTGCTCCTGTTGTTAACAGCATGTGGAGGCAGTGATCATGTATTAAATCAGAGTGTGGTCTGAGATACAGGACAGGTCATACCGTTTATGCAGCGAGAGGCGGAGTGTAATTAACAGGCAGACACACCCGAGTCACATCTGCTTATCTCATCAACAACAACTGTTACTCTAGGTGGTAAAATTCAGGTGTCTCTAAACCAGTAAAGGGGTTTTAAACGAGAGTTCAGGTCATTTCAACTTTGACATGACCTGAAAAACAAACGTACTGTGTGCCGTGTAAATCACTAATTAAGAGACCACAAAGTTAATCAAAGTTGACTGTATCGAGCCATTTTAAGCAACAGGACATGTTTTTTCTGAGAGTGTTCATGATAGCTCAACATGCATTGGATTGTGTGGATTGGATTGCTTCTTACTTTGTCTGATTACAATAACATGGACTGATGTTAGAACAGCGGCATGTAAAGTGAACACATGTACTTTGTTAAAAACATAAAAATTAACAGTAAAACCTGCAACATCTGGATGGAAAAATACTTGGGATGTGGAGAAAAATCTGAGGATTATCAGAAAAACCTAAAATAAACCTTTAATCATCCCACAGTCGGGGGATTTAGTGAAAGAAAACAAAGACAAAACATCTGACACTAAAACTGAAGAAAATCTTTTGATTTTGTTTTTTTTCAGGTTGGTTTTCTGATGACAAATATATTCTCATTTTAATTTTGATGCCAGACAGAAATTTAACAAAAAGTCTCTCATCGAGTGTCCTCAGACTTTAGAAGTAAGTCCAGTTGTCCTTTTCCAAAAGAGTGTCAGATTCTGATCCATCAGACCTCAGGAGAGTTCACAGACAAGTGATTTTGAAACCCTCTGCTCTTCAGACCGGAGGATGCAGAGTCCAGGATTTTGACGACTTTCCTCGAACAACTTTGTCTGGAATATGTTTAAAATTCGGACTATTTTTCATGAAGTTCTTCAGTTTGAACATTTGTTGTGTTGTCTTTGCGCTCTTTTTAATTTGATATGAAGTTAAAATGATCAACAAACCACCAAACTCTGTTTTTATCAACGTTTAACAGAGTCTGAACTTTCCTGTAATGGTGTCGTCAGACTGACCCCCGACCTCCACCTTCATCCTGATCGTCTCCTAAAAGGTCGTATCCTCCGATCGTAGCTGATCGTAACCATTCAAGTTAACGTGTCAATTTCCACCGACTTCTTTACGTTCCTCTGCGGATCGCCGGACTCCTCAGCTGATCACAAGAGTTCTATTTTTTCTGGACGCCGGAGCATGGCGGATAAATTCAGCACAGATTAACCCGTGCTGGAAAGGAAGTCGGGCACAGACACAAAATAAAACATCCAGCTTCTTTTCAAAATAAAACACTCCGTGTTTCAGGAGGATCGTATTTCACACCATGCAAACGGGCGGAGACGAACAAGTGAAAGGTTTTTAGACGTCATTTCACCCCGATGACACCATGGATGAGGAGATGCTGATTCTAGAAGTCTAGAAGTAGATTTCCTCCTCTGGAAGGACACAATCTACTGCTTATATGTCTATGTGTCTGTCTTTATAGAGACAACTCGTTATCGTGTGATTGAACGTGAATCTGCAGGTTCTTGTGAGTTCTCGTGATTCGGCGAAAATCGCTGCCGTTCTGGATGTGGTGAAAATTGGGGGTAAAAGAGTTCGTACTGATTGAAACAGACGGTGGATGGAAGACCAAAGTGCTTCTCCAATAATCAAAAGTAAAGAGAGAAAGGCACGCGCCAAAAATATATTAAAATCTAATAAAGTCAATTAGTTAACGAACAATATTTGAACAAACATGTTTCCAGGAAAGGCTGTTTCACACCAAGTCTGGATTTATTTTACATATAAATACCTACTTTAAAAAAAACTAAACATCCGACCAAAACTCTCCCGCTGCTTTAGTGTCACTGTTCTAAGAAAACCGTCTACAGTTAGTCAAAGACTTGGCGTGAAAAAACCCAAAGGCACAAAACGAGAAACAACATTCAGAAGAAAAAATCCCGGACAGGAATCAGAGTCTCTCTCACACTGTCGGCTTGTTTTGCTTTAGTAGAAAATAAAATCGATGTTTCCACTCAGAGTCTCAGAGGGTCGAAGGTCAGACAGGAGGCTCCCGTACCCACAGGAAGTGTCTGGACTTACACAGTGATGGAGTAAAAACAAAAAGCAAACAAAGATCTTCATGTTTTCAGAGAGTTTTAGGAGTTGGCAGACAAACTGCTCCTGCCCGATGACCGGTCAGTCCACTCTGAAGGACTGGCGATCTCGATGGGGTCGAACTGAGGAAAGACCACGAAACACAACCTCTGACCCACGTACGTCGCTCTCTCTGCGGGGAAACACAAGTCAGGAGTTCAACACCAGACACACGATTGGTTTCTGACCAGTCTGAGCGGTGTCGCCCATCTTCAGACACTTCACGGTCAATGGGTCTAATTCACCACATGTTTGTGAATTTAAACGTAGATTTGTCTGTTTTTCCCACTGACCCACATTTTTTGGAGCTGAAATGTTTATTTTGTTGATCGTATTGATTCGATAGAAGGATCATAAAAGTTTGTATCAAATATGATACAAAAGGCAATAAAGAGCCACAGCGTGTGCAGAGTGTGTGTTCACACGTTGTTGGGAAACACACACTTTCCACTTCATATATTTCATTCTGTTTTTGTGATTTAATGCAGAGAACACGTATAAAGTCACGAAATAAACGACCTGTTTCGTATTTTTAAAGGGGACCTGCCACCAAAACTTCATCCCCATTTTTATCATTTTTTCATAATCCTTGATGTCCTCTGATCATGTTTGCAACATAATTTTAGCTGAAAAGTTATTTGATGGTTTGTTTTAGTCTGCCTAAAAAACCTTACAGGAAAACCAACTGGTTTTGGCTCATTAACATTTATGGTAATGAGCTTTGCTCTGATTGGATCGCTGCTGTGAAGCCTGCTGTGCTCTGATTGGCTCAGCAGTGGAGGTTCGGATTTCGGTTTATCCATTTTGCTAATGTGTGCTAAAGTAAGGTGCCCAGATGTCTGTAATGATATCCGGGGATATTCGATGCGGCGGCGGCGGCGGTGCAGGGGCTGTGTGATCACAGACAAAGTCTCGGTACTATTTAGTAGCAGCGCATGCCCCTTGTATTAACCCCGTAAAAACTGTTGTTCAGGACTGCTAACTAAATTCGGCTACTGTAATAACCGTTGTTCGAGCCCACACGCAACATTTTTGCTCTCATTCATGAAACGCTTAAATCGGGGACATTTTCGGGGACAGCTTTTGCCAGGGACAGATCATCCAATACGGGGACTGTCCCCGGAAATCGAGGACGTCTGGTCACCTTATGCTAAAGGCTAAAAACGGCAGGTATTAAACCATATATTTTAGACCCCGAGTCCAAAGAGGAGGTGGAAGTTGAGGAAGAAGCCGGAGATCTCCAGCGGTGTTTTCTCATTCATTCTGTCCAGCTTTAAGTTCATTTTCCCGGCAGTGAACCAAAGGAAACACCGATCGTTTGGAAGAGACCCATAGCGGATACAGTGGTAGCTGGGTCTCGCTCTGGCTGTGACAGGCGACGCTGCTCACAATAATAATGAGCAACGTCAGCTTGACCTGCTTTTTCAATTGGCCTGGTTTACCCGTTCCTTAATTTTAAACCTTTACAGAATGCAAATGCAAAACGGTTTGTTTTCACATTTACAACATAAGACGAACATAATATGGACCTTATCTGACACAAAAAACACACAAAATTACATTTTTATGGCAGGTTCCCTTTAAGTTAATCTGATGCTCAAATCTGTTTGTTGCCCAATACTTCCCCTCGATGCGTCTCATGTAGATTTTTTAATCCTGTTTAAATGACGTGTTTTAAAAGTGTCTACCTGCTGTGAACACAACAGAAAACCATCTGAATAAAGTCAAACGGTATTTTCTGATCAATACTTGTGTTTACTCTAAACGTAAACAACGGGCAGGTGTGGTGACCACCTGTAAACTTGGTTCCTGACCCGCCGTTAAGAACAGAACCCAGAAACTCACCGATGAAGTTATAAATGCACTTTGGTTTTTCTTTCCAATGGACGCCCAGGAAGTAGACGGGTACGCCGGTGAGCATGATGACCAAACCGACGCCACAAACCACCGGCTCCGAGTAAAGACTGAAACCCAGCAGCAGCGCCCAGAACATCAGGTAGCAGACGGGAACCAAGAGGTTGACCTGAGGAGACACACACCAGGTACTCAATGGTACTCAAGTACAGACCTGCAGTAGAAGTACAGAGTTCGGTTCGGACTCGCGTCGGTACCTTGATGGGTCGGTACAGGTTGGGTTTCTTCCAGCGGTAGTAGAGCAGGCCGGCGATGGTGACGCCGTACGACAGGTAGTTGATGAAGGACACGTAGTTGATCAGGTTATGGGTCTCTCCGATACAGAGGATCACGATGGTGGCCGCGCACTGAAAGACAAAACCGGGTCACAAGAACTGATTCTACTCATGACCATCACGCTAAAGTAAAGGTCGTACGTACGCAGACCAGCAGGGCGGGGATGGGGGTGCAGTTCTTAAAGTGGATCATGGCCAACAGGCTGGGCAGGTGACCCTCTCTGGCTCCAGAGAAACACAACCTGCAGACACACGCCACGTTAGTGAGTTAGCGAGTTAGCGGTCATATTTCTGCAGGTTAGGAGCAGGAAGAGCAGCAGGTCTCACCTGGAGGAGGTGAACAGGTAGCCGTTGATCCCCCCGAAGGTGGACAGGGCGACGGAGATCGGCATGATGACGGAGAACATCCCCAACAGTTTTTCTCCAAACGTCTGAACAGCAGAAGAACAAACTCAGTCACCAACACGTCAACACGGCGGGTCTGGTTTTGTTTCTGAACGCCGTTTTCTCCTGATGGGTTATCACAGACTGATTTTAACACTTCGAACTCCCAGACATATATTTTGCGTTTTTGGATCGCCAGTTTTTTTTGTAAAAATCGATCCCTTCAATCACAGCAAATATAAACACATCTTTATTTTCAGGAGGACCTCAGCTTCAGTTAATGGAGCAAAAATGATGTAAAATAAATGTGACAGTAGATTCAGAACCATCAAAGTCAACCAAACAACAAAAACTGAAACTGATCCCAACAGAACTTTGTTAAAAAAACACATAAATCTACAGTGACCAAGCCTTTTCTCACCTGAACATCATTCTCTCAAGTCTATCGGGAGCAGAAATATTGGGATTGGAACAAACACACAACAGAAACTATTGACATATTTACACTCATTCTTCCAGGTGTTTTTCACTATTTACAGTTGTTTCTGCCACTCCTGGGATGAGACAGAGGACCACATCATACTGCTCAGAATCTCTTCTTTACTTGTTTCCAAACATTGAGGACCATTATTTCTGATTTTACAGACAAGCAGGGAACTTTAATGTCTCTTATTGGAAACTATCGTCAGGGGAACAATAGAAGAAGAGAGTTAAAGAGCTTAGACCTGATCTTTGCAGGAGAAGATGAGGGCCAAAGAGCTTAGACCTGATCAAACAGACGTTAAAATAAACCTGCATTTATTTGACCGAGGGAGGAAGTGCAGTTTATGAATCTTTAGAGAAGAATATGAGACCGTGTGATTGGTCGAAAGTTTGACAGAAAAAGACGTCATCAAAACAGTTCGTCAAACCCAGAAAACACTAGCGGCATTTAGCGATAGTGATCTGTTTTCAATCACATTAATCGGATCAATAATCCTGTTTTCACCGTATATCACTGCAGATTTACCATCAATCGTCTCTGATCAAACACCTGTTTCTGTGGCTGGATTGTAAACCTTGTGGCAGGTGTAGAAATGTCTGGAAACCCTCGATAGATCGCCAAAAGGGTAAACTTTTTAACACTTTTTAACAATAATTAATGGTGTCACGTGGGATCACCGGCGATCCGGCGGAGTTCGAAGTGTTAAAAAGTAGAAGCAGCCATCTTTACTTCAGGTCCTGGTTTGTTGAGGACAGTCTCAGGGCTGATTCAGTCGAGGGGGTTGATACGTAAACCTGCATCAACCACTCAGCCATTTCCAGAGACTGAGAGTTGAAACGTTTGTTAGACAAATTAATTTTCATGTTAAATTATTACTATTGTAACCAAAGGAGTGCTCCCTCTGCTGGCCAGGATAGGAACTCTCCATTAAAGCCTCAGTCGCTCAAATATAACAGCTGATAATTCTGACTGTCGTTTATGATCGTCATGAAGCCACTGTACTCACTACAGCCACGGCATTGGATGACAGCAGCTCCTCGGGTGACATGGAGGAGAAGTAGGCGATGTTGGTGAGCGTGTACACAAAGGTCACCAATGGTATGGAGATGTAGATGGCACGAGGTAGATTCCTGACCGAGGCCGCGCACACAAACACACATGCACACACACACACCATGCACAGATGATCGAATCCATTAACGTGCGTGAAAGTCAACAAGAGTCTGAAGATCAGATATTCATGAGAGCGATGGAATCTTAAACCACTGAGCTGAGAGTGTGAAGGTTCATATTCACCGTCTGGGTTCGACCACCTCCTCTGTGACGTAGTTGAGGAAGTTCCAGCCGCTGAAGGCAAACGAGGCCTGCAGGAAGGCCAGAGCGATCTGCCCGACTGACGGCGTCCGGTCCAGGGAGAAGGCCACCTGAGGGGTCAGCGCCTCGTAGTTCCCTGGAAGGTTAAGAAGACATCTGAGCTGCTTTCTACGTCTTCAGAGGACCGTGGAGCTTTAAGCCACACACTGAGGAGGTTACCGTTGCAGATCTGGACCAGGCCGACCACAATGATGAGTCCCAGAGCCATCAGCTTCCCCACAGTGAAGATGTCCTGGATCCTGGTGGCCATACGGACGCTGGAGCAGTTCACCCACGTTAGCAGCACTGTGGAGGAAAAACAAAATCTGTTAAATACAGGTGTGCAAACTTCTGAGATGAGAGGACACCTGAGGAGACGGTGACGAGTCAAACTGTGTCTTTAAACTCTGGATGTGACCACAGAAAACCCCCAAAGGTCTCAGCAGTAGTGACACACTTTTCTCTTCAGTTCTTGGGCATAAACTCAGAAATAAATAATCGATTGTCTCTTTTCGGGAAAGTAGAGCGTACAGCCGAACATGGTTACCCAAACAGGTGTTCCTGTCCCTGACCTCCGTTAATCTGTCACCAAATACTCGTCTAGTTTTGTCTTCTTTCCCGGCCTCATGGAAATGATGAAGTAAGGGGAGGTAGAGCGTACAGTCTAAAGAAGGGGGACCAAGAAGGCACTCCACCCTCGCCAATCCCAGTCCTCATGAAAGGGAGTGGTTAGGGAGGTATAGTGCTCTAACCTACCCGGGTCCTGACCCTGGATCTGGTCCACTGTCTTAGACTACTATGCAGATTTTGACTTTATTTTCCTTCTTCTCTCCACCTTCACCTCATGAAAATGACGGAGCAGGGGAAGGTAGTGTGTACAGATTAACCTCACATTCTTGTCATTCTCTCTCTCCCTCTCTCTATCAATCTATCTAAACAATGCTTTCTTCATGAAAGTTAAGGGCTCAGGGAAGGTAGAGCGTACAGCCTGACCAGGTATGACTGACTGTCAGAGCCTCTCGTCCTGACTCTCCCTTTCCTATCTCACTCTTGACCCTCTGTCTCTCTCTCCTTCTTCCCTCATCTCTCTTTCAAGAAAATAGGGGAGTAGGGAGGAGGTAGAGCATACAGTTTGTCCTGAAGGAGGTCAGCTCTGGTCAAACAGTTCACTCTGTCTTCTTTTTAAACGTTTCTCTCCCGGCTTTATTTTCCACTTCTAAACTATCATGCATTTTCATTGGGGAAGGTAGAGAGTACAGTCTAACCTCACATTCTTGTCATTCTCTCTCTCTCTCTCTCTCTATTTAACTTTCTCTCTTTTTCCAATCCACCAATGCTTTCTTCATGAAAATAAGGGGCTCAGGGAAGGTAGAGCGTACAGCCCAACATTGTATGACTGACCATCCAAGCCTCTCGTCCTGGCTCTCCCTTTCCTATCTCCCTCTTGACCTCCCTGTTTCTCTCTCCCTCTACCCTCGTCTCTCCTCCAAGAAAATAGGGGAGTAGGGAGGAGGCAGAGCGTACAGTTTGGCCTGAAGGAGGTCAGCTCTAGTCAAACAGTTCACTCTGTCTTCTTTTTAAACGTCTCTCTCCCGGCTTTATTTTCCAGTTTTGAACTATCATGAGCATTTTCACTGGGGAAGGTAGAGAGTACAGTCTGACACTGTTTCTTTGCTACAACTTTGCCCTCAAACTGTCTTTATTTACTCTTTTCTTTCTCTTTCTCTGGAAAGGTGGAGCAGTTTCCTCTGTTTTCTCCACTCTTCCTTTATGAAAATGGTGGGCCAGGGGAAGGTAGAGCATCCAGCCTCACTCACACGGGTACAAAAACAAGTCTATGTTTTTGACTCTTTTCTCTTCTCTTGGATCCATTACTTACTAACGGAAGAGAAGGCAGAGCGTTCATCGTAACCTTGTGGGAGTGAGCTCAGGCCAAAACAGAGCTGATTTTTCCAACCCTGTGAGTCTGGTGGGTGATGAGAGCGAGAATGAAGGGGAGAGGTTCTGGGATGCTGGAGCTGAAGTTTCTTGGAGTTGTTGTGGGTGTAGATTCCAGTAAATGGATGAACTCACTAAAGAAAGCTTGGCTCTCAACACTCCTGTTGTTCCACGGTCAAAAACGACCACGAAGAGTCGGGTCGTAACAGAGTCTGAGTTTCTGCCCCATAACAAACGACCTTTTCACAGGATGACTGTAAATTGTTGTCTGTCGGACTCGAGGGGTGCTCCTTTAAAGAACTGGTATCAGTATTAAGTTCCTCCATCATGGGACCTGTACTGGTGTTCCTGGGGATGGTGGGCGGCAGCAGCCGGTTGCCATGGGAGGCAGGAATGTGGGAAAGAGGCGAGTGAGGGAGGGCGTGATTGTTTCACCTCGTCCATCACTGTCACCGCCTCTCTCTCATGGTGGCCTCACTCTCCGGCACAAAGACGAGCTGTCAGCGCCACAAAACAAACCACTTCCGCTGCAAAGTGCAAACAAAATGTGGCGAGGACCCCCTCTACACACACACACACACACACACACACACACACAAACATACATATATATACACACAATGTCCCCGAGGAGGCCAGGCCCGCTCACGTTTCTTCCATCCTCCTCCAAAAACAAGTGTGAATGATAGCATCAGTGGCGAGGAATCACCCGCTGAAGTCCTGCTGTTTCACCTCACAGACGGGGTCTCAGGCCGGACCTTATTTACTCGACGACGGGACAAAGAGGCGGCCTGGATTAATGGACAGCAGTGCAGGTACTTCAGGCAAAACTCCAACCAATTAGGCGGCCTGACAGCTCGGCGCTGACTAATGTAGTGTGGACTCAGGGCTCTAAAACACTGAGGTACTCCATGGAGTCTGTTGGACTCGCTGTCTGCTCCTCCTGCAGCGTTTTCTCTCTTTCTATACGATCGATATCTGAGGGAAGCATTTAGGATTTGGAGAACTGCAGGAAGTCTCCGCTGACGCTTCTCCGAAATAAAACATCATGTTTACAAAGACACCTCAGAATTTTTCATCGACTTTATCCTCCTTTAACTTGGGGGACTCACAGCTGCCATGATACAATATACTGTTTACAATAATCCAACATGCAACACAAAACAATGTTCAACAACACAACATGTGACAACGCAGGACAGTGAGGTGTGTTAGCATACAATACAATCTAGTATATATACACGGTGTGAAACGATTTAATTAAAACCAAAGTGAAAACAAACCTTTTTAGTTTTGCTTTGAACTAAATTTTACATCATTAACTTGAAGTGTTTGAGCATTTATCTCTGTCTAGTTTTAATAACAGGATCGTCTTTTATTGAGCTGTGTTGATGCTCTTATTTTAGTATCCTTTACTGTTGTTTTTATTTCGTTTTATTTATCATTTATTAAATTAGATTTTAAACCTCCAGTGTTGCACACTCAGTGCGCACATTTCTGTTTCTATGAAATCGAGCCCTTTTCAAGTTCATGCATTTTAATAATGTTTCTATTAGATCGTACTTGGGGATGAGGGGTTAAGTTGAGGAAGATTTGGTTATTATTTACAAAACCTAATTCCACTGAAGTTTGGAAATTGTGATAAACGTAAATAAAAACAGAACACAGTGATTTGTAAATCCTTTTCAACCTATATTCAATTTAAAACACCTCAAAGATATTTAATGTTCAAACTCATAAACTTTATTTTTTAGAATTTCATGGCAGCAATACTGATAAATTTGAGGAACGCTCATCAAACACCTGTTTGGACCGTCCCACAGGTGAGCAGGCTGATAGGGAACAGGTGGGTGTCATGAGTGGGTATAAAAGCAGCTTCCCCAAAAACTCTCAGTCATTAACGAGCGAGGATGGGAAAGAATTCACCTTCAGAGCTTCAACAGTTCGTCTCCTCAGTTCACAAACGTTTACTGAGTTTGTTAAAAGGAAAGGTGATGGAACTCAGAGGTAAACTTGACCCTGTCCATTATTTGCAACAAACTTTATTTATGAGTTTGAAGATTAAATATCTCGTCTTTGTAGTGAATTCAACTGAATATAAATGACTGTATTCTGTTCAGAGGAACTGGATTTTGTACAACAGCAGTTTTACTCTTTATCTCAGTAACATGTTATTTATTTATTTATTGGGTGGATATACTTTAGCAGTTTTTATCAGCAGCTATTGTAGTTCAGTCTGCAGACATCACCTCCTCCTCCTTCACCTCCTCCTCGTCGTAGCTCTCCTCCCTCCTGAAGGGACGCCGTGCATTATTTACTACAGCCATAAAAGAGGTTTTTAAAAGCCTTCAGCCTGGAGTTACATAACCGAGATGTTTCACGTGACCACTTCCCCTCTGCCGCTCGTGCCAAAAGGAACGGACTTGTAGTTTATAGATGAGCCGGATTATAATCAGCAGGAGGAGGTAAATTAATCATTTAGGGGGAAATAAGTAGAGCAGAGGAAATTTAGGAGGAGAAACCACCTTCTTTCATGAAAAGTGTTGATCAGACTGAGGACCACGAACCGTCTGATTTCACTGAAGTAGGAGGTGACAGGGTGACTCACAGAGACAGGTGGCGGAGAGCATCCGTGTGGCCATGTAAGGAGGGACGCAGTTTGGGAAGACGGGCTGGAGGACGTAGCTGGAGAAGGTGAGGGCGATGACGGCCAGAGTGGTCGGATACATGATGAGGACGGCGCTCCATAACAGGAGGAACCTGAGGAAGAAGAGGAGGAGGAGGAAGATCTTGAACTCAACACTGCAAAAAAAGGAGGGTCTAAAAACACGATAAAAACACTAAATCTGAGGGGAAAGGTTCAAAAACAAGTGAAATTATCTGTCCATGCAGCGAGATCATTTCACATGATAAGATTTCTTACATTAAGTGATTAAATCTAGAAAAAAGCATGTCTACAAATGTACTTGAAAGGCTTAAAGTGAGCCAAAAATGCTGGTTTTAAGATCAGAGTACTTAAAATTTAACTTTTATAGTCCCTACAATAAGTTAACTATACTTAATATAAACATAAAATAAGTATTAAATGCGAGTTTTAAGATCAAATAACTTGAAATTGAACTTTTACAGCCCTAAAATAAGTAAAATAAATCAAATTTAAGGATAAAATGAGTATAAAATTATGGTTTTAAGATTAAATTTAACTTTTACAGGCCCAGATCAAGTGAAATGTTCTAAATATGAGTATAAAGTAAGGAGAAAACGTTGGTTTTAAGATCCATCCATCCACCCTTTAAACCGCTCATCCCCTTCCGGGTCGCAGGTGGACTGGAGCCAATCTCAGCTGTCATGGGGCGACAGGCGGGTTACACCCTGAATTGGTCACCAGTCAATTTCAGGGTCACATAGAGAGACAGACAACCACTTACACTGATACTTAAGGACAATTTAGAGTCACCAATCCTGCAGATCAGCTCCTGTTCTCCTCTGAACATCACCCACTCACTCACTCACTCACTCACTCACTCACTCACTCACTCACTCATTCATTCATTCACAGAAGTCTCTTGATTCACTCACCCCATCAGACCCCCAAAGATCTCCGTCACGTACGAGTAGTCTCCTCCAGATTTGGGGATGGTGACGCCCAGCTCAGCGTAGCAGAGCGAGCCCAACGCAGCGATGCAGCCTCCCAAAACCCAAACCACCAACGCCAAACCCACCGAGCCCGAGTGCTCCAGGACCCCCTTTGGAGAGATGAAGATCCCAGAGCCGATGATGTTCCCTGGAGAGACGAAGAGGAAGAGGAGGAAGAGGAGAAGGAAGAGGTGGTGGAGTGATCCTGACCAGTTTAAGGAGTCGCCGCCATAAGACAGCAAGTTACAGTAACACCTCCATCAAATCCGACCCCGGCCTCCGAACTGTTTAATGAATACACTGATAGGTTTATAGTTTCATGACAATTAAACTTATGATTTTATTTATTTGTAAAATTTCTGACTTTATTTGACATTTTGACCTTTTCCCCCAATTTTTTTTTTTTAACTTTTTGACTTTTTAAAAAAATATATTTTAACTTTTTATCAAAGTCTCAATCTTTATTTCAAACATCTTTTTAACTTCGACTCATTTCTTTAGCAAAGAGACTAAACACAACTCACCTACTCTCTTCCAGCAGACGCTTGTTTGTAGAGAGACCTCAGGCCAGTTCATTACGGACTACAGCGGGGTGCCGCAGCTCAAGGAAGAACATTTATGATAATTTCTTCATGGAAATACAATCAGACCGAGACGCTAAGACAGAAGAACTACAGCGTCTGTAAAATGATCAATATGGTGATTATTACTTCAAGGAAATGATGAAGAAATGATCATAAATGTTCTTCCTTGAGCTGCGGCACCCCGCTGTAGTCTGTAATGGACTGGCCTGAGGTCTTTCTACAAACAAGCGTCTGCTGGAAGAGAGTAGGTGAGTTGTGTTTAGTCTCTTTGCTAAAGAAATGAGTCAAAGTTAAAAAGATGTTTGGTGTCTAGTACTATGTCTGTGACCCTATATGTCCTGTTGATGAAGTTAGGTGCTGTTCTGAGCGTTATTTGTGGCTATAGAGTGGCGTTTTGGTTGGGGGCGTGTCTCTCTGTATTTCTATCCTGCGGTCGTTACTAAAGTTGGTATAACTAGAGAAGCAAGCGGTCGGCAACATTCATCTCTGGAGGGGGGGTCTAACTCGGTGTTACGGTGTGTTTGACCCTAAATTAATTTTAATAATCAATTAAGAATATCCCTTCAAACAAATATTCAAGGATTCAAGGAACTTTATTCGTCATACCCCACACCTTTGACAGTCTGTGGTACGAAAATAGTACCCAGGTTAGTTTCCAAGCCAAGAATAAAAATACAATACAATAAATCAAATATAATACGATAGTATAATTTAATATTATAATATATATATAAGATAAAATATAATTTTATAATTATTGTAAATCTGCCTTTATTTTTTCAGATTCCAGAGTCAGTACGGACACTGAAAACGAAGGAAACGGTCGCCTGCAGGTCACGCCATGCAGGACGTCCCCATCATTTCTTCTCCTGAGATACTTAACCATGGACTCTGTGAGTTTATACAGAGGACATGAAGAGACAAAGAGCTGAGTAATGGAGTGAGTTAGTGAGTTGGAGGAGGAGGAGGTGAAGCCCATAAGTCAGGCCGGGACAGTCCCTCCTGCCCACAGCCTCAGTATGCAGTGTAGAGTACCGGCAGATCGCACACATTCAGACTCCGTGTCTGTCAGTAGCACAGCAGAAGGCAGCCAAGTGGCACAGACAGCCATTACATAACCCGACATAAATTATCCACTCCGACCGCAGAGGTGGGAAGTGACCGACTCACCTTCTGCATCTCCCTGAAAGTGACACGGAGGAGCAGTAGGAGGAAACAGAGTGTTGTTGTGTTTGTGCGGAGCGTGGAGCAGCCAGCTCGCTCCCTCTCTGAATGCAAAGGTGCTTCAGCATTCTGCACACACGACCTTTCTCTTGTTCCACACAAGGATTTTTACTCAAATGTTCGCTTTCAGACGCTCAGCCCGGGCTCAACCGTTCACCAAAGCATGCACCAGACCTCCTGCTGGGAACACGCAGGAGCCAAAATAACCATCAGCTGGATCCTCCTTCACCTCCTCCTGAAGCTTTTACTCCTCAGAGCGGAGCGTCAAATATCAGAGCAGCTGAGTGAGTCTGAACCTACAAACACACGAACCTTCATTATCTACATACAGGCATTAAAAACAGGCTCTGGAGCGGGAATCACCTCAGAAACCACTGACTGTGAACAAACATCATCACTGAACCCACCAATGAGGGTCAAACAGGAACCAAAGAGGAACCAGAACCACCAGAGACCTCTCTGAGTCCATTAAAGGTGGACTGAGAACCGTCAGGAGGTCTGATGGGTCAGAATCTGACGACTGGACTTACTCCAGACGTTTGGCCAAAGAGTCTCAACTAAGTCCAGATGTCCTTTCAACAAAGAAATGGAAAGCATAGATGCTGCATACTCAGTTTCTAGAAGAATCAGTTTTAACGAAGAAATGAAAATCATAGATGCTGCATCCTCAGAAATGTCTAAAGTAAATCCAGATGTCTTTTCAATGAACAACTAGAAATCATAGATGCTGCAGCCTTAACTTTAAGAAGAACCAGTTCTAAGGTAGAACTGGAAATTATAGATGCTGTGTACTCATTTTTTAACAAAGAATTGGAAATCATAGATGCTGCATCCTTAGCTTTTAGAGGAATCAGACCTGACGTAGAATTGGAAGTTGTAGATGCTGTTTCCTTTTTTTTTTTTTTTTACAAAGAATTGGATATCATAGATGCCGCGTCCTTAGTCTTAACGAAGAATTGGAAATCATAGAATCTACATCCTCAGTTTTAACAAAGAACTGGAAATTGCAGATGCTGCATTCTTAGTTTAAACCAAGAATTGAAAATTATAGATGCTGCACCCTGTTCTAATGAAGATTTGGAAATCATAGATGCTGCATCCTCAGTTTTAAAGAGCAGCTGGTCCACCCATTAAACCACCTGTGAAAGCGCCCTGACTTCTTTGAACTGGTTTGAATGAGAAAAATCATTTTTGCAGTTTTAAATCTATATTTATAAATGTTTTTAAAGTGAACACAAGTTTGAGGAACTTTTGAAGTTCAGAGGATCTAGTTCCTGGAGTTTCTCCTCTCTTTGGTCTTTAAGGATCAGCAGAGTCACTTTTCTAAAACCTTAAACTCTGACTTTTCTCTGTGACCCTCCTGCTGTAAAACCTGTATAGATATTGATGACATAGATGCTCTGGGCCCTCCTCCTCCTGTATTGTGACTCCCCCTCTCCATATTTACGGTACTGCTGCTGCTGCTGTGGTGTGTTTAAAGGTCCCTGCTGTTCATTCTGCTCCATCAGTCAATGTTCTTCTGCCTGACCTCCATCCTGCTCCTTCTTCTTCTCCACTTTCTCAGCCACGTAAGCACTAAAGTCACTTTGAGGTGAAGCAGGAAACAAACAAACATGGAGTCCTTCCTCAAACTATAACCATCTTCATCAGAACCTCATTAACATTCTTCCGGTGAGTCCGGGTCCTTCACCCACCCTCTCCTGGTCTACTTTTGGTACCGGTGCAGGACTCTGAGGAGCTCTAACTTCATCCTCAAACTTCTGCAGATAATAATGAAATAATGACCTGATCTCGTGCATCAGCGCGCGTGTCTCCCTGCCTCACCTATGATGATGGTGCACGCGCTCAGCAGCCCGATCTCCTTCTTCAGAGTCACCCTGTCCGGGATCTTCTTCTTCTTCGTCTTCTTCTTCGCGCTGCTGCTGCTGCTGCTGCCGTTCGGTCCCTCCATGTCCGCCTGGTCCCGGGTCCGGTCCGGTCCGTCCAGTCCTCTGTGTCCTCCCAGTCCCAGTCCTCCCAGAGCTCCTGTCCTCTCCTCGCTCCGTATTCATGCAGACTGAATGGGCTGCGCTTGCGCAACAACCTGCGGCTGTCCGGGCTAGAATGTTAAATACCCTGGACTCACCGTGCTGCGTTCACGGACACCGAGGGGAGAGGGACACTTTACTCTCATTAAAACACATTAAAACACATTAAAACATGACTTTACAGTGAGACATTCAATGTCTGAGCATGAGTAGAAGTAAGTTATATAGTTATTTTAATAACCTTAAACAGTTTTAACAACATTTAATATTAACTGAAAGTTTTTCTTTGAGAATTAAGCAAAAAAATTAGGCAACAATTCATCAGGTTATCACAGCACTGGGCCGCTTTAAAATACACAAGGTCAATTATAATAATAATAATCAAAGTTTATTAAAATGACATATTTTATGGTTTATGTGAAATTTGAATTCAAGTAAATCTAACATTATATTGTATTTTTATATGTATGTAAGTATATATACACACACACACACACACACACATAAGTATATATATATATATATATATAGAGAGAGAGAGAGAGAGAGATACATATATACATATATGTATCCATAATACAGTTTGAAAAGTTGAAGTTGCTGTGTCTGAATAAAAAGATTAAAAGCTGAAATCACAAAGTTTGGAGGCTGTGAAAATCAGCAAAAAATGTATGAAAGAAGAAGTAAGATACTGAAGAGATGGAAATCAAGAGTGAAACAGTCGAATCAGTTTTTCCTTCGATAAAGAAAGAGAAAAAATTTAAGTGATCTGAGTCAGCACGCTAAATACAGAAAATGTGTGAAAATGTTGTCATCATATCAGAGGAGGTAAAAACAGGAGCGGTGTTCACATGAGCTTCAATCAAAGTAAACGGTGTTACTGGTGGAGCTAGAACTGAAACGCTGATCCTTCAGAACCAGGAAAGTCTTCTTGTTTCCTTCAGCCCAGAAGAACTTGGAGAAAAATGCAGTGATGATATAAAAAACAAACACAGTTGGTTTGATGAAGTTTGTTGGAGAAACAAACTAAAGAGTTCCTGAAGAACACGGCGGGAAAAGACCTGGTTGACCTTTATACCTGACCTTTGACCCTTTCCTCTTCCTGTGGGTTTGTGTCTCTGTTGACGTCTCCTCTGTCTGTAAACCAAAGATGAGGAGGATTAACTTCAGATTGGAGCGCGCATGACCGAGGTAAAAAACTACTTCCTGTTTCGTTGATGAAAACTTGTGCTCTGTTATGTTTCGGGTAGTTTGGGGGATGTCTGTCGATGCTGATGTGATAGATCTGCACAGTGGAGCTCGTACACTCAGCCTAAAGCGACCTTTATGGAGAGGGTTATTGGAAAACTTTGGGGGGCGCTATGGAGCATTTGTAAGGTTTTTTATATGAGACTGCTAAAATATAAAATCCTCCTACTAACTAGTTCAGTACAGATATTTCCAGCAGCTCTTGAGCGCCCTCTCCTGGTTCCTCTGGGTCATTGCTCCTGCCGTGGACATGAACCTCTCTGTGTCTCATTTAATTAAATCTTATTTATTTTGTTTTTGTGGTTTTCTTTTTAACAGTTTTCTTGTGTTTTTAACAGTTTTTCCAGTTTTGGCTTCCGTCCATGACCTGACTCTCTGCTCCCCGTCGTTGGAGTGTGTGTGGCGGCTGTGGCAGAGCTGGGAGTGTCTGCAGCTGTGACTGGTCTGCCCTCCTCTCCGAACCTTCCCATTCATTAAAGAAAGTTTACAGCCTGCAGACATTCTCGCTGAGAGAACAGGCAGCTTCACTAACCACTTTGTTCTACATGAAAGTACCTCCACAGGACGATCTCACCTGAACGCTTCCATGGAGAGCAGTCAGACCCAGGAGACAGAGGACGGCTCGTACCTGGGGTGAGACACCTTTACTGAAGACTGACACACTCTCCTGTTTGTTGTTTGACTGCGTCTGTTCCTGAACAATGCTCAGATTTGTCCATGTTGTTGCTCTCCATGAACCTGGAGCCTCTCCAGTCGTACATTCCTGCAGACAGTGATGGTGAGGGACAGGCTGAGACGTGGCAGAGCTTTTTAGACGACAGAGATTCAGACCTGCTGGTTAAACCTGAGCACAAACCTGCTGGTCCCAGTTCAGTTTACTGGTGTTTGTAGGTGCCTGTGGAGGAACTTTAAAACCTGCATCAGAACTAAAAGTATGAAAGTCACATGTTTTATGATCAGTTACAGGGAAAAGAGACAGATTTTGACCGTCACTGTTGTTTCATCAGGACATGTTATAAAAAAACTCTGTTGCCGCTGTTCCTCGATTATAATTATAATAGTTTTTCTGTCTTTGGATCATTTGTATCGATGCATTCATGGTAAATAGATTTTAATAGAAGTTTAGCTTTAAATGTGCTGGTTGCAGGGGTGTGTCCAGACGGTTAGAGGACAAGGGCTGGGATGGGCCCCCTTTTAAATTTGCTGGCCACCCCAGCTTCTGTCTGCTAAATCCTCAAGATTAACTGCAGATTTTTATTGTTCGAGTCAAAATTTGTACTAAAAATAAACTTTCAGACTTTGTTGATGCAGAACCTCGGTAATAAGTTTGTGGAATATTTTGGTGCTGAAACATTCAATTTGATGATTTTTTTTAATTGTTAGTGTGGTGGAGTTTGCGTGTAATTTTTGTAGTTATAAAATCTTGGACTTTAATCAAACCTAGTTTTCTCATATTCACTTTCTGTGCTAAGCTACGCTAGCTGTTTCACCCTCTCATGTTTTAAGTTTCCCGAATTTCTTTAAAATAATAAACAATAAAAGAAAATACAGAGTGGCGCTGCTGGATTTGTTGTATAAACACGCATCCATGTACAGAGGTTATGCCTCAATACGGGGCCTGTCCATATCCTGTCTTCTCTAAATCCAATATAAATATATAAAATATATTTCAAATGTTATATCCATAAAATATCAGATTAGAAAATGAACTAGTAGAGATGAACTTTTGAGACCAAGATCCTCTTTGTTCCAGACTGTAAACATGTTTAGTTCTGCTGTCTAAAGTGAGTGTGTGTGTGGCTGCTGGGCCTCTTCAGCCAGCCTCAAGTGGACACTTGAGGAACTGCACCCGCACAACAAAATTTGCCTCCGAATATTTCGGAATTTCGTGTCGAAAATCTGTTCAGATACACACCGGGATTTTTAAATTTCCGTCGTTCTCGGAGGGACCAATGGAAATTTACGATGCGAGATAACAAAACAAATTTTGACGCTCCTGACTATACACATCAAGCGCGATGCGATTTTGCGAACAGGTTAGCATATGAGCTAAAGTTACTTAGCACAGATGAAAGTTAAAACAAAGACGTTTATCAAACTGTTAAAACACACAAACCATCGTCAGATGAGAAATCCGACGCTATGACTCTCCACAAGTCGTCCTTCAGGTCGTTATCTTTGTAATGTTTGTGTCTTTTATCAAAAATCACTCTGTTCTCCGACACGTAAACAATCAGCCGGTCGGCCATGTTGGATATACCGTTGAATCTGACGTCGCAACAACACGAGATCTGATTGGTCAGAAGTGGACACACAGTATGAGAAAAATCGTCCGTGAAGCGAAAAAATAAATGCCGCAATATCACAGGACGGGAAAATGTCGCTGATGTGACGCTTGTGTTGACAGGATACGGGTTAAAAAAAAAATAATGACCTTTAAAATAATCGCACGACAAAATGCTCCCGGTTTGTCAGGACCTTAATAGTTTCATGTTTTTGATTTTGATCGACCTTAAATGAAAATATTATCAGTTTAATAATAAAGACATGTTGTCGTTTTATTTGTTGTTTTACAGTTTCCAGAGGACTCCCTCACTCAGGCGAAAATGGAGGAAACGTTACGGCGGTCTGGACGGAAACAAGCTGCTGGAGCCCAATAAAGAGCCAGACATGAAAGGTCTGACAGTGTGTGTGTGTAAGTGTGTGTGTGTAAGTGTGTGTGTAACACCCTGTGATTAGTGGTGTGAGAAGCATCCTTTTAGTGGGCGGAGCCTGCTGGTATCTAAATTAAGTCGCCGCCCCCTCCTCACCACAGAGCTGCTGATTGGCTGCAGACACGTCGTTGTTTCTTCCTCTGCTTCTATTTTTTTCCTCCTTTATTTTTCTCCGAGACGCTCAGACTGAAATCTGCTCCAGCTTTAGAAAACTAACCCCAAATCACAAACTCCGGCTCTGAAACTATTTCTATTTTTATGTCTGTGTTCATGAAAACCTGCAGACTGCCACAGATTCGTGTCGCTGTGTGAAGGATCCTCAAAGTTAAACATTTACGTCCCTGCAGAAAAGATGTTTACAGAGAGGATCGTATTTAGATTTTAGGGCAGAAATGAAGCTGATAAGTCGAGTTTTAGTGTTCAAAGAGCTGCAGCTTGGAAAATTTTGAACAAATTCAGGAGCTTTTACCTTTAACTTTCATTACATTGAGAGTTTATACTTCTCCTCACATTTCTCTGAATTACTCTAAACCCTGTTAACTGCAGGACTTTTACCTGGAGGGCAGCAGGACAAAGTTTGTGTAAAACTGTAAAATTGTTTGGGTTTATTCGTACATGTAGCTGATCTGGAAGTTTTCAGGATTTGGTGTTTCAGTCTGTGAGCTCTCTTTCTTTATACAGTTCTTCTCCTCTCCTCCCTCAGATGATGGAAGGATGACAGACGTGAACCAGCAGAGGAACTCAGAGAACCAGGTAGACCTGCCTGAACCCGTCTCAGTCCTGTTATTGTTTCTGTTCCTCCTCCTGAACACAAGCCTTCAATTTTCCCTCACAAAGACCTGACTCAGGATTAAAAAAACACGCTCACAGTGTCAGAGGTGGGATTTCACTCAGTCTGCTCGCTTACAGAAGTTACCTGAGTCCGTTTTTATCACAGTTTAATAACCATCAGGCTGAACGGTTTACAGGCTGCTGTAAAACAGGCTGTAACAGAACCATCGGGGGTAAAAGTGAAACCACAAACAGCTGTTTTAACTTTCTAACTGCTCTTTAAAGACGACAGACTCTGATGGAAAATATGTGAACTCTCTCCGGGAAACAAATCTCCAAAAACTCGATGTCTACGGGGATCCTGACTGTGATGATACGAGACTCTGACAACAACCAGAACCTGTGAGGGACAAAAAACAGGATGACGTACTTTGATAAATCCAGAATTATGCTGCAGGAGCGACTTCGAAACTTCAGATTAAAAAACACTAGATTTCATTTCTTACAGGCGAAACATTTGAGATATTTAACTGGGTGTTTTTTGTTTTGTCACTTCCTGTTTGTTATCTGATGGTCAGCCAAATATTTAGTAGGAGTTTTGGCGCCGTGGGCAGGTGATTATGCTGCGTTCGAGTTATCTCTGGAGTCAGAGGTCGGAGCTGAAAATGACGTCACACCCAGCGTTTCAGTTACCGAGTTGGAAAACAGCAAAATCAGAGGTGAAAACAAGATAGCTACATCTACGAAAATTATATTAGCGCTTGCCTGAATTTTTTGAACAAGGCAATCACTAAAATAACTTTCCTAGATGTAGCCATCTTGTTTTAGGGATGGGAATCGAGAACTGGTTCTAAATGGTTCAATCCATCGACGTCAATTCCCTTAATGATTCCTTTCTTCCAGGTGTCTCACTAGAGCCAGTCTACACAAACGAGAACAGAGACGGTACAAAAAGTACGCAGGTACGATCTAGAGCGTGGCGTCATTTTACTAAGAAAGACGACAATAAGTTTAGAGTTTGTGTAGCGTGGACTAACGGAGTTAGAAGCGTTAAAAAACACTCGACCCGACAAGAAAAACCCTCAAAATTTTGCACCGACTACGCCCCGTGCTTTAGTGTCCTCTTTTTGGGGGTCCAGAATATGGTCACCCTAATTTGACTTAATACCGACCAAAGTAAACGCTGTATAAATAGTTTGTTGTTTGATTATTTTTAGACTCTCACAGGTGGCGGCGAACATCTGTTTTTTGAGCTAACGGTGAAAAAACTGTAGTCTACTTTTTTTTTTTTAATCAAAGAAAGGCATTGATAAGGGAATCATTAAAAAATTCAACCGTTAAAGCAGAATCAATATTAGTGTCGATATCGATAAAATCTTATTAAATCCCATCTCTAATTCAGAGGAACCTGAGGAGAGGAGAAGTGAATAAATATCAAATTAAACAAAATAAAGACCATAAAAAAACACGTAATTTTACTGCATTCAGGCCACATTAATAAGAAACCAAGGAGGACCGCGACATAACGCCTGCCTTTCAAAATAAGATATTTTTCAAAATAAAAGACATGTCAAACATCAGACCTGCATTTACTTTTCAGCTGTTCGCTCTTGGGTCAGGACCCACCAGTTGAGAACCACTGCACTAGATGACACACAAATAAAAACACGTATCCACCGTTTTTTATTCTTCATTTATACTGTTTTACAGAGTAAATCTGCTCTTACCTTCACTCTTTCAGCTCCTGCTGTTGTTCTGGAGGTCTCTGTGAACTGTCTCCTCTGTCCTCCTTCACTGTCAGCTCTTCTTCTTCTTCTTCTTCTTCTTCTTCTCCTCTTTGCGTGTTTTGCGGTTAAAAACTGTCTGTCCGGATGAGTTTACCTCCGCGTTCATTTAACACATCTGGAAACGGACTTACACGAACTTTGGCGGTGATATTTGTTGGTAAATGTGAGCGTTTGGCGCACATACTGTATTTACTCCTCCTTCCGCCAGTTTACGGATTTGAAGCTGAAAAGTTCTCCGTATTTCCGCGTTTTTTCTCCACTTCCTGAAAACAACATCGCGCAGTAGCGTTGTTCGCATTCGGCGGGAGAGTCGCCGAGAGTCAGTGGAGACCGACGTCCGCGCATGGCGGCCATTTTGCTACGGTCAGCTCGCCGACTCCTAACATTCCAGTCTGTGGTTCATGTAACATTTAAATAACCACAGATTGATTCATTTTAAACCGATTTTTAAACAGTTCGGTTTGTAACAAACCTCAGAGTTTTAGTTATAATTAACATTAAACAGATAGGTAGAGTAATAGTTATAGGTCTACACACACAAGGCAGTTATATTAACCATCAAAACTAAAACAGAAAAATGCTCAAAACATTTTATTTAACTCAAAATTAATCTAGATTACTTATATATTAAATTTCAGACATGATATTGAACTTCTCTTTGTTTCGTACCTCTAGGATCCTACACCACGTCCAGCTCCTAGGAGTCTGATCCAGAACCAGAGTCCGGTCCAGACTGCAGTCCAGAGGCCCGTCAGCCTCGTCAGTCCTGGATCTGCTGGTACAGTGAACTTTTGGACATCAGCTGACTGTTCTTAAAACTGGTTTAATCCAAACGAACAAACTCTGGTTTACAGACAGAGAGGTTAAATCTGAAGGACTCGTTTTCACCTTAAACTTTGGCGGTCTGAAAAACTCAATCGCGGTCTCACACACAGTCTGTAAAAGACCTTGAAACGTTTTATTTTAGCAGCTTTTCCATCGTCAGACAGTTTGACCCGGCGTGGGGGTGTTACTTTTTACACAGCTGTGTAGTCATGATACAACCTAAGTATTATACCTTCAGAGAAAACATCTCAGGCTGGTGGTTAGCTCCCATTTACCATCATGAATCATAGTCTTTACAGATGAAGAGCTCCAGGTCTCAGAGACTCTAATCCAGCTGGTTCTGGACTTTGTTTATGAGCGCAGACGGCTCCATGTGGGAAAAGGAAGTTTGACCCTAAAACCCTCACCTCCATGTTTCACAGAGTGATCAGTGATGATGATAATCAATAATCATAATAATAATCACCTTTATGATTGTACAGTGGTCCCGGTGTCGGCCAGTAACGGCTGTCTGAAGCCCCCCCTCCCTCAGGCGGTGGTCCAGCCCGAGGACAGAGGCTTCCCCCCGGCTCAGCCCTGGTTCCCTCCCCAGCAGAGTCCGTCCAAACGCCGGGCGTAAGTCTGCAGGTCGCCTCAGAGAGGATCAGGAGTCCGCTGAAAAAAAACCTGCTGGTCTAAACTCTAATGTGGTTTCAGGGCCGCCGACGTTCTGTTCGACAGCTTCACCTCGGAGGGAAGAATCAACGTGAACCAGTTCTTTGAGGTACGAACAGATCCACGAAAATATGACGTTTATAAACCAGGAAATCATCCCTGAAGACTTGACCTCGACATCAAGAGGGACACGTGTTCTCAACTCCTTTAATCGACTTCTTAAACCGGAGCGGTGAATGAAGTGTTTGACTGGAACTATTTATCAAAAGTTAACTGTCACCCTCCAGCCAATCAGAATTGAGTATTCACCTCAGTATCAACACTAAATCGATTATTTTACAATTCTTTTTGTCCTGAACTCGATCAGCTGTCCCCAGACTCTGAAGTTGGAGGTGTTTCTTGTATTTGTTGGCGGTGAATCACTGCAGCTTTGGAAACCCTGCTGGTTCCTCTGTTCTCAGGCGATCTGGAGCTCCGGTCTGCACAGGTCCGACCCCCGACTCAGAGAGTGTTTCTTCCACCTGAGGAAGCTGCAGGACGCTGAGGGATCAGTGGACAGAAACACCTTTCACAGGTACGCTCTGTTTTCCACAACTCCTGGTCCAACCTTTGACCTTTTGCAGACGATACTCTGCTCTATCCACCAGGTGGTCTGGGTCATGTTCCTGGATCTAGAGTCAGTTTTTGGGTCTGGTTCTGATCGTGGTTTTGGTTCTGCCTCTGTGTTTGTGTCTTGTGGTTTTTCTTGTTGCAGGTGCGTCACAGGATTCGTCTCTCTGATCCTCAAAGCTCTGCAGGGACGATTCGTCATCCCCGATTTTTCCACCTTCACTGAGGAAACCCAAAAACTTTTCTCCAGGTGTCGCCAACTTTCATCTGTGCAGGTGAGTTTGGACCGGAGGTAAGCAGAGACTCTGTTTCTGAAGAAGAGTCTCATGAGGACTCATGGACTCATGGATTCATGGACTCATGGATCTTTTCTCTGTTGTTTGTTTGTCCAATCAGGAGAAAGAGAAGGAGAGCATGGACAGCACAAAGTGGGGCGTGTCCATCTGCACCGTGGACGGTCAGAGGTGAGCTGGTCTCTTTGGTTAAAGGGACATTTCACCTCTAAAGTCCTCCACAGGTCATTAAACCGTCTGTCCATCTATCTGTCTGTCTGTCTGTGTGTCAGGTTGTCTCTGGGGGACTGGGCAGGCTCGGCAGTGTTGGGCGAGGTGTCATGGCCGCTGGTGTACGGCGTGGCGGTGGATCTGCTGGGCTCTGACCTCGTCCACAGATACGTCGGCATGGAGGGTTACTCCAGATACGACTCTCCCTTCGCTCTGAGTAAAACAGGTCCAGGATCAGCCTGACATCACCCTCAGATCAGTTTATTGATCTTAATTCAATTTAATCAGATATTAAAGGTTTGGTTTTTAACTTTAAATTATTTTAAAAAGTGATTGTAAAGGATCGGTCAGTCAGGATACATACTAAAGCTCAAGTGTAAACTGTATTAAATTTCAATTTTCACAAATATTAGAAACATTTTAGAAACTTTTAGGGGATATTTAGAAAAAAATCACAAAATTTTTGTGAACTTTTTTCATCAGATTCTCACAAACTTTTGTCGAGAAAAAACAATTTTTCAAATACATTTTGGAAGATTTCATGGATACTTTGATGAATTTTCATGATAATTTTAAAAAGATTTCAGAAATCTTGATTTAACTTTTAAATAAATTGAAATGTTAAAAACTTTTACTTTAAAGTGTTATAAAAAATTCTGTGGAGTTTGAAAGTTTGAAAACTTTTTAGAAAATTTTTTAGAAAATTTCTACAAATATTATTTTGAAAATTTCAGAAAAATTCTTGAAGTTTCAAAAGATTCTTGGCAAAACTTTCTACTTTTTTATGCCATTGTTATTTGCAAAAATATTTTGCTTCGGGAACTTAAGTCAAAACTTAAACACATCAATATTTCTTTTATGTAATAAGTTTACGGTAATTTACTGTAAACCAAAAATCTTTGTTCGTTCACGTTTACATTAAAAATAAACTGTATTAGAAGTTCTTGTGTGAAATACATGCAGAGTGAACTCTGTCCAGCAGGGGGCGGTAACAGTGTCTCATAATCTGTCAGCAGGAATCCCTCACAGCCCGCTGACTGAGACAGGAGCCATCATCACCACATCCTTACTACAGGTAATCCAACAGTCATCCATCCATTCATACATCCATTCATCCATTCATAAGCGCCTCGGTGATGTCACTTCCACTTCCTGTGTTGTTTCGTGTTTCCAGCTGTCAGGACGACTTTCTGCAGAGGAGGAGGAGAAATACGACTCAGTGAGTAAAACAGAAAAAACTTCAGAACAGAATTTTACTCCCCGGATTATTCTATTTTCTTTGTTTTTTTCTTTTTTTTTGTTAGTTGGTTTGTTTGTTTATTTATTTATTTTTGTTGTTAGTTAGTTATTTAGTTAGTTAGTTTATTTGTTGATGTTTTTTGTTAGGTACTTGGTTTGTTTTTTTGTTAGTTTGTTGGTTTGTCTGTTTGTTTATTTATTTATTTATTTTGTTAGTAGTTTATTTATTTTTGTTTGTTTGTCTGTTTGTTTGTTTGTTTGTTTATTTATTTATTTTTGTTTGTTTGTTTATCTATTTATTTTTGTTTGTTTGTTTGTTTGTTTATTTATTTATTTCTGTTTGTTTGTTTGCTCTCAGGTGTTGAACGTCATCCGGAGGCTCTGTAACCGAGAAGTTTGTTTATTTATTTTTGTTTGTTTGTTTGTTTGTTATTTATTTTTGTTTGTTTTTTAATTTATTTTTGTTTGTTTGTCTGTTTTTTTGTTTGTAAGTTACTTAGTTTGTTTATTTATTTTTGTTAGTTTGTTTTTTGTTTGTTTGTTTGTTTGTTTGTTTATTTTTGTTTGTTTGTTTGTTTTTTTATTTATTTTTGTTTGTTTGTTTGCTCTCAGGTGTTGAACGTCATCCGGAGGCTCTGTAACCGAGAACACGCCAACCTGAACTGCAGCAGGTACGAGAACAGCTGACTGAGTCTGATCCTGTTCAGGTTGGATCGTCTCTCTCTGTTTTCTGATTTTAAAGGTTTTTATCTTGAATCTGCAGTTATCAGAGCGGCAGGAAGGACAGTGTCCGACTCCACGCTCTGTCCTTCTACCTGCAGGTACGAGAACAGCTGACTGAGTCTGAACCTTTAATGAGTGATCGTTTTTTTAACAGAGACTCTTTTTCTGAACTAACTTTTATTTATTCTGCTTCAGTGTTTCCCAGAGAAAGTCGACATTAATACGGCTCTGGACCTGCTGCTGCAGGTAACACACACTAACACACACACTAACACACTCACACATACTCACACAGTGACACACACTCACACACTGTCACTAAGTCTCCTCTGCGTCTCCTCTGTGTCTCCTCCTCGTCTCCTCCTTGTCTCCTCTGCGTCAGTGCACCTCCACAGAGATCACCTGTGAATCAGGAGCAGCCATGGCCGCCTCATTGGCCAATGGGGGCCTCTGCCCTCTATCAGGTGACCAGGTGCTGTCGCCGGCGGCAACACGGAGCATGCTGTCGATGATGCAGGTGGCGGGGATGAAGGATTACTCCACCACCTTCCACTACAAGGTCCGCCCTCCGTCCGTCCGTCATGAGATTTGAGCGTCTGCTCGCTGTCGTCCATCTTTGATTTACCTGACCGCTCTAACCGCCTTCCTGTCCTCGCAGACGTCAGTACCGGCCGTCTGCAGCCGCCACGGCTCTCTGCTCGCCGTGGTTCCTGGCGTTTTGGGTCTGATGGCGTTCTCTCCAGAGCTAGACGCCTGTGGAAACCCGTGGAGGGCGGTCCACTTCTGCCAGGTCTCAAACTTTTAACCCTTTACACGACCTCTGAATATGTCCGATAAAAACACGCCGTTATTCCGCCGTAAACGTGTTTTTGTGTGTTTGCAGGAGCTGATCTCCACCTTCCAGCTGCACAGTTTCGACATCAGGACCCCCTTCAGACAGATCCTGGCCTACAGACAGTGGAAGGCCGAGTCTGAGGTCAGACCCGAGCCCATGTCTGCAGAACCTTCACTGATCTGGTCCGTTTGTTGGTTCTGCAGTCTGGGTTTGATTCATGAAGTCATGAACTTCATCTCCGCTAGTTTTCTTCTCTGTCCTCTGAACACAAGTGAAAAAGACCCAAAAATAAAAAAAAGAAATAAAATAATTTCACTAAATATCAGAGCTTCTTAAAACTTTGTAGAATAATCAACATAAAAGAATGTATAGATTCTGACAGAAATTTTAAACATATTTGGGAAATTAGATAAAAATTACAGAAACTCGTCAAAGATATTTTAAAAAGTTTGGAGGAATTTTGCAGATTTTCAAAAATTTTTAATTGGAGCTTTTTAATTTTCCATCAAAGTTTCTGAAAATTTTAAAACTTTCCTGGAAACAACTCAGAAAATTCATATTTCATGTAAACTCTATTATATTTCATTTTTTTTTTTTAAATTAGAATCATTGTAGAAACTTTTAGGGGATGTTTTAAAAAAAATCACAAAAATGACAAAAACAAACTTTTGTCAAGATGAAACAGTTTTTTCATTTTCATTTTTTGAAGATTTCATGAAAACCATCAATCATAAACTGATGAGAATTTTCATTACCTAAACATAACTTGCACTCAAAATGCCAAAAACAAAACAGGGAAGAAAATGTTGAAAATTTTTACTTTGAAGTATTATGAAAAATTCCATTTTTTTTCTAAAAGTTTTAGAAAGTTCTACAAAACTATCTGGATAAAAAAAGTTGAATTTTTTTTACAAACTTTCAGGGAATTTTAACAAACCGCATGGAAAAGTTTAAAGACTTCCTAAAAAATTAAAAAATTAAAAATTTCTATACAAATTTCCAGAAATTCAGATTCTTGGCAAAACTGTTGGCAAAACTGGCAAAATGCCGTTGTCCTATGCAAAAATTTCAGATAATTTTGAGTTATTTTATAAAAACTTTGGTAGATTTTAAGAAGCTTTGATTAAATCTGCTGAAATTTTTGTAAATTTGAGGAAATTTAAGTTTGGATTTCATGGTGACGTCTGATTTCTTCTGCAGGGTTATCAGATCATGAACGTCCTGCTGGCAGCGTTTAGAGGAGACGTTCAGGCTCTGAGGAGGTAAAGTTAATTAATCACACTATAGACACTCCCAGTATTGATCATTAATGTCATTAAATTCCAGTTTTAAGTTATTTTGTTGGAGCAGAATCAGAAAATCAAGAATCGACCTGAATTTTCAGACTGAGAAGCTTCCTCTTCAGGTGAGCATCAGGTACCTGGCGTCTGATCTTCTGTGGTTCTGCAGGTACTTCCTGTCTGGAGTGGACGTGAACGCCGTGGACTACGACGGCAGGTCGGCTCTGCACGTGGCTGCTGCTGAAGGTCACACAGAGGTCATTTGTTTCCTGCTGGAGAACGCGGGGGGGAACGCCGGCCTGAAGGACAGGTGAGACCGTCATGTGGATTATTTTTGGTACAGTCCCTCAGGAGCGTTTTAAGATTTAAAGAGAAGATGACATCAATATTTCAGCTTCTTAACAAACGTCTCGGTTTAGTTTTAAAATCAAGACAAAAACTGAATCTCTCACAGAAAATAAAGTCCAGACCTTTGTGTCCTTTCGTCAGAGTTTGATGTAATTCTGTCTTTTCTCCAGGTGGGGGAGCTCTCCTCTGCAGGAGGCCAGGAGGCACAACAGAGAGGCTGCAGTCCAGCTGCTGCAGGGCGCCATCTGACCCCTCCAGCCTGACCTTTGACCTCAGCCGTCCTGATAAAACCTTTGCTCTGATTTTATAAAACAGAAAATAAAATCCAGTGAATCTGCTCAGTTCAGTTTAGAACTTTATTCTTCAGGCTTTTATTTTGAAGGCAGGCCGAGGAGTACGGTGGTCATCATTAGCCGTAAAGGGTTAATCTTCCCTTTAGTTTGATTGAATCTTTTCTTTGTCTGCGGACTGAAAGCTCCTCCTGCAGCTCCTCCTCGGACAGAAACATCGGCACAGTTCGGCTCCACTGGAGAGAAAAATTCACTTTCACGTCACGTCTCTTTCTTTTTGTCCAGATGAGAAAACTGGAATCTGCTGCAGGAGGTTTCCTCTGAGCACACAAACACACACACACACACACACACACACACACTCTCTCTCTCTCTCTCTCTCTCCTTTAGATTATCATTCAAAGTCTTAATAATATATTAAACAAACATCTGCATACATAAAGATGGAATTCTTCACTTTGGATGAGTTAATGAAATGTTCAGAGATTTGTTGAACTTATTTATGAACCTCAAATAAAGTTAATTCTTCATTTTTTTAAGTCACTTATTTATTCTCTATTTTGTTTTATTTTGTTCTATTTTATTCTCTTATACTCTGACTGATTTGTTGTTACAACTTTGGACACATTTTTTGTAATTTCATGTAAAATTTTTAACCTGTATTTCTTTTTTTTTATAACTATACAATTAAAAAGCTGTAAAAAAAACTTTTATAAAACTTTTTGAAATAAATATCACATATATTGACTTTAACCTCTGCTTGAAATTAAATAAAAAAACAATAAAATCACATTTATTTTTTCCTGTTTAATCAGTTTAAAGGTTTAAAAATCACTGAATCATGAATATTTATAACACGAACTTATTTTAAACCAATCACAGCCTGAGAGTTAGAAAACTTCGTCAAACTCAAACTAATCTACGCCGGAGTAGAAGGATCCGCCTTCAAAATAAAAGTCAAGCATAAATTCTTTGAGTTAATCATTGAGTTTTTTTAAATGATTTTTTTTTATAAAGCTTAAAGCTGTTATTGTAAATTTGATGAGCAAAACCAAAAAATAAAAATTAAATGACAAATATTGAAATTTCCAAAAGAGAAAATTTCTTTTGAAGTGAGGAGTGTTAGCGTTCCTTTTTTAGCTTTGAAAATTACTTCATTGCTTCCATGTGTTGAGTACAACAAGGAACATTTGATTATTCATTTAAAAACAATATTTTTAAGCATCTTAATAATCAGGAAAGTTTTGACATGCAGATTTTTTTAAATGTTCTACATTAAAACATCCTTTATACCTATAAAAAACCTTTGATTGCATTCAGATTAGTTAATTTTTTTTTCCCAGTTTTTTTGAATCAGTAAAGCTGGGACATGAAAGTTTTAGGTTGTGTTGATTTTTGCGCCCCCTCTCTGGTGAAAGTGGGGTATCTCTTTCTGCGGATTTTGTCCGCTGTTTGGATAAACAAGGTTTTGTACAGTAAAGAATCACTTTTTGATTTAATTCAGTAGTTTTCAGAAAACTTTGACCTGAAAATAAAAGAAAAAACAAACAAACAAAAAAACATGTTGCTAGACTGTGATTCATCAAAGTGTCTGACAAGTGAAAGGTTTTTAGACATCATTTCACCCCGATGACACCATGGATGAGGAGATGCTGATTCTAGAAGTCTAGAAGTAGATTTCCTCCTCTGGAAGGACACGATCTACTGCTTATATGTCTATGTGTCACGTAATTGAACGTGAATCTGCGGGTTGTTGTGAGTTCTCGCGATTCCTGCTGTCTGTAATCCGCCACAAAATTCGCCTCACAAACAGATCAGGTAAGAATTGGCGTACAGCGAAAATTGACGCCGTTCCGTATCGGAGCCGTTCCCGATGTGTTGGAAATCCTACGTAACAGTTTTTGACACTAATAATTAATAATTAATTACTTAAATATTCCTCACAGTAGCTTTAAAACGAGAAAAAAAAATTCAAAGACGGACTTTTACTCTGAAGGTACAAACCGGAAATAGTCGTAGTTAGCTCAGTTAGCTTGTTAGCAGCAGCAGCTCCAGCCTGTTGCTCGGCGGGTTTTCTCAGTCCGGCTCCGAGCAGAGTGATGTGTGAGCGGTCCGAGGAGGAGGAAGAGTCCCGTTTCTGTCCTCGAACCTTTAAATAAAACAGCTTAAAGTCGTTTTTTTTGTTCGTTTGTTACTTTAGAAAGTGAAGCGATGAGCTGAGGATGAGAACTGAGGATGAGGAGTTTCAGACGGTGTTGAGTTTTCAGGAGGACTCTTTCTTCATCTTCATCATCAGAGGTGAGTGTTTTCCTTCACTCTTTGGTTCTAAACAAGAACATTAAACTGGTTTTATTCTAATTTATCATCATACTCAGGTGTGCAGCAGCTTTAAGGACGTTAAAAATGAACATTTGGTAAAAAAAAAACACTTTAAATACACAGATAAAAGATTTTACAACTCAGAAATAAAGAATAATGATTCACTGATATATATATATATATATATATATATATATATATATATATATATATAAAACGGTAAAACCTCGTAGGTGTAGTTTATTTGTAAAAAGGGAACTGGTTCATCAGATGGACGTACAGGTGTTCACTTCTGTGTTGGCATGTGCCGATATGAAAAATTTGATATGACGATATTGGTGGCCCAACATATCACGATTCACGATATTATCACGAGATTAGCGCGTTGCTTTTAACATTATTAAAAATGGTAAAAAACTGCGAAATCACTTCTCTGTGCACAGCATGACACGGGAGCGGATTCTCACTCCTGTCCCGTCCCAATCCCCCCTAATATCGGCATTAAAAAAAAATCCATATCGGTCAGGCCCTAATATCAACCCTTTAAAAGAACAACTTTTTCCTCTGATCATTTTATCTTCATTTAAAGCTCCAGTGAAAAACTTTTGGTTTGGCGCCCCCTGTGGACAAAGTAGTCTGCAACATGCTTGAGTAGTGATCAAACAGTTGTTTAATAGTGATAAAATAAAGATATTAAAATCTTCAGTTTTGTTATTTTTGTCCATCATTCATCATCATAATTTTCAGTCAATTCATAAACAAAAAAAACTCCCTATAGGACCTTTAATCAAACAAAAACAACTACTCTGTCATTGACGAGTTTACCTTTTTCCAATATATTTGTCCTTTAAAATTTACAATTTAAATGATTTTTAAAATGACTTTTTTAAATTTTTATTTTTACTTTTATTGAAATTTCAAGTTTTAAATGTAATATTAAAACTATTTTCCTTTAAATTATGAACTCTTTATGTTATTCGGCTTTTTCCAATTAGTTAATTTTTATTAATATATCGCCAAATCACAACTGTGACTGATTTTTCTGCTGCTGAAGGAAAATTATTCCCGGTCATGAGAATTCGGGTTAATATTCGTCTTTTCATGTGAACCCCGCCCTCCTGAAATCCCCTCACTCGTTCATTTATCACCATCAGCAGTCATCGATACGATTTCACTTTCCTGCAGCTTTTCTTATCTACGCTCACTTCTGTTTGCGACTTCACTTCCTCCATTTCCCAGAATGCTATTGGACTACATCGATAGAGGAAGTGGTGATCGCTGCAAATAGCAGATTATACAGATACTGAATTAAAAACATTCAGAGTCTTTTTTCCAGTCTGCAGAAAGTGACTCACATGTTATTTTAGCTCCAAACTGTCCTCCAGCTGCAATGCATTCTGGTCGTTTTTTTTTTTCATGTGGTCATAAAAAGCGGCGTCTGTAATTCCTCTGTTTCTTCCTCTGTGGTGGATTCCTGTTGAATCCGTTCCAGCAGAGACCTCCAGTCTTTAATTCTGCAGAGTCCTGAGGTCTGTAATCACTGAGAGGGGCAGGAACACGGACCTGAACACAGACCAGAACCTGAACACAGACCAGAACCTCTTACAGGTCTCCTCCGTGGACGATAATGACAGGATCATAAACCGGGTTATTATGACAGGATAGACGTTCACACACTAGATGTCAGAGCCCTCTACAGTCAGACCCCCTCGATCCTCAGACTCTGACCTTCTCACCTCCGCTCTGAGGACCAAACACCCAACCTGAGGAGACCGGACTTCCTCCACAGCTGCCCCCCTCGCTCAGGAACTCTCTCCCCAAACACATCCGGGACTGTCCTGATCTCCCAGAGTCCAGATCCCTCATAAAAACCCACCTGTTCAGATCTGATCTAACTGGACTTAAGTCTGTTTTCACTCTCTCTGTGTTTTTAAGGGTCTCTGAGTGCCGTGTTAAATGTTATGATATAAAATAATATATTTTATATTAGATATGATAAATGAAGATTAGACTTAATATTTGTTAATACCGTTTGTTATGAGATTAGATTAAAATATGTTGTAATTCAACAGATTAGATGATACGAAGTGATAAAACTGAATCTGTTCTGATGTTTTTCTATGAAATGAGAAGTGGTCGTGAAATCTAGTTTGATGTTTTCTGTGACTCAAGGACTCTGTTCATAAATCTAGAGTTTGTAACACTTAAAGGGATATTCTGGTGTAAAATTAATTTAGGGTCAAACTAGGACTGGGTGATTAAATGATCGTGATCGATGATCGTGATTAATTTCAGTTCGATCGCGGTTCTCGGCCACCGTCGTCTTTAATATGTTGATAATGTAAAGAAGCTTTTTGTTTCCAGAAGACAAAGTCCGATATTCTGAGAATGAAGTCACATCTGAGAGTAAAGAGTCACGTAACAAAAAGTCGTGTCCAGTCCGAGTCATCGTCACTCTCTGAGCACACGGACCGGGCTGAACCGGGTCTCCTGTCCTGTTGAGAAGTGCTTTAAAAAAAAGCCGAACTATCCCTTTAAAATAGTCTCTCAGCGGAGCCTCATGTCTCTGCCTGACTATACCCCCCCCCTGTAATTCTCCTCCTCTGTGTCCAAACTCTTTGAAATTGAATTAGTTTCTCT